TGAATAAACAATTTGATATAAATATTTTTCAAACTTTATAATAAAACGTGTTAGTTATGGTTCAATAGGAAATAGTATATTAATATATATATATATATATATATTGCAAAATTAATTATTTATATCAATAATTATTTATATCAATAATTATTTATATGAATAATTATTTTTTACAATTGTTATTAGTCTTATTATTTATTTTATTATTTTAAGACGAAAAAATAAATACAGTACAATATCAGTAATTTAATACTCAAATTATTTTTTTAATCAAAATATTTATTATATTTTTAGTTAATTAGTATAATTAAATAATTAAATAATAAATAATTAGTGTAGTTGTTTTTAGCTTATATATATTTAATATAAAACTTTTGTAAAAATAAATATTAATTTGACAAAATATTTTCAAATCAGATATTTATTGTCATTCTTGTTTATTACTGGTTTACAAAATAACTATTTTAAATATTTATATTAACAATTAAAATTAAAATGATATAAAATATAATAAAATAAAATAACTATTAAAATCTTTAAAATTATGTATAAATTTTTAAAAGTTTGTTTTGGATCTCATTATTAATGGTAAGGAATATCATTTTCATCTATTTTGCAAAAAAATGTATTTTTTGAGATAGTTTTTGGCAGCAAAGGGAGGGTTAATATTATGGGAATCCCTTCCTCTTCTAACAGAAGTCCGATCCTTATTGAAGGCAAACAACTATTTTGAATAATCAGAAACTAAACCATTGATTGACTTAAATATATGTATATTTAATATCATTATTAATTGAATTCCACTTTAGTTTTTAAAAAATAATGATTTGCTGATTGTTTGGTTGAGAATTTGTAATTATTTTTGCTAATTTTTTCTGTAATTTAATTATTTTGAGAGTAGAGGACTTAAGTTGGGAATATTTTCCTTTTTTAGGAAGTTTATTGGAAATTTACTAAAATTTGGTAAAAATTGAATAAAAACTGTATTTACCCCAAGATTTTTCGAGTTTTTGACATTTTACCGCTCAGATCGAAAACAACCCTAATATATATATATATATACTGTCATAACAAATTCAAATACTTATTTCTTTCAGTAGTTTGTAATTGAAATTATTTTTGACAACATAATCAAAACATTAATTTTAACAAATATATAGATTTTTTTAAAAGATTATTTTTAAAATCTAATAGTAATAATATGTTAAATATTTAATTTATTTAATTCAATAACATTGAAATTCATATACAATTCAATATGCTTTTAGTGATTAGAGATTTAAATATTAATTACTATTTTTAACTAAGATTGATTGTATGTTAAATTGTTTTTAATAATTTAATATTATAATATAATATTCACTTTTTTAATTAACTCATTATAACTTTATGAAATAATTTTATTAACAAATTAATTGTTTTATACAATTACAAAATAAAAAATAATTATAAAAAATCACTAAAATCTAGACAAATAATTGAAATTAAATGTTTTAATAACTTTTTTATTTGAAAGTTTAAAATAATTTCTTTTAACTTCACTTGTAAATACAGTATAGTAATGATACACATAAATAAATATTATAAATTTTTCTGCTATAAATTATAATAAAAAAATACTTTTATATTTATAATTTTTAATCACTTTTATATAGGAGACATAATTGTAATTTTATAGTATTAAGTTTTTTATTTAATAAATAATAGTAATTTTAATATTTAGAGGATTTTAAATAATTTTAAATTTTATGTACAAATTAACATTTTAAAACACATGATATCATCTTTAAAACTTTTAACATATATATATATATGTTATTATTTACATATTTAATTAATAATATTATACAATTATAATATGTTATAATATATATATATATAATATATGATATATATAGATACAGAGATATATATATCATATGATACATAACTATGTGAACTGAATATAACAATTTTAAAAAAGATTGAGCCAGGTTTTTAAAATTAAAATGAATATGTGGATTAAATAACAAAAATCTTAAAATATTCAACTTTAATTTAAATTTATACTTAAAATATTATGAATTTTGTTAAAAATATTTTATATTTATTTTAATATCTTCACTATTTTAAAATCATATTTTAATTTTAGATATTATAATAAATAAATAATTCATTTACAATTGTTAAATACACAATTTTATTAAAATAATTAATTTTTAAATTGTTATTTACGTAATTTATTATTTTTTAAATATTATAATTGTATAATATTATTATTTATATATGTAAATATACAATACATGTAAAACATTTACCATTACATTACCAAAAGTTTTACGGTATTTATTTTTTTTTTGGCGCACAAATCAATTATAACTTATTGTATTTTAAAAATAATCATTTTATACAAAAATTAACTTTAGTTTAATAGTTGCAGTCTTCGTAAGCACAGGTATATCAAGGCATGACATGTACTGACTCATTGCTATGACTTATATAGTAATTTAAATCAAAGGGTTGACCTATAAATATGTCGGCAGGTATTTGAAGGGTAATAAATGTAGTGAAAGTGCTATTTATGTTCAGTATTTTAAAAGTATTGAATTTCAGATTATTTAAAATAATTTCTTAATTAAATTATTGCTTTATTTTGATGAAATGTTACTAAATTTAAGTTAACTTAAGTATAAACCACTTATACTTTACATATAATACTTCAAATTTTAAAGTTTAAAATATTTCAATTTTAATTTCAAATAATCAAATAATATTTATTTCTATTGTATTGTTTTTTTTGTTTAGTTTTAGTTTTTTTTTATAAAATTATTTAAGAAAATATTTAAAAAATTTTGTTTTTAGGTAATAATAAGCGTAAATGTAATAACTTTAAATGTATAGAAATAATAGAAACGAAAAAATATGAGTATATTATATAAGAAAATGCAGTAAAATTCCCAAATGATTGACTTTTTTAGTAACAAATAAATGACAAAACATGAGAGTAAAGTCAGCAAAAAAACAATTTTCTATTTTTGTTGAACAGAAGTACATTATATGTGTCGCCAATCTATTTGATGCCTCTCTCCCGGAAACTGACCCTTCATTGTATCCCTTATTCCCATAAGTTAACAGTTGTATTGCCGTTACTATTGCTATAAATTACATAAAGTTTACAATATTTTTTCTATTAGTTATCGCATATTTAGTCAAGTCATCAAAAAATATTACAAATATTTACTATAGAGACTTCATTGTGTGATAAACATATTAATCAGTTGTAATACATAAATAACTAATTAAAAATATTTTTTAATCAATTAATAAAATACTTAAATACTTTTGTATATTAAAGTCATAAACTAGTCTTTTAGAAATATATGAAACTGAACTAAAATCAAGAATATTAAACATAGATTTTACATAAACTTATATTTATATATTATTTTATTAATCAATGATATTGTATGAGTTATATAAAAACTAATATAATTTATTAGATTTATATATATCTATATACTTATGTATTGTATATATTTATTATTATTATTATTATATAAATATATAGTAGTATATAATTAATTAATTTGTTTGTTTCTAAATATAATAAATAATTTTATAAAGGCTTTTATTGACCGCTGTTTTCAAAAAGAAATCCACAAACGGTTTCTTAATTTAAAGACATCAGTAATGGTTTAAATAATATTTACTACACTATAAAAATAGATAAAATAGTGTACAAACAATACAGTTTGTATTATATTGTATTGTATTGTGAAGTATTAATACTACAAATACTGATAAATTAAATACAGTATAATATTTTGTGTTTTGTTTTATCGGTTAACATAAAAAAATAATTTTTTTTAAAAATCAAATCAAACCTATTTTGTACTGAATTTCAGTTTTTTATAACCGACAAAACCCAAAAACGTTTTGTCACAAATGTATATACTTTATATATTTTTTATTTAAAAAGATTATATAAAAATATAAGCACTAAAATTATAATTAATTAATTAAGTTATTAGTTTTATAATTAAATTATATAATTTTTGAATACATATTAAGCATATTACAATTAACCTTGTTAACTATTTACATTTACTGTAAAAAAATAATATAAAACTGACGTATAGCTTTTTTTAAATATTTGAAAGCATGTTATATTAATATATTAAGCACATTACGTTACATTAAAACCATTATTATTTTATATTAGTCAATTATTTTTATAAAAATTTTAAAAATTATAAATAGTTTACTGAATTATTTTATAATATAAATACTATATAATTACAATAATACAAAGTGAAAGATTTAACAGTTTGTTGTAATTTATTCATTAAATATTTGTAAATTTAAGTAGAATTTGTATATTAATTAAATAAATTTATAAAATAATAGCAATAAATTACATTATATAAAGCATATATCATAGTAAATATAAAAATATACTGATATATATATAATGTATATATATATATATATATATATATATATATGTTATATATTATAACAATTTCTAAGTTAACTTAAAAACCGTGAGAATTGGAAACATTGAATAAAATGAGAATTCGAATCACGAATTGAATAATGTATTAGAATTTGGAAGACGTGTGGAGTTATCGGTGAGAATGTGGGGTAAAGAGTGTTCACTCAATACAACATAACATTGCAGTGAATAATACTTTTTGATAAATACTTAACCACTCAATCATTTTAACATCACTTAAAAGAATCTAAATTTTCAAAATTATTTTAGTAAAAAATAAGTGTTTGTCGGCATTAAGATGTTTATAGTAATATATATTAATTTTTAATATATGTAAATATCTATTGACAGTATAATTGGTTAATAGAAACTATGGAAATTTAATTGATAAATATATTTAAAATATACTTATAATTTATTATAATATATTTATATACAATATGTACAATATATCTGTACATACGATAATATGATATATTTTATATAATTTATTAAAACATGTTTTTGTTATAATTGTTGATTATAGCGAATAATTATAAATATAGTGAATTTGGCGAAGAGTTGTCACATATTTCACTCAGGCTTTGGACCGGTAGTGCGTTCATCACAATATCCTCAGTGGTAAGCAATATCCACCTAAATAATGAGCTTTTATTATTTGTTATATAATATGTATAAAGAAATGGTATGCACTATACTATCTGTGCTCATACAAGAGCTGGTCAGCCGATTATATATTTGTATTGCTATATCATTATTGTCCGTATTTGCTGTCATTATGATGGCTATAGTATGAGATTTTTGCCACTCATGATAGCCCTACACATAAACAGTTCCCAAGTGTGTCATCACAGAAGAGCCGTTAAGAAGAAACAACACTTCTTATCATTTATACTATCTTTTGATTACAATTTGTGATCCAAAATATCATCATTTGATGACCAATAAGAGATTGTAGTCCTTTATTTCAGCGCAAATATAACCGTCTAATTCAACTGTCGATGAAATGGGTTGTCTTGTGTTATGAATAACAAGAAATCCTAATCAATGAGTCTAATCGTCTCTTACCCGCAATCTGTGCTACAAAAGAAAGTTTCGCTAAATTTTAATTGCGATAAACATTTATATAATAATAATAATAATAATAATAATAATTTATTAATAATAATTATTATTATTATTATTATTATTACTATTTTTTATAATTATATTTTTTATTTATTATAAAATTTAAATAAGCAAATATTGAACATTTTATTAAAAGCACAGTATTATAAATAGATGAAAATGTTAGCAATTATTGGTATTGATATAGTAATGTAAACATAACATTGGATGATAGCTATAATAGGAAACAGGGATCAGGTGCTGCTTTAGATTAAAAGGATAAATATCAGTGAAGTTATTGTATGGCAACGAATTGAAAATAATTTACTAAAAGTATGAAAAAAGTATTGGTTTTGATTATTATTTAGTAAATATTCGGTTAAGTCGAGGACCAGACCTATGATGTCTGTGTCTGTTGGGATCGACTAAATTCAATTGAATTGCTTTATGAGATGCCTATAGAGTAAGATAGGTCTTAAACATTAGATGAATATCATATGAATGATAGGCCTCATGCCAGTCACCCCCTACTAACTACCAGTCCTTTATTTAAAGCAATTGTTGTTCAACTGTTGTGAGTCATAACTAATAAATTCCTTTCACATAACTTTTGCTCCAACTATTGAATGTCTATTATTTTATAGCAATTTTTGCAATACTCGAGTGTTTTTCATATTTTATATAACAATAAAAAATGCAATTTAAGATTAAATAACGCATTTACTCAGCAATTTTATATCAAATTATTATAATAAATAATTTAAATAAGCTAAACGCTAGTGTATCAAATGAAACGTATGTTAAATTAAATTAAATTATTTAAATAATATAGTATATTTAGTTAATTAAATAATTAAACATTTTAAACTAAAAATAATTGCAGCACAATTAGTCTAGTTGAAAACATTTTATAATCATTAAAATAGTGAATCGGTATATATTAAAAATATAATAATAATAATAATAATAATAATAATAATAATAATAATAATAATAATAATAATAATAATAATAATAATAATAATAATAATAATAATAATAATAATAATAATAATAATTAATTTTAATGATAAAAAAGTATATTTAGTAAGATTTATATCTGCATTATGATTAATATATTGTATTATCGTTTTGTAAATAAACTGTATTTATTATAATAATGCTATTTTTTTATCATAATTATGATAATAAAGTCATGAATTTTTGATTTTAAAAATTTAATTGCAATGAAAAAAATTGTCGCTGTTGTTAACCATTGAATTAAACTTTAATGATAAACAAACTCAAGAAAAAATATTTAAAATAAAATACAAATGAAACATAAAATGAAACATAAAATGAATGTTTTGACAAAAACAGTTACACAAGAAAATTGTATTTCTTTTGTCGTTTTTGCTATCAATTCATGAAGAAAACAGAAAAACTTTTCTTTTTTTGATAAAAATACGCGAAGAGAATAATAATAAGAGAGACAAATGTTATATCAAGTATACTATACTCACATTTTTCAGAGTTTATTGCATACGAAACTCATTGTCTATATAAATGTATAAGTATGTAGTTTTACATACTTTATAACAATTGATAGGTTCCCTATTAGTTATTGTGTATACTGTATAGTATAGTCATTTTCTCACACTTAATACAATTTTTCATTTTTTTATTAAATTATTACTAAAATAACTAAATTGATCGGTGGACTCATTTACGTGTTTATACATTAAATAAGTAGTGTAATGGGCTTAACGCTAAATAACTTAATACGGACTAAAAATTCAGCCATAAATAACCATAAATATGAGATTCAAAAACACAAAATTTCTATACCTATTTTATTCAAAGTTATTTTCTTTATAACTTTTATTATTGTTGTTACTATTACATTAGAAATTTTAATTTAATAATACAAATTCAGTAAATGTAATAAAAGTGTAAGTTTTTTGAAATTTAATAAATTTAGTAAATTATGACTAACTTATGCAACACTCCTTTCTATAGTCAATATTAACCGTCTCTACGATAATATTGTGAAGCATTAAGAAAATGTCATTTCATTACATCTTTTACAAAGCTTTTCATTAGACCAAAGAAATAGCGATAATAAATGAATGAATGAATGAATGAATGAATACCATTGAGTTATGGACTCAATAAAGACTTTACTACAAGAAATTAATTGTCAAATTAAATGAACACTAATATATCGTACTCGATATCTAATAAAAATTTATGGACATTACATATATATATATATATATATATATAATAGAAATAGATATTGGTTGACATATTTTTATTTATGATATAACAAATAATTCATACTGGCATTTTAATAGTAAGCATATTTGTACCATTTATTAATTTAATTTAAAGCTATATTACAATACCATATATCATAATACATAAATAGTAGATACTCTATTTTATTTTTATTTTGTAATTATTCGTGTTTTATAAATATCTACAAATATTAAATAAGTTTAAACAGTCTTATTATAAATACTTTATTGTGTTAAAAATATATATCGTAAAATTAAAATGTGATATATCATTTACTTTTTATATGATTATGATAATTATAACAAATTGCCAAATTATATTTAATATAAAATTAAATTAATATTCAACTTTAATTATGTTATTATAAAAAGTTTAAAATATAGTGTATAATTTAAAGAATAAGAAAAACAATATTAATAAAAAATAATAATAAATTATGTTATATAATAGTAATCATATGTAAAGTAAGCTTAGCTTTTTGTCAATATTATACGAATAGTTATATTGTATTTGTTTTTGCAAAATTTGCTGACCACTTATCTATCTTAACGAATACAATCGCACCGGTAGACAGTAGTCACTAAAAATGCTGAAAGCCATAGAAGAAATCGATATTTGAGACAAATATTTTGTATATTTTTGTATTATTTAAAAAAATAATCTTAGTTTGTGATATAATTTAGTAAACTTTTATAATTTTTTAAAATGCTATAATATATTACAGCATATGTGAATATACTATATATTGATTTATTATTAGAAAATTAGTGTATATATAATAAAAAAAAATTAAATAATGAGAATTTTTTGTTGAAAATAAGTCTTTTTTTGTCAAATGACATAACAAATAAATTGAACTTTTCTTTTTAAAATGAAAAACAAAATTCGAGAAAATAAAATAAATTGACAATAAATAAGTTGAGAAAAAGAGAGAGAGAGAGAGAGAGAGAGAGAGAGAGAGAGAAAGTCAGCAAAATAGTGGGAAATTAGTTAATTTGAGAGCAAAGATAAATGGCTAAAGACTTTTATAAAAGCCATGAATGGTTAGAACTGTGGAGTTAATCGAGAGATTTGAAAACATCAATAACTTTGGTAGACGTCTACCAATAGATCGGAATAAAAGGTATTCCGCATTGTTTCTCAAATAACGACTTCTTATCGAAACCCAATGTTTTACATTTAAGACACAAAATATAAGTATCAAAATGGGATTTGTTTTCAAACTTTGCCTTTAATTTACACATCAAATGGTTATACATTTTTATTAAAGAAACTTAGAATTACTATTACAATTGACTTGTTTTATAGACAAACGGATTAAGATTAATGATATTATTGCTGTCTTCTATGTTTTGGATTAACTTTATAAAAATAATAATTTTATATATTAAATATTGTTGATATAGTATTTTAAAATTTTTATATGCATTGTTTTTAAATATGTATATTAAATCTATATTAAATTATATTACTATATGTTTTTTAATAAATTCAAATGCCTATTAATAATTTTATGATTAATAAAAGCATATTTAATAAAAAATAATTACTAAAAAACTGAATATTAATATATAAAAAGAAGTAATAGTTTTTATAAAGTAGTTCTTTATTGTGACCAAAATTATATATTATAATAGATTAAAGTTATAGTATAAAAGTTGTTTATGAAATACTGTATATCAATATATTATTAAAATATTTTATTTTTATTTATTTATTTCTAAGATTTATATTTTAGTTTGCATAAATAAAATTTTACTGTCTATGTTAAAACAGTGTTAACAAAAAAATCAGGATATTTTTAATTGAGTTTTTAATTACTAAATAAATATTATAATTAAAAGTTTGTACTCAATATTAATTAAATTATAATAGGTTTTCAATTAGTTTTTAAAATTTATTTGCTATTCGAAAATTATTTAAGATTATATTTTATCTTGTTTTTATCTATATTCTATATGTTAATTTATTATATTTATATAGTATCTTATAACATGTATAAATAGTTTTACTAAACTTACATTAATTAATGTTAATTATGTAATAATGATATACAGAATCAATGCAATAAATTAAATATAAACATAAATTTTGTATTATTTTTAAATTAAATCAAATAGTTTTAATTTATAAAATAATAAACAATGTTATGTTTTTAGTTGTTTTAATGATAACATGGATACCAAAACCGCAATGAAAGCAATGATTTTGAAAAGAAATGATAGAAATAAGGCATTAGTGTTGAGACAATGGGATAATGGATGTGATGACTCACAACTCTGTTATCAATGTATTGGTTGTTCCCAATTGTGCTTTATTTTAGGCAATGAATAGCAAGACATAGTGTTATGGCTACAGTTTTGACTCGTTTTTATCATATATTGATTGCATTGAATACCTCTATGGAAACCCAGGCTTTCTACTGTCTGTGTGCGTGATTGGCATTACGATAGGCATTGGGACACAAGGATAATGCATTGGACACATACACTACTAAGCAATTTACCAAATATTGATATATACTGTATATACCAGAGGAGGACCAACACTACAGTCATTGACAACGAAAGTAATGTTATGAAGAGATAGTGAATTAGCATAACATGTCATATACTCCTAATGGTACTCCTCATCGAGTAGTCATACAATACAATACAATATAAAACATGTCATTTCAAACATATGCTTATATTGTTGTGTATTCACACACATTTCAACCATTTATTTAATTGTTATTTACTTTTCATTCAAACTTTATATTTATTACACTATTATTTGACTCTCATATGTTGAGCCATAAAAACACATACTCTATATATAACTATAACTGCAAATTAGTAGCAAATGACTTACTATATTAATAACTTGAAAATCATTGTTTTAATTTAATATTCTAATAACTATTTACTAATATTTGCCTTCAAATAACTTTCCATTTCATGTATTTTCTATAACTGTCCGTTTGATCCATATCTTAGAGACATTTATGAAGTTACCCATGAATTGTGGATTAAATGCTATATTTTATTTGTTTTTCATGAGATTACAACATAAGGTTTAGTCTACTTATTGTATACCAACTGGTTTTCAGTTATTAACACCGGACTACTAGATAAAAATAATTATAATTAAAAGCATTATCAAACTAAATTGATGCAATCAAAACACTATTGCATAAAATTAACATTTTTATCGACAAATTATTTTGTTTTTAAATAACAAAAACTTTAGAGATTTTAAAGAATTTTTCAAATTTTATTAAACTGTAGTCTAATATTACAACTCTATTTTTTTAAAATATAATTTTTAATTATAATGGCTAAACTAATGGTATTTAATTTAATCTGTTAATTATATAATTAATTTTTGATAAATTCATTATATAATATGATACTTAATATATCTATAGCATAAATGAGAGTAATATTGTGATAATTATAATATGTTGTATAGTGTTATATACAATATGTAAGTAATTTTTTGTATAGAATTTATATTAAAATTCATTTATTTATTGTTTCTTAATTACAACAATAAATCATTGAAAGTGAAATAAATAAATTTCAATTAATTACATAATTTGGCAGTAATTTATTGATTATTTTATTTTATTTTCAGTCATTACTTTTGTCGATTTATTCATTTATTTTGCAATGTTCTTAGTTTAATAGATACTTTTGTCCCAAATATTGCCAAAATCAATATATTCAAACAATCAAAACCAATACATATACATAACATTATGTAAGAAAAATAGTTTTATTTTTCAATTGAGATATCGATGACTCCATTGACTTCAATGCTAACGGAATTTTTATATAAAAAATGTATTCATTTATTAAATGCACGAAACAATGAAACATATTATATAGTGAGTGCCAACAAAGTCATTGCTTAAACCAATGGTATTGAGTTTACGAGTTTACTGAATCAAATCGTATCATATAATAATGTATGGATAGTCTAAACAAAATGTCAAATGCCATTCAAATGCAAACGGCATTACAACTCGATTATTAACAAAGAGAGAGAGAGAGAGAGAGAGAGAGAGAGAGAGAGAGCAGGAGTGAGATGAGATGCAAGTGAGACACACATAAATCAATAGACGACACATAAATATAGCAAAACTAAAGAAACCAGTCTTTAAATTACAATAATATGGCTTTTCGTTTGTGATATTCAATCAAAAATTTGAAACACAATATAATACTGTATAAGTAAATCAAATAATGAATTATATGTTAAACTATAATCATAAACAAGTCTACAATATACAGTATATACAGTATATATAGTAATTGAAAACATGAGTTTTGTATACTAATGACTAATGAGTTATTAGATGAGATGATTCTTGTTTCTCATTTTGTGATTTATTAATTGAATTTTTATTCAAATGTTAAGCAGTGATGCAAATCATTATTAAAAAGCTATGGTATAAAACACATCACAAACATTAATAGTACTTTTATTAGGCTTTAAGTTAATTCAAGCGATATATACAGTATTTATTACATTAATTATTGCGATACTTTAAAAGTCTTTAAAATTATTCATATAATTATTATTTATATTTTATTAAATTTGTTGATTTTGACATTTAATAAAATATAACATTACCTTGATATTTAATATTTACAAATAAAACTAATATATCATATATAATTCTAATTCAAATTACATATACTGCTCTAAACAATATATAACTTTGAAATTAATTTAAATTTAAACTAAACTTATATATTTTACATTTAATTAGATACTTTATATACTTTATATACTTTAAATTTTATATAAATTGATTAGAGATATAAATTAAAATTATAGAAGCAATCTATTTATACATAAAAGCAAATGAATGTGAAATAGTGGAGTCATTTTTGAAAAATCTATAATATTCTCAAATTTTTAATTTTAATAACTAATTCAACTATAATGGATTCATTTAAAGTTTACAAAAACATAAAATTATTGAACATACAATATAGAAATACTATTAAAAAAATTATACAAAGTTATTAAGTATATGTTATAGTAATTTTTTCAAAATTATGTTTTTTAAAAGTAAATTTAAAAATTGTAAAATCTAAATACATAAAATAACTCTTATAATAATTTGCATTAATGTTAATTGAATTAAAATATATTGAGTTTATTGTAATATTTTATTATAAATTATTTTAATTTTTATGATAATTATTAGAATATACAAAAAAAACTATTTAAAAATATTTTTAATTTTATAATAATATTTTAGATAATTTTAGTTATCTTTTATATATATATGTAAATTTTGAAAATTTATTTAATTGTGTCAATTGATAATTTCATGTAATCAATAGAAATGTCAACAACAACAATATTTCTCAACAAATTAATTTATTATAATCAAATTTATTATAATTAGTCATTAGATTTTATATAATTAAATTACTAGTTCTCGAGAAATATACTTTAATTATAAATATGAAATAAATTTGTATAATTAACTTATACACTAACGTAACATTATATTAAGCTAATTATAATTATCAAATTTGTAATAAATAATTTAATATTTTTATGCAACTCCTAAATCCAAACCACATAACAGGTGCGCCATTCAACCGGAATATGTATTTTACTACCGGAGTCCAGAGCATCGGATGCGTTATGTGCTCTCATTTGCATTTGTTTTTAATGGCAAAGATAATGATGTTTATCAGTTTGCACTGTCATATCCGTACACATATAGCAAACATTGTCATCAATTACAACACTGGAAACACATTTATTATAATAAACCAAATGTTGGTTTAACACAAAATTTTCGTTTTGAAATCAACACAATTGGTAAAAGTTTGGTAAGAATAATATCTATATGTATGTATGAATTTCACGAAAAATGCACACAAATCTAATAAAAATAAAAACTAATATATTGTATATATATATATATATAAATGTCATCAAAGATAGTTAAATACACTGCTTATGTATTCATATATTTTTGTTGCTTTAAAATTGCTTGCATTGCAAACAAATTGCGATATAAGGCGTGGAAATGAATGAATGAAAGAAAATGTGGGAAAACATTGTATACATTATTGTATAAGAAATACATGAAAAGTAATGTTCATATCATTTCATTTTCTTGTTTTCATTTTAATGTTGTTTTGCATTGCTTTCAACTCATTATTGATTTTTATAAACAGTTTTAAACACTGACATAATGACAGTCAATTCAAAAGTGTTTCTCTCATTTAAATCATGTATTGATTTTTATTGTACACATGAATGACACTTATTAAGTACCACTTTAATTGTATAAATATTCATTTACAGTATATAATTATACATGTTTTTATTAAATAAACAAATCAAATTAGATATTGTTTATAAATGTATCTAAATTATTATTTTCCTTTATATACTGTATATCAAAAATATGTGTAATCAGTGTTTTTAAATTATTATTTATTTAAAATACCTATATATTAATAATTATTAGCAGAATTATACTAAAAATAAGTTATATAATAATTAAACATGTTACTACAATATATTAATATTAAAAATTGTTAGATAAAATTTTACAAATAAATTGCAAAAACTTTATGTCAAATTTTGGTTACCATTTATTGAGTGAAATAAATGCATCAATATATCTATAAGTATACAATCGATTGACACGAAATGATAAATGTTTGAAGTAATAAACAATCAAATGTATTGAATGCTGTCTAATGTTGTCAAATGTTGTCATTCAAAATGTTTTACAATTTTTGTTTGAAAAATATTTGTTGGAATCAAATATAGTCTTTAGCATTATTTTCACTTTTTAAATGTTATTTATATTATATGTTTGTATTAACTTTTTTATTTTTTTATCTGATATATTAATATTTTACATATTAAATATAGCCCTAAAATTATTTTAATATAATTGGAAACAATGTAAACTATGCGAATTTATTGTTGTATTTGCGTTTATAGCAAAATAATTATACTTTGTTTTTATAATTGACAAAATATGTTAATAATTAAAGTAATAAATGTCATAAATTATTTCGTTGATAAATAATACTTGTAATTGTATTATGCAATGCATACTATGCATACAGAATATATAATACTCTTTGGTTGGTTTTACTAAATTTTCATTGATTAGGATTTATTTAAATTCCTATTTTGTAATATAAATAAAAATGATTAAAAAATTGATTTAATTCAAAATTTATTCAAATTTAATAATTTAATTTCCATAGAAAAACAGTACAAAAAATATTTCAATTTTGATGCTTTGTTTGACTCACTAAGCATTATGTTGTGATGTCAATCATAATCAAGTGCTTAACTCTATTATTGCATTACTTATATACAGAATATCATGTTATGTGTGATAAGCCGTCACATAATTAGGGAAGTAGTGGTCGATCACAGCGATTGAGTTTCAATATAATGAAGTACTTTATATACTGTACTATACATTCATTGACTAAGACATAACAAGTTTGTCTTATAATTTGTATGTAAAATAATAGCATTTCATTGTCAATGTATTGCTTCATACCGTAGATATGGTGTCCAAATATTAAATATTTAGTAGAATATACTGTATTTATTTTTATATTAATATTTTATATTTATATTAATTGATTATTTATTTTTAATAAAACTAAACTCCATTATTAAACATCTATGCAATAGCATAATAAAGTAATTTAAAGTTTATTTATTTAACTATAAATGTTTGGTAACTGCAATTAACGATAATAATTGTTATTCTTTTAATGTTTAAGTTTTATAGATTTATTTGACAACAAAAACAAAAATCTTTAATTAGTGTTATAATTACAAAAGTATCCAATGCTTAATATTTTCTAACAATAATCTTTTGACTTGATATTAGTTTTATATTGCACTCAATATAACTAATTTTTAAACATTAAATATTTCAGTTTTTATTAATTAATCCAAGTCTGATAAACATAACATTTTATTACCTATTTATATAATATAAGCAAAAAAATATTTTTAAAAACCCATTGTTCTTAATTTAAATCAGGCATTAAAAATTATACTTTATAAAATTAAATTGCACTTAAATTAATACAAATAAAATGAGTAATCATGAGTTTATCTTATTCGCTGTTTTATATAAATTATCAAAATTATTATAAAATATCTGTTAAATTTTATGTTATCATTAAAAAATTATTATGATACCACTTAATTTTAATGACTGATCTAACAAAATTAAAATAAATTGTTTCATGATAAAAAATTTAATTATATTTTAATTGGCTCGTTATATAATACCAATATGAATTTTACACCCAATATAAAAAAGCAAACAAATAATTTTTTATAAATTTATATTAAAATTTAAAATAAAAATATTCACATTTTAAGTTATAAAACAATCTTACGGTATAAAGTGATTTGCATTTTAAACAATTCAAACAAATTAATTGTAATTACTGAATTATTTGAATTTTGAATAATCAATTCATTATTTTGCAGTAGAGTATGTTTTATAATTTATTTTGTTAACGCATTTTTTAAATTTTGTATTCATCAATCATTAACTGTTTTCGTGACTAATATTTGTTAAACTAAATATTGATCTTTTTTTACTATTAATATATCAGTTTAATCGTATTAAATATATAATAGAAGTTAGTATAATATTATACATATAAAGTTAAATAACAAATAATATTATGCATTATTAATCAATAAATTACAAATTGTAAAATACAAAACAATAATTTTTAAGAATTTATATTTATTTTATATATATTAATATAATTTTTTAAAACAGACTATTTGTACATGATAAATTGCAATATTTAAAAATATTTTCTAAATTATCTAAAAAAGTAATACTGTACTGCTTTTTTTATAAATTATGTTTTTTATAAGTAAATATTTGAAGTTACACATTAAACAAGTTTGACGTTAAATATATACAAATATAAATATTGTTTATTAAAGATATAAAATATAATTGTATAAATCTTAAAAATATTTTATAAAAACTTCTTTTTGACTTACAATAAATTTTATATTTAACAAATATATAATATATAATATAATATATTTATAAAAAGGTGTAAAAAACTTTGTAGAGATCAATGTGTTGGTGAAAAACTTTTTTTTTATATTTCTTGCAATGCAATGGTGTGATACTCGCCATAATAATCAGTGCCATTCATTATTTGATGCAAATAATAGATCAATTGTAATGATTGTAGTCAAACCATTGTTTGTAATGATTGGTAATCAAACCATTGTTGCCCGACTATCCACTCTCTCCCTGTCCACAGACCTTTCATGTCTTCCATTGCCATCGAGTCTGTAATTGATGTCTGAATTTCTTTCGGGCGGAATCTCAACTGAGACGGCATCGATCTCCTCAATGAATACACTTTCCAATGGTATCTGTTATCAAATAAACGATAAATGTATATGAATTATATCAAACTTCAATCTATAGTTTATATATAAATATAAATTAAATTTTGTTAGATTGTTACAAATGGCTGCAAATCATTTAAAAAGTAGCATATATTTACTCTATTACTATTATGTCTTATATTTATAGATTAGATTCACAACAATGTATTTATAGTGTAATATTTATCTCAATTATAATACAAAGTGTATTTCAATGATAATGAATTGATTCGACTGAAAGCATAGTTTTATACAAAACAAATGCTATGATTGTCTCTGTGATAATGTATCACTTCATACGGTATAATATAACAGTACATATAGTGTACACTAACTATTCATTTAAAGACAAACTATTTTTCATTAATATTAATACTGTATTAACAAAATTATCATTAGTTTTAATGTTGTTTAAAATGACTTATTTTTTAGACACTATTATCCGATAATTTATGACAACATATTCAGTACAATGATGTGATATATGATATTAACAAAGTGTAGTCCCAATGGTATGACCGACCTCTGCATGAGCTAAGGGTTGTTTTTCCTGTCTTTTTCGCCACGAGTTCTTAGTTTTGTCACTTTTGCTTTTCTTGTGGTGTGATCTCATCTCTTGCGATGGCAAATGTGGTGATCTTTTCCATTGAAGTTCTTTGTCTGGCATGGGATGAGTGACAGACATAACACATTGAATGCCTTTTAAGATAAGCATTGACATCGCTCTATAATATATAAAACATTTTATTATCATTTCATTGGTCATTATAAGTAATCCATCAAATAATACAAATGCCATTATAATATTCAGCTTTCATTATATAGTATATTAAGTTATAGCTATTAAGTGCATACAATACTTGACTAAACTGTGATTTAAACTAACAAGTGATGACTTTTAAACATTATATCTTATATGTTATCAAAGTTAATAATAACAAAAGTTATGGCAAACTCACTCACATAGCGATCAAAACGCAAACCATATATAACTCCATAATATTGGATGTCTTGTGAAATACGGGTCTCAATATATAATATAATTTATATCTTTATATAATACTATGTCATGTATTTATCGGTTTAAAGGGTGTGGCAAACGGTATATACGGCTTATGACTTATAATGCAATGCTTTGAATATCACAACAAATGACATGTAATGATGTACTGAACGTGTTATTCCCATAAATTGCATACAAAATGCTACAAAAGATCAAAATTTATATCTCACATAAAAATAACACTATTTTTGCTATGAATGACACACAGAATATTAGATGAAATCCCTATAAGAATCGAAAAAACGTCTCAATTAATTAATTACAATATATTCAATATTAAAACATATTTTGCGTCAACTTTATGTTTGCGACCATTGCTTTAATGGAGACCTAAAAATAACATGTTTACCAATAACTCCAGTGTTTTTTAAATGAACGCTAAAATATAATAATATAATAGACATGAATTACAAGTTAGCTTTGGTTTCCATAATATGCCTGTCTGTATGACTGCATGTGCTGTCAGCTCAGGTAAAACAGGTTGCCATCATTTGGGCGGTATTTCAGCAGCACTTGTATAATACAAATTGTTTTCATCACTCATCGCCAGATCTATTTTATTAATATTACAAATATTATTAAATCTTATAACTAAAACCATTTGAATTAAGCAAACATTAAAACTCATTTTAAAACTTATAGTAAATAGTATTATACTGTATTTCACAACTTTATTTTAAATATGCTAACTTACTGTATATTGTCTTGTATGCTAAATTATGTATTATGTAATACAAATATACAAATATAAGGCTATCTAAGATATTAATAGTATAAAAATTACATATATTTATATATAATTATTGTCTATATAAATTAAGGTTAAGAAATTATTTTTAAAAACGTTAGTAAAACATAACAAAGATTAGGTTTTATAAGTTTTTTTTAAATATTGGTATATTATTTATCTTTATGAATTATTAATATAAATTGAATTGTAACTTACATAACAATTGTAGTTTTACAAATGAGATAATATTAATTTATGAGTATTTATGTTTTTTAATTTATAAACAGCAAAATAGAGACATACACTTAATAACAATTGGCGGCAATAAATGTTTAGAGGACAGTAAGATTGGTTCAAAAATAGTAATAATAACGGCACGACTTCACCCGTCAGAGACGGCCACTTCATACATATGCGAAGGCAATGCTTATTCATATATTTCATTCAATATGACTGCTATTTTGATATTTTATTGATACCTGTATTTTGATTTTGTTTATGAAACTCAGGTATTATAAATTTGCTTATAAGTGATGATCCAGTGGCCACTTGTTTGCGATCGTATACTAAATTTTATATAATACCAATGCCTAATCCAGACGGTGTGTTTGTAGGAAATACTAGGTATGAAAAGTAATCATTTTATTCTTATATTTCTAATATTATTAACTTTAATTGAATTTTAATAAATAAAAATAATTATAATAATTGCTTTTATATTTATTAAAATTGTTAAAATTCATTAAAAGTATAATTAAATTAATGCAATTGTTTAGTATTTAAATCAAATTATATATTGAATACTATGAATTAGATGTGTCATATAATTAATATATTAAACAATTTGGTTAAAACTATTAGAACATCAGTAATTGGTAGTGACCTGAATGCTAGTTGGCATAAGATATCACCACTAATGCATCCAGAATTAGTGGCTGTCAAACAAACCATTGAAGATATCGCAAAAACATATGTGAGTTAATGATTAATATACACTTTTATTTGTAATCATATATTTAATGTCTTTTAATACTAATTTCTTAACTAATAAGATGTCTTTTATCCATAAATTGTTAGCAGCTTTTTGTTTAGTATTTCTCTCTCTCTCTCTCTCTCTCTCTCTCTCTCTCTCTCTCTCTCTCTCTCTATCTATTTATTTATTTAGCAATCTTTCTATCTTTTTCAATCTATTACATAAAATATATACTTAGTTTATAACGTATAAATATATATATTATTTTATAATAAATATAAATGATTAACTAACTTATAGTATTAAATATCAATGTGATAGATTAATAGGATAATATAATGTTGTTTCTAATAAGTTAAGTTATAATTGTTATAACATTTATTATTGTGTAATAAAGTTATTTATTTTATTGTTTGTTATTCTTATTATTATAAATTATAATTACATTTATTATTATATAGTATTAATGAGTAAATTGTCAAAATTGAACAGGGTGAAGATGTGGACACATATATTGATCTTCACGCACACACCTATCTATTGGGTGCCTGTATTTATGGTGTTTCTAGAGATGATATTTTCCATATGGAAAGACACGCTCTGTTTCCTAAATTATTGAGTATAATAGCGGATGACTTTTATATCGATAACACTGTCTATTGTAAAGAAAGGCATAGCTCCGGCAGTTCCCGCAGGTTTATACCATATCTCATAGTAGTTTATTACCTTAATATTTATCTTATATATAAAATAACATTGAATCCTTTATATTTTATACGAAAATATACTTTTGGTTAATGTTTTTTATTTGAGATATATTTTTACAAGTCTTTAACATTTTTGTGTATCAAAAATTTTGTTGTTGAAATGCACATTACATATTTTAGAAACATAAAAATGTTATGCAAAATCATAGTATTTATAGTAAAATTTAAGTATAATATATATTATTATCATTATTATTATATAAAAAATAATAATATTAGAAATATGTGCCATTTTACAGTTATATGACAACCATATTTCACAGCAAAACAAATTGTTATACATTAGAAGTAAGCCATTACGGCTATTATGATAAGCAAACACTGGGACACACCATCATTCCGTATACCGACAAAAAATGTATACTTATTTCATAATCATTGCCTCCATATGTTATCAGCCATTCTCTTACATATATTTGTTAACATTTAATTCAAATAGACTTTTGTTTTATTTTAAAATTCAGATAAATTGTTGGCAGAAAATATGGTAATCGCACTGTTAGATTGTTACCGGACTATTGGTCACATACCACCTAATGATATATCACCACAGATTCAACATTTACTGTCGCATACCAGTCAAGGAATGCTCAGTCAATCCAATGAATATAAACTTAAAGATTCAATCATTAAATTAACCACAAAATCTATTAATTCATAAATAGTATTCATATGATTGAACGATACATTACTGATACACATTTATATTGTATTTATATAATTTTTATCAATTTATTCAGACACACACAAAGATATACCGTATTATATGCAATATAAATATATATATATATATATATAAATTACATAACATATTAATTCAGAACATTGTTTGTAATCAAATCAATATTGTAATCATTGTATTTCTATTCAATAAAAACCATTGAATTCCACTATGAGTTTATATTTATATAATTTAGTTTAAATAAGATTTTTATAAAATTCTCAAAACTAAAATTACAAATTGAATTTCTATAATATGGTTATATTATTATAACAAATAAAATTTAATATAATTTAATTGTTATTTTTAACTAATATAGGATACATTTATGACAATAATATAAAAATATCTGACATAAACATTGTTTTCAGTTTGGTTAAAATATTTATTGCATGTCTATTGACTAACAGTTCAAATGTGGTAATAAAATGATAAATAATTAAATACTAAGTCAAATATCAATAGATAATAGTTGATCACAAGTATTGACTTTTAGTAAAATACACAGATTTTATTTGAAATTAATATATGATATTTTATCAAAACACTTTAACTTTATAACTAAAATTAGATTCAATAATATTGTTTATTTCTAAATAAGAATTATTTTAATATTTAAAATTATAACAGAATATCGATAAATTGTGTTAAAATGAATGGTATTTTTATAATTTATCCAAAATAAAAATTCAAAAAATTAATTTCTAGTTTAAAAATTAAAAGAAAATGAGTTTAAAAAAATTGTATGAATTTAGATTTTTTGTGTTTTAAATAACATAAATCAATGGTAGACATAGGCATTGATTTTTGAAATTCAAAGCATTCTTGCATTAAATGCATCAAAATGTGGGACAGAGAGGAATAGTATGTACAGTATGTATGAGCGCCGGATCAGCACATTTGAAGCGCTGAATACCATTCTATAGAAAATCATAGTTCACATGGTTTTGTCAACTGAGCCCTTGTATTGCCATTAATTTTGTGCCGTTTCAGCATTTATTACATTCACTATACAATACAATAAAGTGTTATACAATTTATTGTATTAAATGTATAAATACTTAAAGCATTACTTAAATGTATCAAAAATATTGAGTTTCAATTCATTGGTAGACCTATCGTCTCGAATGGCTATAACTGTAATAAATTTTTCGTTACATTAACTTTGTATAGCAATTGGTTATGAATAACAAATCAAAATATCTTTTTCTTTATTCTCACAATAATTACAAACATTTTTGCTTCATTAGGCTTTTGTAACTTTTATCACTTAATGATACCAAATATTTGCACATATATTATATTTTGTAAAGCTATTTAGTCAGTGGTTAAAAATAATTAGACAAATTTCTTCATATTTTCATTAGTTTAAATAAATTTATGTCATTTATTTAATATGATATACAGTATAACAATCAATAATAGTGTTTTGAAATATTAGCTTATAAAATGTGTTTAATTTTATTAATATACTAATTTAAAATATTATTTATATAGCATTAATTTACATACAAATTTTTATTATTCAAGTTAAATAGTTTCATTTAGTTTTCACTAATTAAATACTTATCATATAAGATATAATTTATTGTAATTTGCAAACAATAACTATTGAAAACCAAATAAGAAATATCAAAATTACAAAATAAATGTTTTACTCCAAACTTGAAACCATTTTTTAATTCAAAACGTAAGACAAATGCGTGACCGTAGGCCTCAGTAGGTATGAGCAAAATTGATGAAAAAGCAAAATACAGTTTTCTGATGTAAATTTCATCGGCAAAGTTGTCGCTTTAGTTTAGGGAATAGGAGATCACAGACTGTCATATAAAGAGAATGGGATGAGAAGTGTCCAACAAAAACATATCTCATATTTTATGATTATATTTCACACATTTTAACATTCCTTACACACACTTATGTGTTCACCCGTTAGTCCTTTATTTCATTGCAATTAATGGACAAACATTTTGGTAATCTTTTTAAACATTTAATGGCTATCCATTACTTGGCTAAACTATATGAACATTTTGCATATTTAAATGTAATTTTTGTAATGAATATATATAGTCTATATATAATCTAAATAATATGAATTCATATACATAATTACAATAAATATAAGATGAAATACAGTACATCAATTTGATCAATACGTCAAGCAATGGTATATACAATATGAAAGTTAATATGTGATACAGCTTTCAATAATAACGAAACTTTGTATAGAATCACATATTAAAGCAAACATTGAATGACAATATTTAATATCTAACTTTTATTAAATTCTAGTCAATTGTAATTTCAAATGTTTTTATACATTCAATTTTATTTATATACTGCATTTTTTTATAAATCAATCAAATATTATTTACTATTAGATTTTGAAATAATAATTACATTTTATTTAATACATAGAAATAACGATTATATTAATATCTTAATATATATTATAGATTGTGTTTGTTAAATACAAATTTTAATTTTATAGTTAAATCATTTTTTAAACATAATAATTGCTATTGCTATACTACATTGTAACTGTATAATAAAATTTTTAAACAACTCTTATTGTAATATAATATAGTAGCAGTTTTAATAAATATTAGTAAAATGTTAAATATAGATGAAATTACAACTCTAATCAAAAATATATAAATAATGATTGCAAATTCACAACACTATTGGTTTAAATAACATAAATAAGTCTATTATTAGTGAAAGTTCGATAAAATATTATTTTTAGTTAAATGCAAAGCACGGTTGTATACATTACATACCTTCAAAAGTAAATTTTTTTACAAATCATAACTATTTTATATTTTTTATTAAGTTTATAAAAACTAAACTCTGGTAACAACAACAAAATTATCTCACGTTTTGATCAATTTTTCTCAAATTTAAAGCTTCTTTGACATTGAAAGTCAAATAAGTTGTGTATTTAATATTTTAAGGAAAAATTTATGACCAGTAAAGAGAAAAATGGATCAAAATGTGAGATTACTATCTAAACATTTTTAAAATTTATATGATTGTTGTTTTAAGTTTATAAATTTAATTTTTATTAAATATAATCCAAGAAAATATTATTGTTTATTAATTATTATATTTATAAAATAATTTCATAGTTATATTAACACTTTACACTATTAATATTTATTAATACTGTATAACTGATTGGTGTAAAGCTAATGGCATATCAGGGACCATCATATGGACTGAGCCGAGAGTGTCTACTAAAGGTATAACATTTATCATTTAAAATAATAATAATAATTTATTATACAAACTGTTAATTGATAATACACTCAATTGTATTACTAGTCTCAGTCCAAATTTGACATGAAATTAGGGCTTCAGGCTCTTCAATGGATGCGTGTTATAACATCACTACCTCTTGAAGCACTCAATCCAGAGGTTGGCTTTAGAGATCAGTTTGATTTTGCTGACTGTCTTAAGGATGGAATAGCTCTTTGCACGTAAAAATGAGTCAAATACCTGTGATATATATATATATATATTTCATATATTGTTTATAATAAAAATTTTGTTTAGACTCATAAATATTCTTAGACCGGGATCTGTATCTAAAATCAATGAAACTAAAGCACCGTTCAAACAGGTCTGTGCTTTGATAACTCATAACTCCATTTAGTGAATCAATAAATCCAGTGCTCAAAGAAAACATCATTATATGAGAAACATGTATAACTTTTAACAATAGATTTGACTCCAATTTAAAATCTAATATATAGTTATAATATAATAGCGAATTCTGTAAATGACATCATTATATAAATCATATTATATATTGTATTATATGTCTTAATATATCCTCAATATCTGACCCAAATCTCAGTTCAATCGGCACTCTTGTGTCGATTTACTTAAATTATTGTCATTAGAAATAATTTTATACTTTTTCATAAATCATATCATTGTTTCGTTAATTTAAATAACTTTCAAATGTTTAATAGAGAGAAAACTTAGAAATGTTTCTTAAAGGATGTGAATTATATGGACTTAAAGGTCACGATTTGTTTCAAGTGAACGACTTATACGAACGCAAAAACCTTTATATGGTATGTATTAATGAGTCGATCAACAGATCCACCGGTTCTTCAGTCAGCTATAAAACCGAATCTAATATCAGTTTTTATATTATATTATTTGATATGCTTTTTATATCAGAAGAATTTCAAGAAGAGTTAAATGTTTTATTTAATTATTAAACTATTGTTTGTTTAGGTAGTCAACTGTTTATTTGCTTTGGGAGGACTGGTGAGCCTAAAACCATAGTTGTCTTATTTGGCCAAACATTGCAATTAAAGTATCGATTGTGAAAAAACTTATTTTAGGCTCAGAAAAATCACTTCAATGGACCAGTGATTGGAGTGAAAGTCGCCAATCAAAACAAGAGAGGCTTCACTAAAGAGGTCTTAAATAAAGGCGAATCAGTAATTGGTTTACAGTCCGGCACTAATAAGGGCGCCAATCAGTCCGGAATGACCCCTTACGGCACTACCCGACAAATCTATATGGCTGATTACCGATAAATATATTTATATTTAATAGTTATTTACTATTATTATATTAACATTTTTGCCGATTCGTTGCATAACAGCACAACACTCACAGGTTTTAACAGCTTTTTATTAAACAAAATCTCAAAAACAGTTTATTTTTTAACCAAATTAAATATAATAGTAATTTTGATCACAATTATCAATAATTTTATGGATTTCTTCTTAAAGTTCTTTATAGAGGACCTGTTGGTCAACAAGAAGTCTAATATTTAAAACTTCTCGAATATGGATAAAAACAATATAAAACAGTCATTTTAAACCATGAAAAATAAAAATAAATTTAACTAAAATATTTTTAAAAATAACCTGCTTTTAGTGAGCAATCATATTTTAGATGTGTGACTATTATTAATAATTAAATGGTTTTGTTATTCAAAAAAAAATCATTTAGATATTATACAGTAATTGTGTGCTATTATTATGCAACGAATAACGGTATGAATTAACAAATATACTTAATATATTAGTACTTATTTTTAAATTATTAATATTTAATATACATAACTATATTTAAATTTTATAATTTTATGCTATTTTCTATGAAACTTATTTTATATAATAATTATGTTCAGTTATACCAGTTTTTATTATTTGATTCGCTGTTATTTATTTCATTCATAAACTTGTGTATTAGAAACTTTAAAATTTAGTTTAACATAATTCATCACATAATTAAAATTTTTAAGATTATAACACATAATTGCTAAGCATTTTATTAACATTACGGTAATTATTCTGTTTAAATCAAAATAACAAATAATTTAATTATTACAGATTTAAAAGTTTTATTATAATTTTTAAATATATTAAATTTATAAATAAAATCATATATTTCATAGAGGATAAATATACAATATATTATAGTTTACATATATATAATATCATTTAAATATTACAATCTGTAGTAAAATAAACAACAAACTATCAAATGACTCGACTTGACGTGACTTAGCTGTGGAATGATATTATAATGCATTTGTAATAAAAATAAATATATTAAAAAAAATTATAGCACTTTTTAAAACATAATATACACTATTAATTTAAGTCATGTGTTCAACATTTGACAAAAATAGCATATATTGTGTCTCACAAGTATGACATTTATATAACAAATACCAAGAGTATCGCAATTTTTCATTGATTTTTATATTAAGATATAATATAACTTTAGACAATTACTTTTCATAATTCATACATAAACCTAATACATGTTTTAGTTTAATAATTCATTTACCGGTAAATGAATCTAATGTTTTGGTTTTAGATATAATTTAATAATCTACCACAAGATTTTTAAATAATATAATTAAAATCGACAATACACTAGTTATAATACAATAGTAATAATAATAATAATATTTATGTATTATATTATGAATATTGAAATCACAGTCAATTAAAAAGTGGTTAAAGCTCTGCTCTAATCAGCAAAACTAACTTCAGATCCGATTCACGACTCCAGTCATGACTTTCAATACTTTTCAAGCATTTTATCAGATCTTCCAACTTATGCGGCTCTTCTTTATACTCAGTGTTTCGGATTATATTCAACATAAGTGTTAAATAAAATCCAATCGTCTATTGAATTGAATCAAAATAATTGAAAATAATTAATGTTATATTATATTAATAGAGTATATATTAATATATAATGATTACAAACTTTGTCTCCAACGGGAAGATTATTCAATTGCCTTATTATTATATCAATAATGACTCGAACGTCACTAAATGTTAAAAACATTAAATTAATTATATTTGTTGAAAATTACATTAAAATCTTACTTATAATAAAAAAGCTTAGAAATAGCTAAATTTGCAAACATTTCAATTAACAATTTTAATGCAGAGTTAGGTTTATTTTCCATAGTTTGCTTCTCCGTGTGTCGACTACCGGTGCAAACTTTAGTAATGTCTTCTTCCCAATTCAGATATGAAATTAAGTTCTCTGTTAATTGACTCGCGTTTCGTCTCTTAGACAACGCTTTAAGAACTAAATTATCGGATATATCATCAAAATGAAGATTAAAAGCAAGTATCGGTGCAATACTATTCTCAGCAGATATTTGACTATCGATACGATTTCCGGTCGAATCAATGCCTTCAATCAAATCAAGTTCTTGTGTAATAAACTTTTCGTTAATATGTGAATATATATGAATCGGTGGTTTGTGTCCAGTACTGAATATTGCTGTAAATACGAGAGCAGCTGAAGACCAACGTTCTGTGTCGTCCACATAATTCTGCATTTCTGCTGACAATTCTGATGGCAAAACAGAAGTCAATAAATAATCAGAAATGATGTCTTCGTATAACGAGATTAAACAAATAAAAATGCGGTATAATATCATTCGTAGTGATCTTCGTGTTTCCATCTGATAATATGTTACTAACATTTCTATTCTTTCATAATTTTGGCCACAAATCTCATCTTTAATGACTAATGGATTGGCATTTGACATAATCTGAAGTAAATCATCCAAATACTGTCCGATAACATCTTCGTCTCTATCAATGGGATTATTTCGTTGTTGTTCATCATTCTTACAAAACCATAACTTTTTGAAGACTGCCTTTAAATTAACTAAATCTGAACTTTGAACACAAGAATTGGATATATTATTATTTTGAGATAATTTTTCGAGTATTTTAATACAATCTCCACTCCATTCGACAACTCTTTCACTAAGACATTCAATTACTGTCTTAACTGTTAAAATACACATATTATGGCTAAGATCTGATGTGACTCTAACTCTTTCGATGAGTTCAGAGATGAGTGTGTCATCAATTTGGACGCTATTGGCTATTGATTTAATCTGTTCCGACTCTATCAATACATTTGTTTCATTTACATCTTTCACAATATTTTTAATAGACATGTCTTCTACAATATTTGTCACATAATTCTTATCTTCGGTTTTAATCAACTCATCGCTTGTCTGTTGCTTTGAATCGACAACTTCTTCATCTTCAGCATCATTAATGTCAACTTCTGGTATAACTTCTGGTGTTTTCTTTTTGAAGATCAATTGGACGACTTCACAACGGATTTGCGCCAATTTTCTATAAGATATAAACAATAAGTAAGTTATCATCAAATATTAATGTCTGTAATTGTGGTTCACATCTGCGCGTGTTTCACTTGTCTATCGGTTATACCACTTCTGTCATTGTGTTTTGAGTCCAATTGTTGTGCAATAGAGTCGATTAAAATCAATAAATCTGTTTCTGGGATCAGCTATTTTGGACAATAGATAAAAATGATTATAAAAATAGTTTGATTGAAATGAAGACAACAAACCTTTTCTTCGACGACATAGTCTTTGGGAACGTAACCCAATTGACCCAAAGTGTTGACACAATAGACCCAATCATAAGGTTTGGTCTCTTTAATGACAATAAACTTTTCCTCGACTTTAAAGTTCAAGACTTTGTTGTCGTTGGACTCGTACTCATAGACAGCTTTCAACACAGTTGTCATGGCTTCCAGTTATCAAATCTACTTTCAATTATTATCAATTATCATAGATTTAACAATGAGATTATCACCAAATGGATCAAATGGTGACAATGATTAGCAAAAGTGGTCAACATTTTGATGAATAAATCAAAAACATTTAAAACCAAAACAATGTTTTCATTCATTAAAAACGTATGAATTATGTTTGTGTTTAACAACTAATAATTGAGTCCTATTTCTATATATTAAATATATAGTGTTTATAATAATAAAAGGACCCAAAAAGTCAAACAGACTTATTGTATCCTTGAAATCATTTACTCATCGATTGATTCATTGATTCATTTGTTGACTGAAGAAGATATCGGAAGATATAATAACAATGTCTGTGGTCTTCAAGATAGCAATCAATCGGACATTTGCCACAAGAATGGCCTCAATGGCGGCCCATATGTCCCGCAGACATGCGTCGGCAATGCCGTTGACCTTTTCATCCCCGTATCAGGTGATGACACGATTTGTCTGATAATTGAAGCAATGGATCAATTAATAGACTTTTATAATAATATATTAAAATGTTTGTAATAATAATAGGTTTATTACAATGCGGTTGATGTCAAACAAGTAGACGTCCCATCATTTAGTGGTAGTTTTGGTATACTTCCCAATCATGTGCCGACTTTGGCTGTCCTTAAGCCCGGTTTGCTTACAGTTACTGAAAATGAAGGAAATGTTAAAAAATATTTTGGTATTTATTAACACATTTGATATAAATATTAGTATTAATAATAATAATAATAATCATATTATTTCAATTTGAATAATCAATTGTTTACAGTAAGCAGTGGAACCATTACCATCAATGATGACTCTTCAGTACAAGTGTTGGCTGAAGAGGCCGTTCCCATTGAGAATCTGGACAGGAGTGCAGCTCAGGCAGCCTTAAGTCAAGCACAACAGGAATTGAATTCAGCCTCAAGTGAAGTAGCGAAGGCCGAGGCTATGATTGCCGTTGAAGTTAGTGAAGCATTAGTTCAGGCGTCCAACTGATGGACAGTTGATTATCAATAGATTGTCTTTAATTATTAAATATAACAAAATCTTAATTGATTATCAAATCTTTAATTTTGTTTGTCTATAATTAGTTCACCAAAAGTTAATTAGCGATAACTAAAAAATAATAAAAAAAATTAGTTACAAATATTTAAATATGAAATTTATTGTTTTGTTGTTGTAATATATTTTGCTTTAAATTGATAGCAATTATTTAATTTGAATTAATTGAAGAAAATTAGTTTTTATTGAAATAACTATTAATTTGATATAATATTGAGTTTAAATATTTATTTTTCCCAATAAATGGCAGAATAAGAGTAATCTAAACATAATATTCAATAGACAGAGAAAGTGCTATACTATAGTCACTCAATCATTGAATGTCTTAATAATCTTTCTTCTTTTTCTTTGTCCACTCTTCATGACTGGGATTATGAGTGGTTTCAGTGGAAGTTCCGGTCTTTTTTCGTTGTTCTTCGTCTGCCTTTTTCTTTTTCCTCTCTTCGTCCTCTTTTTTCTTTCGTTTTGCCTCTTCTTCTTCTGCCAAATCTTTTTTCCAATTTTTGTTTTTGGGTTCGAATCCTCCGCCAGAAGTGGTTGGACCGCCAGATGAAGCGCCCGATGACTTCTTTTCGTCGTCAGTGCTGTTCTTTTTGTTTTTGCCTCCTTTGGAATCATGCGATGACTTTTTGTCACTTTTTGAATCAGTCGATGGCTTTGAGCCACCAGTTGATGATTTAGATGAACTGCTGTGTCCACTCTCTTTAGACACAGCAATGATAGCGATATCCGGATGTGTGGAACAGATTTTGTGCAAATGTGTGTGACATAAGACACAGATATGACAGTGTTTGGTGTCTGAATGCAATTGAACTGTTTTGTCAACGATGACATCTTCAGTTTCTTCACCAGTTTTGGACATCACTGATCGTTGACAATATTATCACCGATCTATTCAATCGATGGTCTAACGGTCGACAAGTAATTAACTAATAGACTGGACATAAATACTGGACAACTTTATTGATCAGTAAATTATATTGAAATTCAAATCAACATAACGTGCAAATAATTATAATAATTGTATGATTTGTATATTATTTTTATCATGACTTGAATTCAAAATTATAAATCAATATTTTGAATACAAGTTATCAAATGGGGATTAAATAGTGTATATATATATATATAACGGTAAATAAATTAATTTCGCGCGACTTAACCTAATTTAAACTATATTTAAATACATATAAATATATAGAAATAATAATCGCGTGCCAACAGTGATATAACAGCCGATGAAAAATTTTATTACATTATATTTTAATTATCATTATATCTATAATTATATTACTTAATGTCTGTAATATCTTAATCGCTATTTGTATGTCAAGAAAATAAAAATAATTAAATCAACAAATACCACAATTTTATGAAACAATTCCTCTGAGTCGACGAATGTGCGATTAAATGTTCGTTAAGTCATTACATATTTTATTAGATAATTTTCAATAAAATACATTTTAATTGAAAAAAATAAATTTATTTTATTTTAATGTTTAACAAATAACAAATATAATAATTTGATTGTATAATAAACCATATATAATAATAATTTTCACAAAATATATATAACACAACATTTGATTGTTAATAAACGATATAATTAGTATATTAATAATAATAAAGACCAGAGGTTTGCATCACAAAACACTATATCTACATATTATTATTAAATATTAATAATAATTGTAAAATTTAATTCTATCAATAATTGTATACTGAATTAATATTTTTTTATATATTAATAAATATAGAATAAAAATAATTAGTAAAAATATTGTACAATTTAATGCAAAAAATTGCATTTTTTGTAAATAAAATTAATAATTTTTAGACCATAAATTCAGTGATCTTATGATACGTTTTGAGGATTTAATGACACTAAAGTGATTATTGTGTGTGTGTGGGGGGGGGGTGTATTACATATAAAGTATAATAATGCATTTTGTGGCACTTATTTATAATCACAGATTTCTATCTAATCTAATCTAATTTTGCTAAATTTGCGGATTTTGTATCACTTTCCGATGCATTAACGGTCATAACTTTATCTGATAATAAGCGCACAATATTATCAGCTTCAGTAAAGATCTGTAATAAAATATATATAATTATTTAAAAATAATTTAAAACTTCAGTAAATCTCTTAAAATTGTTATAATAATAATGTAATGACAATATTAAAACGATATACCATATAGTTATAAATAATAAATATAATTAAATTTAGACAACTTATTATACGTTATTTGATAATAATTATGTAAACAAACCTCATTGAAGTTGACATCGAGGAATAGTTCCTGAAGAAAACGTCGGGCAGACATACGAAAGTTATAAGTGGAAAGTTGTAAACATATCTCAGAATAAAGACAAATATCTTCAAAAGCTTGCGAACACTTTTGTTTCAAACTATTTACAAAATTTGGTTATTTATTATTCAATGAATGCGATAAAAATAATTTTCAAAATGTTATTACTTGAGAAGTCCCTGTTCTGCTTGTTTTGAATGAACAGATCCGCATAAATTAGTGACAAACCTAAGAATCTCTCTTCTATTAAGTATAGTATTCGGTATATTCATTGAATCATTATTTGGTGTCTTCACAAATGTGTGGTTCACTAAATTATCTGATAAATATCATCATTTAAATTGATGTTCATTTCAATAATATGATTATAGATTATATACTTACTATTGTTAATCAATTGTGAATAACCTTTATTTCTGAAACAAAACAAACAATTCATGTTATCGTGAAATTCGAGTCCGTCGTTAAAAACTATCTCTTCGTTAGAAAGTCTGTCCAAATGAGTCTTCATATCCTTCGTCTCTAACTTTAACGAAACATTAGTTTTTGGTTTACCATTCTGTAAATATAATATATTTAATGTAAATCTCATTAATATCTGACGTCATATACCTCGACTTCAAATATAAGAAACAGTGATTTGGGTAAACATAATGCCATAAAATTTCTGTTATCACTATCTGAAGAATCACTTCTTTCAGTACTTTCCAAACGGGTATTTCTTCTCTCAACGGCTGCAATAGCAGAAGCAATTCTGTCGCGTATATTATCTTCAGTTTCTTCAGAAGAGCGTCTCTCTTCAAACGAGGCGTAAGACAGTGACTGAACTCTACGTTTTTGTATAGCTCTTAAAGTTTGATAACCGTATGCATCGATAGCACTAGGAATCGATTCACTAGTATTTAAAGTATTAGTATTAGAAGTAAATATCTTAGAAACGGGTCGGAGAAATGTATTAGTTATGCCATTAGCTAAAGAAGATTTAATTGTTGTACTTTGAGTTGAATTACTTATTGATGACAAACTAGCGATTGGACTCAAATTATTTCTCAATTTCTGAGAGGGTGTCAGTGATGCCGAATCACATGAGCCGGCGCTGACACCAGATGTCGAATCGGCAAAACTACCCGAACGACTCTTATTGGAACTGTTATGTGAACTTTCATTGCTATCACTTCTTTCATCTTTGACTAATGTACTATAAAATACGCCAAAAGGTTCGGAAATTTTGCGTTTAGGAGTTTCCTGAACTGTAAGAGTCTTTTGTTTGTATGTGTTGTTTGTTTTGTTTGTAGGCGTCAACTGTAAAATATTAAAATCAGTAATAAGTCCGCTATCATGTCGTTCAGGCTTTACTGTTGAACTCGAAGAATCCATATCTGTTGACAAAACTCCTGAGTGAACAACTGATTCATTACTTTTCTGTCGCAACCAAATTCCAGAACCACTTTCACTATCAGTATTATCTTTGTTTTGTAATTCTTGCTTAGCATTTGGTGTATCAGATGAAGATCGCGGACGTAAATCAATTACATTTCGGTAATGATGTGGTGAGAGACTCATAACTCGGGGCAACACTTTTGAAGGCAGCGATACTTTTTTATGTTTCGATTCGCCATCAGATTCCACAGTAAGAGAAGGTAAACTTCCCGAATAAGTGCACTCCTGTTGGTTGTAATTAAATGAAACAAATCTTTCACTTGATATCTCCAAGTCTTTGCCTGAAAACAACTCAAAATTATTTGAAGCGGTGCTTACAGAAGATGCATGCGTTCGGCTATCGCTAAAACCTCTTAGACGTTCAACATTTGGTTCTTCGACTAAACAAAACTTTTCGTGACGTGAATGTCGAATAGCATCCCATCCGAACTCTTGAAGTGCTTCACAACCATCAGGAGTGGTGGCAATCAAACAAAGGACATTAAAACACGTTCCTCTGACTGACAAAATGGGTGATTCAGCTGTCAATTTGATAATAACTTCAATCATTTCTGTTTCACTAATCAAACGATATCCAAGATGTGTGGCACCGATGTGTCCAATGACCCAAAGGGATGCTTTCAGACGTAATACTCCTAATTCAGTGCTAAAATCTGGGGAACGAATTACATCATAATGTTGTGACAAACAGTCCTCTTTGAGAAGTAGTTCATATCCATCACAGGTTTGCGCCAATTGTCCGTAAAGATGGGGCGGAATAAACGCATTCTTATTGTTTGAACCCTTTTTATCACTTCTTCGTCCATAAGTTCCATCTTCACTACGAATATGACACGTAAAACACTCATTGAGAACGTCTTCAGCGAGTTTAACGTATTTTAAATTAAATGTCTTTTGCCATCGATTTAATTCATAGTCAATAAAGTTTGCGTCGCGAAGAAATTTAAAACCCGTTGGCAATGATAGGTATCGGACTAACAAAAGAAGCCCTTTATCTCCTAAATGTAATAATGATGGCCTTAATTGAATTAATTGCTCCAAATTTTCAGGACAATCACACGCTTCTTGAAGAATGTCAATGGCAGCCAATGAAATAGCAGCACTTTTATCATAGAGTTGAAGAACCAAGAGCTCAATCGCCCATTTACTGTAATCAGAGGCACGAGCTCTCAATAAAACCCGTAAATAATTTGTTGCATAAAGTCTGGCCGTTTCCGATACAGACGTTAAAACTTTGTTTAGTAAAGTACGCGAAAAATTGTTCACTTCTGTTGAGTAGTCGAGTGAAGACACTATTAATTTCATATATACGTCATGATTGCAGAGACTAATCAAATCAAGAAAATGTTGATATATTCTGGTTTTTTCGAGCCATTTCTTGCCTTTACTTGAATTAGTCAGTCGACCGATAAATAAAAAGTATGAATGACTTAATGTACTCAACAGCCGACCGGGACTTAGGATTGCATTTTGTGGCGGAGTTTCGACAGCTATTTGAGAGAAACATTCGTCTAAATCATCGAACAATTCTTGTATATATTCTTGAATTTTTGAGTCATCGGCTTCAAGAAGAAAGTCAATCAAATGTTGTCCAACTGAACACATAATTCTCTCTTTTTCGTCTGTATTACTAATTTGTGAAAATTTTTTGCCCGGTTTGTAAAATTGGATCAACTTTTTAATAAACTCTTTATGATTGTTATCATCTAATTTTTTGAGTGCCTCTGCCGGCCATCTTAATATGATATCAATCAAATCCCAGTCCCAATTCATATAATCACGTCTCAAAATTTGTGAATTTTTAATCATTTGCATAACAGTTTCGTCTGCATTTTTCTTCATATTATATTTAAACTTTGATTTTGTTATCTTATTATTAGTATTGTTATGATGTGCTGATGGCTGACAAAAATGAAGCAATTGTTCCAAATAAAGACTATAAGCAACAGATCCTCGCTTTTTAAGTTCATGAATGCGATTCAGATTAGATACCGAAGCGTTAGCCAATTCACGCTTTTTGGGCATTGAGCTGATAGATGCTGTCATTAAAGTGGGCAAACTTTGGCACCTATGAGAACAATCGGAAGGCAACAAACAACTGGACAAATGTAACAGTTCTCCTAATAGTATAGTTGCCGTCACTGAACAACAACTGTCACTTGAATTGAGAATAACTGATACAATGGCTTCAATAATACCAAAATTAATAAACGAATGCAATACTAATGCTAAATAATTATCCATAAGATTGGCTCTATTTTGGCTAATCAATGGTAATATAGCCTTGCCTTCAGCAGCAACAAAACCATCATAAATATGCCACATGTCTTGCATTGAAGATATATCAGATGACATGAGTGCCACATCAAAGTCATCGGTCCACTCAGGGATCGGTACATTGAAGAGTTCAAACACTAACTCAAGAATGTATCGCTGGATTTCAGTGTATGGCAAGTGAAGCATATTAATCAGTGCTTCTATACCATTGGGAATGTCACTCAATGTCTCACTTGAATATATATTGTTAGTAAGATAAGCACAGTTACTAGTTTTACACACACTATCATTGTTAAACACTCGACACATATATACAATTCCCGGCCACGAGCGTAGTATTGAAAGGATTGCATTTTTACTGGCCGTATAGCGTTGTAATCTCTGTTCAGGACTATCACAAAATTCACCACCAAATCCGTGGACATCAGTAAACGGGGCAATAAAATGTTGTAAATCAAGATCTGAACGGATCAGATGTCTTGTTTTAGATGAATTGAGCAAAAATAGCAAACTACTAATCAGTGCTTCACTTATATTATGAGTTTGATTGGACTGTAAAACACTTTTGATGATTGAACTCAAGCCACCCGATGCTTGACTTAATTGAGGATTTAAAATAGTAAGTTCTGTAAGTGTTGCCCAACAGGCTCTCACTAACATATCTCTTTCTTGGACACCATCTTTAGCTATTGACACTAAACAACGAGTTATGGCTAACGGAAACTTCTTTGGATTTAAAGATAACAGTTGACGGACTAAACGTAGAGCTTGGATGCGCTCCAATCGGTTATCTAATACTATATCAATAGACCGACAGATAAGTAGTGGTAGATTCACTCGACAGAAGGCTTCCACTGATTCTTCGTCGCGCAACAGGTATCTCATCGCACGAAGACCTGCACCTCTCACTTCTCCGGCCTCATGAAAGAGTGCAACTCGTATGCTGTCATTGGATAATAAAATAGTGTCAATAAAAGCTTTCATTGATTTTGTATTTCATAAATTGATAACAAATAAGATTAAAACACTCATGTATTGAAAACGCATTAAAACTCAATATCCGTTAAAATATCTTCTTTTTGCATATTTTTATCATTCATTTTATAATATTTTTCATAAAACATAAATACCAGCAAAATATTTCTTCAACGGTAAGGCCACATATGTCTTGAGATATGGACTGAACTTTTGTACAGAATTTGGTAAAACAGTTGAGATAAGCCAAACGCTGCCCTTTTGACACACCATCCTTACGGGTGATGTTATATAAGATCTCTTGAAGGCTCTCATTGAGAGCTAATTTAAGTGTAAACCAAACTATTATTAAACAAAATACACTAAAACAATGACAATTAAATACTAACGTTTAGACCAATCAATAGCAATGTTATCGTCTTCGCTGTCATAACGCTCTGAAAAAAGACGAAAATATTTGTTTAATGAAAACATTTTATTAATAAATCTAAAAATTGATTGTTTTGATCATATGTTTGAACAATCAATTTATTAATTATAATATAGATTTGCATCCAATTAGTCACACAATTATTGGCAAGAAATGCAAAAAAACTATGTTATCTCACTATAAGTTAGTCTACAATGTCTGACAATTTTAATGGTTATATCAATAGATAATAATAAATGTAAGTCTTATTATTGTATCGTTTCATTACTTATATTAGTAATAATATCTATTGTAGTTATTTGCTATAAAAATGCATCAAATAATACTAATAATAAAATCATTTAATTTAAGATAAGATATAAAATGTGAATAATATGGATATATTAGTAAATATTATGTGTAAACATAGGCTATAATTAATTGTAATATAATTGTAATATAATTGTAATATAATTGTAATATAATTGTAATATAATTGTAATATAATTATAATAATTACTTCTTGGAGTCCTTCCATTCCTCAAATTACTTCTGTTGTATCGATATATTGAAGACATTTTTGTTATAATTAATACAACAATTGGTCATTAATTATCTTATAAACAATTATATTAATGACAGTCTATGACATTCAATCATTTAATTAGACACAAGACATCATTACCATCGATGACACCAATGACTCACTGATAATCAATAGACTCTTCGTTAGACATTAGATAACAAACAGTCAATTCATACGGTATATCACATTATTGTCAATCATGTGTTGGATGTGTTGATAATAACAACTAAATGTAAATATGATATATAGATGAAAGTCATATAGCAATTGATGCCATCAATGGTGTGTTGTTTGCAGTGATTATCACAAAAGTCATTCAAATTGTTTGTCAATCACTTAATGTTTGACTCATTTGAATCAATCATTAATCAAAATAGTAATCACTTTTAAACAACTCATTCATTCAATACTTGAATATAATATCAATTCAATCAAATAATTCAATGATTTTAATATTAACACAAATATCGTGTCGTTTTTGCGCCACTTTTAAACACTAATACATTATACTGTATTACACTATTACTATGTATTATTAATTAATAATTAATATGTAAATTACAATTTGTTATTCATATATATTATATTATATTATATATTATTCATATATTTAACGCTATAATATACAGTATATGTTTTTTAATAGCCTATTTTTTAAATTATGCTTTTATACTAACTTAAGGGAATATATATATATATAGTATATATTACAGTATATACTGTATAATAATATAATATAATATAATTTTTATACAGTATATATACAGTATATATATATATTTAAACTTTTTAATGTTTAATACTTTATATGTATATGTATGTAAAGTGCTGTAGTTAACATATCATATATTAATAGTATTTTAATTATCGTAAACTTATATTTATCATACAATATATGCTAAATTAGAAATATATTATTGATTAATGTATTAAATATTTTTTTATTTTAACTAATTTAATTCACTAATACTATCAATATATAATCTACTAATTAAGAACACTATATATACTCTATTATATAGATATAAATCTACATTTATATTATACATTTTATTATACATTTATTGTACAAAATTGTTTGCTTGAATTTTAATAGATACTACCGGTTGTGTTACTATTTTTATTAAAATAGTTATTAATATAATTTTAGTTGTAATATACAGTATTTATTAATGCATAAAATTCAAGACTAATACTAACATTTACGAGTAAATATATTTATTTTCAATAATAATTAATATTAATATAAATTTAGACTATATTTCTGATGTTTTAATCGATTTTGATATTTATTTTCAAATTAATTATAGTTTGGATCATTTTTGAATTAATAATAATATGTTAATATACGGTACATTACTTTTATTTATTTAAAAATACAATAACTATCAAAATTATATCATTTAGTTTACGATAAGATTGATAAAAATTAATGAGCTTTAATAAACATTTTTTTTTTAAAATTATTATATGACAACAAATTTATTACATATTAATATATCATAATTTAAAATGTTTAGTATTTTGTTTCACAATTATTAATGCAAAGACACTTAATATAAAACATCAAATCATAAATATTATTTAAACATACAATCATTTATTTTTACAATCATTTCAAACAAATATGTTGTACTATTATTTATAATATAATTTTGTAATTATAACTTAATTTAAGTTGTTGTGGAGCAATAAAAGTGTTATCATCAATATTTGCCATTTACTATATATTATTATTATATTATTATGTATTAAAAGACTATTTAAATACTCATAATGTTTATATGTTTATAATAAGATATTTTGAAAAACAATATTTATATAATTTTATATCAGTTAAGCTTTTGATTTTAGAAAATAGTTTACTTTTTATAAATTACTTAAATAAATAATAAATAAATTGTTTTTTAAATTAAAAATTCAATACAATAAGGCAATACAATAATTAAACTATATGTTTTTAGGTTTTGTATTTTTTAATTAAGTACAATATAAATAATAATTTTATAATACAAATTATTTATAATATAATTTTTGAGGTTATTTCTTGAAGTAACAATTCTTTAGATATAAAAATTTTCGGTTCATTAGTTTTATTTATATTAATATCTAAAAATTAATTATTTTCAATTTGAAGTACTGTACTAACTTTTTGATAAATAATATTAGTTTAAACTAAACAACATTTGCTACAAAATTATTTATTTATAACATTAGCATTTATTTCAAAATATAATAACTAAAATTTATGTCTAAAATTTTATTGGACAAAACTAAAAATTTAAATAAAGTGTAATTTACTTAATAACTTACATTAATTTTTAGATTAATAATACAGTATTTATAATATATATAATAAAGGTATTAAAAAATAAATTAATATAAAAATATTTATCTAAATTTCATTGTTTTATAAATAAATATAAATAAGATTTAATGTTTAGGTGGTGTTATGTTTAGGACTGAAAGCACTTGAAAATGTAGTGCTTTTATCCATTTGAGAGCCAACACCTGATTTCTGATTTTTATCATCTTTTTGACTCTTGATTACCAAAAATAAGATAATTAGTGTCAATGCAATCACTATGAGAACAACACCAGCGATGATAAGAAAAACGATAAAAATGGACGATCTTTCCTCTGACTTCTCTTCTGTTTGCAAATCATTATCATTTGTCACTAAAGTGCTTGAAATGTCCAAAACGGTAGACATGCTGTTTGAAGGACAGGAAAAGTATTGTGACAATAATTGTTTGGTACACTTCAGTTCACTTAAATCAACCAAACAGTAGTAACCATTAAAAAAGATCATTAATTGACGGTTTTCCGTTTGAAACACCGCTTCAATCTTTTCGTTGACACCAATTAAGTCAATCATATTAGCTTTTATAGGATTGGCAGTTAAGTTAACCCATGTTTTGAAGTTTAAAATGTAGGCATCAGTTCCCACAAAGAAATAGGCATCAAAAATGATGCCATTTAAAACTGTGGCATCTATTCGTTGAACTGGTGGTATAAACTTCAACAGACTAATAGATCCGTTACCAACATTCAAGTTATAAGGAATTCCTTGTGTATTATTATAGAGGCGGAAAAAATATTCTTTGCCTCCGTTATCCATATAATGAAATATATAATAGTTGTTGTCTTTAAAAGCAATTATCAAATTCAGCATTTTTAGTGTATTCGTATCAGTGCTGTATTCAGGAACTATATGAAATGCCGCATCAATTGACTTAATGTCTATTCCAGTAAATACACCACTTATAGGTAAGGGACCCGTTATTGTTTTAATGTCATTATTAGTAAAAACCCAAACATTAGAGCCTTTTGTAATATAAGTATAGTTCATGAAAGTAAATGCAGAATCTATTGGTCCATCAGAGCACAGTTGGGTCACATCAGCTAAAACATTATAACTTTTTATAACTAACTCTAAAGTTATAATTAATAAAATTTTATTGATATTAAATTTTATCATTTTTTGTTTCTAAAAAATGATACAAATGTATAAAATGATGTAATAATGAAAATTTCAAATAATCTAATTTAGTCCATTAGAATCTATGGTAATATAATTTCACGTGAATATTCTCATTGATTTATTATATTGTAAAATACAATCAATTACTATAATATATTATATAAATAATTATAAGCATAATACAAGAATTATAAGTATAAGAAAACATTGCAATTTCTATAATAGTAATGTTTTTATTTTTTAAATCTATTAAATGGATAATTATGTATTTTTTTATTAATCTCATTAAAATATTAAAAAATTTACTGTTAAATAAATTTTCACAATTTAATCTTTTTTTAAGTAATATAAATTCAAATCGTAAATTAATAAATAAAAACATTTGTTCACAAAAAATATATGTAATTATATTATTATATTTATATTGAAATTTATTTTATGAGTACACAATAGATTTTTGTATCAATTTTTTGCATTTGATAAATGTTTAACATAAGACTGTTTTTCGGATTTAAGTTTAATATTTATAAATATTTTTATATTGATAAATTATCAATATAAGTTTGTATTAAATACATTACCGGTTGTATGCAATATATACTGTACACCTGTACAGTATTAATAATAAAATATAATACATTTATAAATGAAAAAAACTATAAAATAATTTTAATAAATATTTAAAAACTTTAAAACTAAAAATAAATTAGATATATAGTCTAAACAAAAGTTTTATAATAATTAAATAATTATTAACTTAAATCCATTTTCCGTATCTTAATTTTGACGGCAAATATACATCTAATAGGAAAGTAGGCGAGTGTTCGGCTAATGACTGGATTTCAACTTTTTTGCCGATTTTAAGCAAAATATTTAGCTGTTGTGTCCACTGATAGTTCTCTAACATATATTTTCTTGCCTTTAAGTCTTCGATCTTTTTTCTGTCATTGTCTTTAAGAGGAATCTGAACATTTGGACTCAATTTATAGTCACGAATATCAATGGGAAGAATTCCAAGCCATTTAATGGCCGGTACGACCAGATTTGGTGATTCATAGGAGAGAGCAAGTGATCCGTGTCTGAAAGTACACAGAATCTCCAGTCCGTGAGCGTCGCCGTCAACTAAACCAAAGATTGGTATTTCAAAAGAATTCCATAATATGTGAACAAATGCACGAGTATTGAGATCAGGATAACCGTGACCTGTGACCTATTACATTGAATACCAATTGATTTATGTAAAAATGTTATAAAAATTAATATAACAATTAATACCATAATTAATGGATATTTTTCATGAATACGGAGATCAATGAGCTGTTGAAAAGTGGCATCTTTTTCGACGATTAGAACAAATCTTGCATTTGTATGCATTCGACATAGTTTTTCGGTATCGTTGGGAATTGCGATACCGTTCGGTGAACTCAAACAATCAGTGTATACACCGTTAGTGTTTTGAAACTTGAGGTGACCGAAGACCAGACCACGAGTTGACGACGCAATGTGTAGCTTAGTTCGTGACACACGTAAACTACAGGCTAAGTCATCAATGATTTCATCCACTACTCTCTGACTTCTTTCAAATAACATAACATTTTGATAATAAAGATCTCTTTTAGTGCAATAGATGTCATTCACTATAAGACCTTTAATCTTCTGCAACACAAATCTTAACTGTTTTTGGCGTTTCTTTTGTGTCCGCACTTTGTTTTGCGGGTCAGCCTTAAGTATAATACCGGTTCCAATCTTATAGCTAGTATTAGCCCATTTATGACGATTGACGATCTGTTTTCAAATAACATATTATATTAAATACTAATCTTTAAATATCAAAGTTATTATTATTAAAAGATTAAATAATAGACCAATAAATACCTCAAGAGTCGGATGATATTGTTCACTGTCTTTGCATTCATTCATATTTCGCATTACTTCTGATTTACTTCTGATTTCATTTGAGTTATTAATTGGTCTGTCGTTTGAATCTTTAATCACATATTTATCATTTGATTGAGTGAAACGATAGTCGGATTCACCGATTGATTCAATAAATTGTCGCATAAATTGTGATACATTTTCACTAAATATTTCTATTTCTGAACCAATGATCAACTCATTTGGTTGATTGTCGACATCATTGACAACACTAATGATTGGCTCATTGTTTTCATTACAGACTATCTGTGATTGAGTGACCATTTGATTCATTTTTTTCTTTGTTTTTCTGTGTCCACCCTTTAAGAAGTGATCGATTGTTTTGATATATTTGTTAATCTTTTCGATGAGAGCCTCCTTCTCAATGGCTGTTGTTTTGTGTGTAATATCTTTGCCGAAGACCCGTGACTTGGCTTTTGTTTGATCGCTAGTAAAGACCTTTAACTCATTGGTTAGTTGTTTGAGTTGATCCAAAAAGTGTTTGTCATATCTGAATGAGAATGACTCGAAATGAATGGTTTCGGTGAATGGCGTCACTGTGTGGTCACAACAGGTCGTACTCCACGGCATAACAGACCACAAGTCTTTCGGATCACTCAATCGGTTTCGTTTCACATCAATTGGTCTGACTTTCGACTCAAACAAACGCTTGCAAGAGATCATCATTTGATTGATTCAAGTGATAGTATTATTGTATTACTTGTCATCACTAATGATATCACAAAAATTGGATCAATTGTTGTGACAATTGTTGAGACAATTGTTTTGTGACATTCAATGAGTCAATCAATACAACAATGCATTCGATTTTCAATCCATTCTATTGTAAGTTATGTTCTAAATGTTCTAATCATTGCAATAGTATTGTAGTGACACTAATAAGTGCTAACATTGTATATAATGTCTAACTATTTCTATAATACATGTATTGTATTAATACAGTAATTACTATACAATAAGTAAATGTGAGTTTTGATTGTTGCCTAACATTAAAAAACTTTATAAATAATTTGATACACTTTTCATAAATTATTTAAGAGTATGAATAACTGCAAAATACTTGTTAATAATTATATATACTTTATATACAAATTAATTGAACATTTGAATAAAATAAATTTATTCATAAAATAATCATATAATATAAATTAAGATCAATTAAAGGATAGTTGTTTTGCAAATCATTAAATGACATACAATACTGTATTAAGTAATGTATAGCCAATGAAATACATTTACAAGCAATCAATAAGTGATGTTATATAACATGTATTGAGTACAGAGTTGTAGCGCACGGCCTACGAGAGGACCGCCCAACCAATGCATCCCTCAATCACTTGACTCTCATTTGTCTATAATATAGATTTCAAGAGTTTGGGCTAACTTTGCTTCAAAAGACTGCCAAACGGTGTGTGAATGCAGTGATTGACTTAACTATTGATTTGCACTTTAAGTGAATTGTCATTAGTTTTTTAAATCATGTCTAAGAAGCACTTGAAGAGTAAGCGAATGTATCAAATGGTATCTCATTTGTCAGATGCAGACAATTACGAGGAAGAAGAGAGCAATAGTGGACCGGTAGACATATGGGAACCATTGGCCACATCTTCGAGTGGGGGATCGCTTGTGTCCGACGACTTAGAAGAGGAGACACTGTCAGACTCGACCACTACTCACACGCCGTACTCAACTACAAGTGGCTCCTCATTAGGTACACCATCTGTGATGACATGTGATGGCGACATCAAGAATGAGATCAATGATATGGAAATGACTGATAACGAGGAGGTGTGTCTAATCACCACTAATGACTTGGATTCAAATGTCATGAAATGCACGAAAAGTAATTAACTTATAATTTGAAACCTCATAAACATTTATTTTATGCTTAATGTATTGCTTTATAGAAGTAATGACATCATCGATGGCCACAATTAACACACTATCCAAAAGAAATACACTTAAAGAGTCAATAATAGATGACTGGCCTCTGTCTGCAAATACAACAAATATGAACAACACTTGTGTCACATCATATCCATTACAAAGATTATCGCTTCATATGAATGATACTTCTGTACGCTTTACTAATAACTCATCAATTGTACAAAAACATCGATTTATTCATAAAAGAAGATATCAAGAGATGTCATCAAATGGTAACTTATTCATCATTTTATTATTAATTTAACATTAATTTATATTATATATATAAATATTTATGTGATATTTTGATAATTTTAGAAAATCATGTTATTATTGGTATATTAGTTGCAATAAATGTTTTCTTTGAATAAGTTATATATTAAAACTATGATTTCACATAGACTTGACTATAATATATAATATTATATTTTAAAATTCATTAAAATAGTAATAAACAGTATATGAATTATTGATAGATAATTAATATAATTTATGATAAATTGTTTATTATTGGTATTACAATATTATTATATTTAAAGATTTATTTTGAATCAAACTATAGGTTCTTTAGGCAAGACATCAGATTCAGTGCCATCAGTGCCACGAAAGGCTGTTCGCCGTATATTCACAAATAGCAGAGAGCGCTGGAGGTAAGTCTTATAGTCACTTAAGATCACTGAATTGAAGCTACAATTGAATACAAGTGCCGTCCACTGCAGACAACAGAACGTCAACGGAGCCTTTGCTGACCTCAGACGACTAGTGCCCACATATCCTCCCGACAAGAAATTAAGCAAAAATGAAATACTAAGACTTGCCATCAAATATATTAAACTATTGATGGCTGTTCTCGACTATCAGAAACAAGAAGAAAGATTGCCAATTGAGATGAATCACAATATTATAAGTGATTTAAATGGCAATAAGACATCTCATGAGTTAATTAATCGATTCAACGAACATAACAGAGTCCACAACAATCAAAGAACTAAACAAAATACAAGAAAACGACGATTTTATGGCTGTACCACAAATAAAGGACACGAATCACCATCGAGTTCACCACTCAGGGACTGTGATTCACCATTTCTATTAAGTACTGAAGAATCAAATCTTAGTAGTGTTTCGGCCGATGAAAGCGATTAAAGATTAAACTTTATTACAACAAATTGTGCCATTCATTCACTATTAATAGCAAATTATCACAATTTTATCTAAATATTCAAACACTTTTGTCTGACAATTGAATTATTTGTTTTCATATATATATATTGTATATATTTATATATATATATGTCTTTGAATAAAATGTCGATTAAATAATATTTAAGAGACAGAATTGATGAGGTGTTCAATAATAAAGTTAACAAACATTACATCTAAACGACTTGTTTTCTAATGTTTAGCTATAAGTGTGAGAAAATGTTTAATAAATTTTTGATACTAAATGAAAGCATCACATTAACATTGTATAAGAGAGAGCGAGAGAGAGAGAGAGAGAGAGAGAGAGAGAGAGAGAGAGAGAGAGAGAGAGAGAGAGAGAGAGAGGAAAAAGGCTATAAATATACGATAGATTTAACAAATTGAATATAACTTTCCATTTCAATGCTAATATATTCATATAATTGTATTGAAATGTGTGTGTTTTAAATTATATGTTATGAGAAATAAATGAAATTCAAATGAAAATAAATATGTGTAGTATTTCATTGAAACCTAATTGTTTAGGTGTGAAGTGATCCAAACACTTATCGTTTGTGAAAACTACTGAAACGCTAATATATATATATAAAGTATATATAACTGATATAACTGTGATGTTATCCATACCATACCGAGACACACGCCTTTCCCTATATTTTTATTATAAATTCATGGTTTCAACACTTCTATGAAAAGGCATATTACATATTGAAAGGAAATTAATCACAAATTTGTGTCACCAATTGATTTGATAAAATTATGAAAAACGTATTGTTATATCATATAAAAATTGAAACACTCTTTTAATGAGTGATTGATTCCCCAATAGTACTGAATATATGCATCTATAGCTCAGTAATAGGGAAGAGCGGGTGCAACACACGGCAGGTCGCGTGCACTCAATTCACGCATTCATATCACTGCACCAGCAGTTTAAGGAGCGGTTAGCAAATGCGAGTCCTTTTTTTAGTTCATTGAAAAGTTTGTCGAAAATCGCTATTATTGTAAACTTATATTTATATAAAGCATTATATAATAAAAAATACAATTATGAGATGTTGTGCTTTAAATCCAATACTCGTGAACCCAATTGAATTAATCTTTGTTTACAGAGATGTGTCTATCGATTGTATCGCATATAAAAATAATCTTCAAATAAATATTACTATTTTTTCACATAGTTTTCACAATTCAATCATAATTTACATCAAAGTGATAGCGCATAATAACAAACAAAAGGGATTATTATTTTTGAAATAATAAATAAAAATTATTATATTTAGATAAAAAATAGATATCAGATTACAAAAAAATAGTGATGCACTAATATATACTACTGTAATATCTATTGTTAAAATACTATATACAGTATGTACTGTAGTTTAAATCCATGAATTAACATTCAATGTAACGATTATTTGTTTTAAGGATTTAAACAGTTATTATAGGTTGAGATATATATTGTAGTTTAGTTTGAATTCAACTTTTACTTTACTAGTCATGTTTAGTACCATTAAATTGCCTGAGAAATAGACATTTAAATTACTTAAATAGGATGATCACGACTATCCCTAAAAATGGACACAAACACACAGTTTTATCAATTACTGTCAAATATTAGACCATTAAGATTGTCATCAAATATATAAAAATTGTCCAAATAATGGTTTCAAGCATTTTCATAGCCACTATCGGACATTGGATGACAAATAATTAAGTCTTAAACTAATAATTTAATTTTAAAGCCACAATCTTAACACAATTTAAGCGATAGTCCGCTTATATTATATTTGTATTATATATTTGATTATATAAAGTATAATCCTATTTAAATGTTTGACTGAATAAATGTATGATTTTAGCACAAAACTCACTCAAATCACTGGTTATGTCTTTTATTTTGTACGCTATATTCAACATACAGTAGTATATTGTGTGCAAAGCTTATAAAAATAACATTTACTATAATATAATACTACACTATAGGAGAAAATCAATTTCCTTATCAGTCGAGTGCAGACATCCTTAATATAACAACTAAGAGTGTTATTCATTTGAAACCATAATTTACTATAAATTTGAAACTATTATATATAAAGTTGTTTTACATTTGTTTTGATATTTTATATTTATTATGTGATACAATGCAAATTAGTAATATTATAATCATTATAAAGTATTAAAACTAAATTAATTACAAAATTATTTATATATTTTATTTTATTTTAATTATATTTTATTATTTATTATATATATATATATATAGAAAAATATGTTTAGAATCGATATTTCGAGAAAAAATGAATTTAATAAATAAAAGTTTTTGATTTCTTATATTGTTTTTAGTGTACAAAAAGTATTAATGAATTTATTTTAAACAGTAATTTTTGATTTAATTAACAAAATAATTTTTAAAAATTTTCTAAAAAATTAAAATAATAGGGGGTAAACTCATCCCTCCTGATACCAACATTTTCCAATTTTACCCCTTCACACTTTTATATAAATAGTCAACATTTACTTGACCTGTATTTGAAATTTTTTATTATAAAGTCTAAATCCAATTAAAGTCAATCCCTATAATTGAAAACCTTGCTTAACCCTAATTATATTATAATTAATAATATAATGTACCAGTATAATTTAAGTCCCTATGTTTAGGTACTGTTATTACCTGCTACTATTAAGCTTTATAAAATTAACTTGCATATATAAACTAGTGCAAATTAAATGAGTAAGGGTAAGTTTATTTTACTCATTGTTTATTATAAATTAAAAAGTCATAAAAAATTGTTTTTGTTATGTTATATATTTTAGGGATTTATCAAAAGTCTATCATATAATAGCTAGAGTTTAATAGTAGTTCAATTGAAATACAGATATTACTAAATGTTATTGAGAAACAAATTATATTAATATAAAAATCTTTCAGAGATTTATTAATCGATATAATAATATCATAACTTTGAATAATATTTTTTACATAAGATAAATACTATAATACTACTGTATTATCATTTTATTCAATGATTATATAAAATTAAGTATTTATACATTTAATTTTAAATATTCTTAAATAATAAATATTCTAATTATTATATTTTTAAGAGTTACAGGATTTCACTATTCTTTTTCAAAGTATTTCAAAACTATTTCAATATTAAACACAATTATTTGATAGTAAATACAATTATTTCAAAAGTGAATCTATTTATTTCAATACTCTTGCTTTAGTCAAGACTTACATACTTAAGAAACTTTTGTTTAAGATTTACAAATGTATTTCGGATTTAATTTTTTAAAGAAAATCATATTAACTTAAAAGAGTGCAAAATTTAAATAAGGCGTTGTTCACATATTACGTTCGCAGTTTTTAAAAAATCTAGACCCCCTCCCCCCCTATGTTCGCAATTGTTCGCATGTAATGATATTTAAAAATTACGTTCGCATGTCCTTAACCCCCCCCACCATTTAAATAAATATTTTATAAAATTATTTTCACTTTTAAAATAATCAAATAATAAAATAAATTAATATTATTCAAAAGTCATATATTTATTCAAAATTAGTTATTAAACCGTTTATCAAAGGATTAAGTTTACTCAAAATTAATCCCTTAAATTCATTCATTATTTAAATGCGAACGTTCTTATAGACTTTACCCCTCCCCCTCGTTCGCAAAAGTTCGCTTTGGCCGACCCCCCTCCCCTCAAGTGCGAACGTAATATGTGAACAACGCCTAATCTGAAAATTTTAATAAAGTATTTGTGAGTTTTAAGATGTTTAATAACTATTAAATGTATTATAATAAAGCAATGTTTTGAGTATTGAAATAAATAAGTGCACATTTGAAATAACTGTGTTCACAATCAAATATATACTTTTACTATTGAAATAATATTGTTGAGTAAAAGAAACAATTTGAATAAGATTTATAATAAAGTAAAATTATGTTTAGAATAGTGAAACCATGTATAATAATAATTACTTATTGGGATCACACTTTTAGTTAAAAATATTATAAAAATTACTAAATTTTGAGTATTATATTTAAATTAATATAATAAATATCGTAAACATTTGTATTAAAAGCGTTTTAGAATAATTTGAATTAATCACATTAATTATTTAATCGATATCTACCTATTATTATACGCTATATATTCGTTGAATCGTTATTTAATAAAAAAATACATTACCCATAGTTTGATTATTTTGAAATTTAGTTAAGTTAATATTATAGTATATTTGATGTATTTAAAATAATCTATATTATTAAATTAAATAACGATAATTTGTTTTCTTTAAATTAAGCTTAAAGGTATACAGTATATATATATAGTAGATTAGGTACTATAGTAGGTAAGTAGTGTAAACTATAAGGTATTTGATGTTTATTGGATTAAATGTCAAAATCACAAATTTAAATAAAAAATACAATTTACTTTTATTAACTTTTAATTATTAAACAAATAAATTATGTACTGTTATTTGAAAATAGTGTATTTCTATATGTTGTTAACCTTTTTTGGTACACTATATAAAGATATGTGAAATGAGTTTATTTGTTTAAATGAGTAAATTAAATATAAATATTTATTATTATACAAAATAATAAATGTACATTTTCAATTTGTCATTACCGTAATAAATGATAACTATTAATACATATTTACAATTAAAAAATAAGTATATGAATAACATTTATAAGTAATAAAAAGTTATAAATATTGCAGTTTTCAATGTCTTAAATATTTTTAAAAATATTTAGTTTTAAATATGTTAAAAGCAATACATATCATTCAATAATAGTTCAATATTTTTTACTTAGCGGTATATAATTTGAAACTATCGGTAACTAAATTTTAACTCAATTTTGTTAAAAAGTTATAATATTATAGAGAACTTTGAAAATTTTATGGTAATCTCACATATTATCGGTAATAATCCAAATGTATCGGTATATCAAATCATAATATTCACTTAACTTACAATAAAAATATCATATAATAACAATTATGTACTGTATATATACCGTAATATAATAATGATTTTATGATATTATATATAATGAAAATGAATAAAATATCAGTTCATATAACAACTCAATTGACACGAGTTTTCTTTATGTTGTGTTTCTCTAAGCCTTCCTCTCGACGTCTCTTATTAATAGGATTTCTTGGATCGTGAATGTCATACCATTCCTCATCATTCTTAAGATTAGCGTCTTTAGCCAAAACAGATTTTTCTTCTTCTTTATGACAAACCATTTGATGTGATAACCAGTCGGAGTCATCTTTTTTCCCTTCACTACATTCCCCTTCTTTTATAGTTAATAATCGAGTTTTGAATTTTTCTAATAAACTTAAACACTAATTATATACATATAAAAAAAATTAATTTATAAACCAATAATTTTTTAAAAAGTTATTTAATAAATGACTTACAAGTGATTCTCTTGAGTGTCCTTTTTTGGGCAATTTATTAGTCGCTTCTTTGTATTTCTTTGCCTCTTCAATAAACTCTTTGACCGCTGGATTGTCATAGACTTTGCATTTACTTATTTTTTCGCATTTCTTCTTAAGTTCGGAACACATCTGTTTCTTTAAAGCTTTAAACTCATCCCTAACTTTAGACCTTAATATTAATTAAATAAAATAATTCATAATATTTATAATTTATTTCAAAGTACAGTACAGTACATACAAACACGACTCTTGTTTCTTAATTTTCATCATATCTTCGTTTTTAAAGAATTCTTCTTCATCTTTATCTAAGTATTCCTCATCTTTTTTACAATTAATCTCTTCTTTCTTTAGTTTAGCTTTAATTCTATCCAAACGTTCACTTTTTTCTTCAAGATTTTCGTCCGAATCATTGTTTTTCTCATCTTCTCTATCGCTATCAGATGTCATCAAATCTTTAGTGTCCACAGCAGGCAATGAACTTAGTTTTGGGTCATCTTTAAGCAAATCGTGACTACTTTTACTTTTTCCTTTAAAGTCTTTGGAAACACTAATTATTTCTTCCTCTTCTTCTTCAGCCTCGTCTCCAAATGAAAGTAAATTAAAATTCTTTGTCGCCTTTGATTGTGACTTCTGTTCCACTTTTGTTTCGCTTTTCTTTTGATTATTCGTTTGTCTCGGAATTATATCGGGAAAGGGATTTAATAATATTTCGGTTGAATGTATTTTATAGGGATGTAATGGTCTCTCATTTTGGTCGACTTCACTCTCCTCTAACTTAATCATATTATAAATGGTATTTCCGGTGACTTTACCGAAAATTGTGTGTTTGTTTTGCAACTCAAGACATGAATCTAAAGTAAAGAAGAATTGACTGGTGTTGTCGTCTTTGACACCACTGTTAGCCATAGCTACGAGACCTCTGCGAACAAATCTTAACCGAGAGTGTAACTCATCTTTGAATGGCTGACCATATATCGATTCGCCGCCCATTCCAGTGCCAGTCGGGTCACCCGTTTGGACAATAAATCCTTTAACCAAACGATGAAAAATATTATTATCATAATAGCCTTCAAGACATAATTGGATAAAATTTCTGCAGGTCTTAGGACACTCTCGAGACCACAACTCAATGTCAATATCACCGACACTTGTCTTCAGTAAAACCTATTTTGATAAACAAATTGTAATCAATTGACATAAATTGTAACCAATTAACAGATGCATACTTTGCCATTAGTTGGTGGCTCTTGAATGTAAATATTGCTCATTGTTTGGGATGTGTTAACAATTTATAAAATCTTTGAAACAACTCGTCATTCAATTACTAAAATCCATTAATTGTTATACAAATAGTTATAAATCAATAGTTAATTCAATTGTAATCAAACTATTATATGACTAAACAATCGTTAATACTATTAGACACTCAAAATGCTTGTCAACAGTTGAGTCCATTTTGCACTAAATATGGGGTAATCTATACATAGTATACATAAATACAACCAATTGATTGCACAAATGTTTTGCAATAATATATTAATATAACTAAACTTCAAATATTTTGTTAATATTAACAAAATTATGACTAAAAAATATAAATAAAAAAATTATAATACTGTACCTGAAAATTAATAAATTAAAATTTTCGTATTTGTATTAAAAATATCTTAAATTTTCTCATTTAAATGCAATTATATCTCATTAATATGTAAAACAATGTTTGAAACAATAATTATCATCTTTTCTCACAATTAATTTATCTTTCAATTTATCATAATTTTATTCTCAACCAATTTTTTAGTATTATAATTACAGAAATATTAGAAGTATAGTTATAACTAAACTTAATTTGAAAATTGCAATAAACTTATTGTTTCAAACAATTTCATAATATTATTCCTTATTTACTTATTTTATTGTAAATTAATTGCGAAATATTGATATTTCGAAAAATCTATTAATTTATACAATAATTTTTCAAAATATAAAATCAGTAAACAAGTTTGACTAATACTATATTAAATTACATCTAACGGTAATAAAGTTTATCACAAACTTTTTATTTTATACATGTTTATACTATACTTATAATACAAAAAAATGATAACATTATAATATATGGTTTGATAATATATTAATATATAAATCAAGTGTTAAATAGAAGCAAAGTTCAGAAAAAAAATCAAATAATATTAATAACCAGATAATTGTAATTAATAACTACTATTAATAATTTATTAAAGAAAATATTTTAATATTACAAAAAATAAAATTATCAAATATATTGTTTTATAATCACTTAATAAGAAATAAATATTTTTGACACTAATTATCATCTGAAAAGTGGTAAAACTTTGTCTTTTTATTGTTAGTTTGTTGTCTCTCTTGTTTTTGTTTCATATATGTCTCCACATTATTAAATGATTGTTTGTATAGACCCTCGAAATCAGTATTTTTTAGAGCATTAACACAATTATTGACAAATCTTTGATTATTATTCAATTCATCGACTATTTTGTGGTAAATATCATAATTAATAATATTTTCTTCACTTATTTTAAATAAATTTAATGGTTTCACATCTGTTGCCAATAAAATCCATAAGACGTTAGTTTCATTGATATCAAAGTATAAGTTAATCGGTTCAGTCTTTAGATTTAAATTATGAATCAGTTTTATAGTTAGATTTGTGGACTCATATGTATAGACATTTACCACCGATTGCTTAAAGAAAGAAACGCATAAAATGTCACAATTAGTGACTAACTTCTTGACTGCAAATTGAGTGCGAGTTTCTGTTTGATTGTCTTCATTTGGATCACAATTCAATAGATTGACTTGTTTTCCATCGTTTATATTCCACAATCTAATAGATCCGTCTCCAGAACCGGACACTAATATCTTATCATTAAAAGAACCAACAGATGAAACAAACTCCTTGTGTCCCAAACAATAGGTTTCAATATTATAAGTATTGGGATATCTTGAGACCCGAATCTTCTCGTCTCTGTCAGTCGTTATCAAATACTTGCCGTTTTGTGTCTGTATTACGTCTAATAGCATTGAACAGTGACCTAATAATAGTCGGCCACCATCTAAGTAGTCACCAGATTGTGAATTACAATAACTGTCATTCATTTCATATTCAAAAACATCACCCGATTTGTGTCCGCAAATCACCGAATTGTTTATAGAAAACAATAATTTAATACAATTTCGAGAAACTTTTGTCTTAAATGTTTGTTTCCATTGTTTGTCAATATATTGAAAGATAATTAACTGTTTTCTGTTGTCAGCGATGGCCAGACAATCATTTCGGGCATTGAAATCACCGCAAAGTATTGTATAGTCATCGGTCACGGGTTGTGTCTTCTCATTGTTTTTATCCGCGCAAACAATTGATTGGATATCGATATGACTTTTGTCATCACTTTTCAGGTCATATATAATCAGTTGTTTGTTATTTGTATTGATGTGACAAATGGCCACAAATTGGTGACAAACAGTGAACAACATATTTATGATAAAAACAATAATAATAATGTGATTGACATGTGTTTGGCATTACATTAAACGCATGCTTTAATAGACATATAAAAAATGTTATAATAGTAATGATAATTAAGAGATAGTGTGAACATAGTCAGGATGGCCGAGTGGTCTAAGGCGCTGCGTTCAGGTCGCAGTCTCCTCCTGGAGGCGTGGGTTCGAATCCCACTTCTGACAAATTATATTTTTGCCAATTCTAATATTGCATTTTTATTCAACACAATTATATTTTTAATTTTTATTATTATTACTAATTAACTAATTTGACACAAAATCAGTCTGAATGTTGTTTTTACCGATTATTTAAACGTTGTTAAGATTATGTATTTATGAATGCATTGCAATTTGAAATGATTTCCAATATTTTACAGTAGTTTACAGTAGTGTTGTATAACTAATAACTAAAGTATACAATAGTAGTACAAAATGTGCAGTATTTTAGTGTATTGTTAATGCATTGTATGACTGACTCAATGAATGACTTGCATTAATGTATTGAATGATTCAAATGATTATTGAATTGTCATAAAACTGATAACTTATTGACTGATTGTTTGGACACTTAATAGCAATGGACACAAATCCTCAATCCAAAGATGAATTGATATCTAACTTTTGTGGCATAACTGGTAAGCAATTGTCAATTGGTGTGTCAGTGGATGTCATGATAATTGTGGTTTGATTTCAGGTGTTGAGGCTTCAAGAGGAGAGTTTTACTTAGAGTCGGCTAATTGGGATCTATCGGTATGTCATTGAAAACACTTGCCATTGCTATGAAATGTAATGATATTGTTGTTGATTACTAAACCAGTTGGCCATTCAATCTTTTTACGAAACGGCCACTGAAGACATAGCGATTCCAACTAATGCACCCAATCCTCAAACCAGTGAAGAACAAAAAAGAGCGCATGAATTGCAACAAATGTTTAGCAATAAACCAATTCATAACACAAGTGATAACTCGAGTGATGATGAGATGCCATTGCAAGCCATGACGTCAAAAGATAGCGCAAAGTCATCAAAGAATACACAAAAATCTCACTTATCTTCAAATATTGCAACTCTGGGTTCTTTGAAACCGAAATCAGATTCCGGTGAAGGAGAAAGTGATGAAGAAGGACAGGCCTTCTATGCCGGTGGTTCTGAACACAGCGGTCAACAAGTTTTAGGACCAAAAAAGAAAAATACAGACAAATTAGTTCAAAATATGTTTCAGTCGGCTAAAGAACACGGCGCTGAAGTTATTGATCCCAATGAAGAGGTGAGCGCACAAAGACGTATAAATTCATTTGGTGGTCATGGGTTTAAACTCGGATCTACTTCAGAACAGCCATCAGCTGTTTCATCTCAATTTGCAGTTCACAATCAAAAGCAAAATCGAGATATGATTTTAAAGTTTTGGAGAAATGGTTTTAGTATTGATGACGGACCTCTTCGCGAGTATAATGATCCACAAAATCAAGAGTTTCTAAATTCAATAAAAAAGGGCGAAATTCCCAGAGAATTGATTCAACAGTCCGGCGGACAGGAAGTTCATCTCAATCTTGAAGATCATAAACACGAAGATTTTATACCTCCGAAAAAGTCAATGAAACTATTTGCAGGCGAAGGACATCGATTGGGATCACCAGCCGCTGATGTTGTGATCACTCAGACATTACAATCTAATTTTGATCCCAAAGTTACCGAAGCTGAAGCTGTAAAGCAACTAAAAGTAGATGAAACTAAACCGACAACTAGTATTCAAATACGATTGACTGACGGATCCCGGTTTGTCTTTTAATATGTTTTTTGATTATATTTTAATAATTGATTTATTTGTTTATATAGTTTGGTAGTCAAACTGAATATAACGCATACTATTGCTGATATCAGACATTTTATTTGTACCTCTCGTCCCATATATTCGGCCCAAAGCTTTGGTTTAATGACAACATTTCCTAACAAAGAACTGACTGACGAAACGTTATCTATAAAAGATGCAAATCTGTTGAATGCATCAATTGTTCAAAGAATTAAATGAATGACAAATAACTTTTGATATAATAATTATATCAATCGATTACATAATTTGTTTTTTTAAATAATAGAATATTTTGTGATGTTTATGATATGCCGTATATTTAAAAATTGTTTTATAAATATTTTTATTATAATCTTATGTATCGAAATTATTTGTGAAACAAAAATATTTAATAAAAATTTTCTAACGATAATTTATTTGATTGAATATTTATTTAATGTAGTTTATAACTAACAATACAGTAAAAAGGAGGTAAATTTTATTTGCGTCAAAACTGTGTTTGAAAATATTGATTTTTTTATACTTATTTACTACTGATCGATATGTTAGGCGCCAGACTATTGTTTACGTTGAATGTAAAAATTTGATTTAATAAAAATTAAAATAAATAGTATTTTAATTAATTTTAATATGGATTCTGAAGTAAATGAAAAATTAAGGCAATTGTGGAATATTCTCAATGAAAGTGTAAGAAGTGATGTAAGAGACAAGTGGTGGCAAAGCATCCAAAATGAATATAAAGTCAATATTTTGAGAAAACATTACGATTTAAAACACATCGCAAATATGTTTATCCATTTGGATGAATACCAGGTTTTAAATAAGTTTATAATTATTTGATTAATTTAATTTTTATTCAATTGTTTCAGAAAAATATAAAATCAGCTAAATGTGTATCATATGCTATATTTTTTAAAAAGTATTTCAATTAAATTATTAATATTTTTAAAGATTACTAGTAATTTAAATAATAAATTTTAAATTATAATTAGTTTGAGTTATGATCCAAAATCGGTTGACAACGAAGAGAAAAGCATTGAATTGTTCAAACAATTTGCCGAAGAAGCAGATCTTAATTTGGTATTCAATTGTTTATTATTAATATATTTATTTATTTTTGATAACTAATTAATTATTAAAAATTGAATCATAATTTTTCATAGAATAATACTATTTATAATGAAGTGATTGAATTAATTATATTAACAAAAACTCATTTAACTGAAGAACATAAAAGTGAGACAATCTTTGGAAATGAAGACAAACATTATTTCTTAGACTTTGATTTAAGTTATTTGGGATCTAATCCTGAATGTAATATTAAATTATTATACAATATATTATATTGATATAATCTATTTGAATCCAATTTACTATATATTATACCTATATTAAACAATTTAAATGATTTTTAAATCAATTAATTTATGATTAAAGCCTATACAGGATATGCATTGAAGATAAGAGATGAATACAATTTCATGGATGAAACTACTTATAAAACAATTCGTGCAAAAGTATTGTATAATTAATTAACAAATAATAATAATTATTATTATTATATTATAAATATATAAAATTTATTATTCTGATGAACTCAAAATTAATTTATATTTATTAGGTTTTAAAATCATTATTAATGATTCCTAAGATATTTGCCACTAAAGAGTTTTATGATAAATATGAAAGTGTGGCCCGAAATAACATTAAATGTGAAATTGAAATACTTGAAGAATAACACATTAACCAATTAATTATTCATTTACTTAATATTATTGTATTTAATTATTTATATATAAATAATAACTCATTTATTAAATAAAATTATAAATGTTTGATAATTATAACATAATTATTAGCATTTATTTCTATTTAGTTAAAAATCACTTAAAATTAATATTAATTAATATTAATGAAAAGCATATAAAAAATTAATTATTTTATTAATTTATAATTTAAATAATGTTATATTTTTCAGTAATAAATTATAACAATAAATAGCTTTCCATAAAATTTAAATCACATGAATATTCTGATATAGAATTTCAATATACAGTTATATTATAAATAAATATTTCTACAAAATATTTTTTAATGAAATGTAAATATAATATTATGTTTAATATTAAATTATTAATATTAAAAATCTTAAAAATAAAAAATCAATTAAAAATATATTTCAAAATTGCATAATAAGATTCATGTGATGTATTGAATAATTACACGTTATTTGTTAAATACAACACAAACTGATTGATAAATACAGTAAACAAATCAATGTTTTGATTGAAAAAGTTGTCAATTGTTTTAATTAAATCAATACTTGAATTGAATGTCCGTCGGTTTTAAGACCTTTGCGGCCACTGTCCGGGCCGTCAACGGCGCCAATAATAGCAAAAAGTTTGTGTCCAATCGATCTGCGATTGTTTTGGTAAATCTTTTACCGATTATCATATGATTAAATAACTTTTTAAAATTAATTAAACATTAATTATTGAATTAAATGATTTAGACGGAAGCGGCGGTCAAACGGATCAAGAGGTTGATTGAAGGCAAAGACGGTGTCGTAAGTGTTGATTGATTTAAATTTAAAATCAACTAATTGTTTGATATAATTGTGTTGAAATCAATAACAGATTGGACTCCGCATTGGTGTCAAACAAAGAGGTTGTAATGGTTTAAGTTATTCTCTCGATTATGTAAAACAAAAGCAAAAGTTTGATGAAGAGGTCATTCAAGACGGTATGTGTGACACAAAATGTCATCAATTATTCATTTGATGAAACACTTGATTTTCTAATCAGGTGTTCGGGTATTGATTGATTCAAAGGCACAGTTGTCTCTATTGGGCACTGAAATGGATTTCGTTGAGACAAAGCTTTCATCTGAGTTTGTCTTCAACAACCCTAACGTGAAGGGAACGTGTGGTTGTGGCGAGTCTTTTACCATTTAAACAATAGTACCACTCATTACTAACAATCATTTTGTAGATATCTTGTAATTAACAATATTACTATAATTTTGTTATCAATTTGATATAGTCTTTAATTTAGTAATTCATTTAAATTAAATAATTTAATAAAATTATAAAAACTTATTAATATTAACATCATTAATATAATTGTCATAATTTTCAATAATTTAAATCAACGATTATTTATAATTGTTTGATATTACATTGTAAACAAATTATTTATATACAAATAATTTAATGATAAACACTTGTAATTAATGACAACAAGTATAGACTTTCACAAAAACATACAAAATATACAAATCAAATGATTTGAGAGGCAGAGCTCTGACTCGTGTATATAACAGAGCCGACAAAGTTTATAGTGGCCGCCAATACAAACACGGGAAACCATCGACCGTGCGATTCAACCACAAGTTCGGCTGTTAGTGGACCGCAAAGGATTCCTGGAATAGTAGCTAATGTATTGGAAACGGCAAACGTGATTCCCGCGTGATTGGGAGCCACGTCTGCGTGATTGGAGAGATGACCGGCGCTATTAAATGAACACAAAGCCATTGACAGTGACACGAAAATCACGGCAAAAAGCAAACTCTTGACTGAACAAAAAAGTAACATAAATATTGCCGGACCCACCAAACCAATGACTGTCATTAAACGACGCACTGATAAAACTGTCCACTTTCGAGCTATTAAGCCATCTGCTAGATGTCCGGCCACTGGTCACCAAATAAGTTAATTAAATCAACAATTACAGTACAAATAAACATTACATGATATTACTCACCCACTCCTAACATAGAGTTGACAATATAAGGCACAGCTGTTAAACTGATACTCTCTTTATTAGCGCCAAGATTTCTTGATAAATAAGTCGGCAACCATTGCATTATAATATAATTAGACCAATTCATGGCGAAATGTGCTATATATATGGCCCAAAGTGGCCAATGGCTTATAAACTGAGTCCACCGAACATTCTTTGAATTTACTTTCGGATAAACTAATGGAAGTTCATCTTCACCGACGTCTCTAATTTCAGAGTATAAGATAATCCAAACTAAAACCCAAACAATACCTAACGTTCCGAACGTATAGAATGTCCACTTCCACGGCAAATGTGGACAAATAAGTGCTGCCACTGTTTGGCCAATAGTTCCTGAGGCTACTAAATAGCCAAAAGCACGGGATCTTTCAGGCACTGGAACCGAGTAGGCGAAGATGTGAAAGATTGTGGGCAAACCTGGTTTTCATATATACAATACATATAACAAAAACATTTGACATTTAAATATCGTTCAAATGGTTTAGCATTTAAGTCATACCCAATCCTTCTCCGAGACCTAAAACAACGCGACATATAATTAAAAGATCTAAACGCGAGGCCACTAGTGGTGTAATTAGTGTTGAGACTGACCTGTATTGAGATATAGGAAGTAAATTATTTTATATTTATTTAATAAACAAAATAAATAGTAAAAAATACCACAAAAACACAGCGGATGTCAACACAGTTTTTCCGCCAAATTTAGTGGCAGCGGTCGCTCCGATGACCTGATTGTCGATATCAACACATTATTCAAATGGTATATAAAGTGATAAAATCAAATACAATACCTGACTAGTGATATAACCGAAAGCAAAAGCACTTAAGACCCATCCCTGCCAATAGAGTGACCAATTGAACTCATCGGCCATCGACACGATAGCCATCGGCATTATTATACGGTCGGCAGCATTGATGAAATTGGCTGAAGAACACAAACCTATCATACGGTGAGTCTTCGGCAACATTGCTGTCTTCAGATACCTTCAACCTTAAGATTAACCATTGAATGCCATTATTTAAGTCATTATTTAATCAATTGTTTAATAAGTGATAAAAATATATCATTTGATTTGTATATTAATTGCAATATTTGTCTAAATTCTCATTTAATTGTCGTTCAAATCATAACTAATATAATACTAATTGTTTGTCAATTGAGTCACACTTTTAGGTGACGTCTAATCAAAACATTTGATAGAAAATCATATTTTTGTCGGACTAGAGGTCGACACTGACTCTTATTAGATCACATTTTCGGCGATCTTTAGATTTATCACTAATTATGATATTTAATATTTAATTAGTTTTTAATTAATTTTAACTAAAATTAATTGTTTTATATTATTATTAATGTTTTCTATAATTAAAGATAAATTAGTTATTTGAATGTTAAACATATGATTGAATGACTGCGACCTCTATTTCAATGATTTATACAATCATTAAATAATTAATTGAATGAATGTTTTCAATGCTTTCAAAAAGTGTTTTAATTGTAATATTAATTAATTTTATTATTTATATAAATATTTTTCTATAAATAGTTTAATTGAAAAACATATTTATTTGAATAAAATTTTTAGGCAATTGTTATAATCGTTTAACACATAATTTGGTGCAAAATTGTCACTCAAAACGTGCAAATTATTTGGTGACTAAAACATTGGTAAAGATGTCGACAATTGATGGCCAACTGAATGACCAAATTGTGGACAAATCGTTACTTAAGTCAACTAATGATAAACTCAATTATAAATACATTGTTTTGACTAATGGTTTGAAAGCACTTCTCGTATCCGACCCGACGTACGCCAACATTACCGACAATACCAACGATTCAAATGCCAGTGATTTGAGTGACAGTGAGGGCAACACATCTGATGAGTTAACCGACGTGTCTTCAGATTGCGATGACAAGAGTGAGTCCAATGAACAAGAGATGAGTCAGAGATTGAATTTAAAGAAGAAACCAAATGACAAGTTTTCAGCCGTTGCTATAGTTGTCCGCACCGGGAGTTTTGCAAATCCTAAAGAAATGCAAGGTTTAGCACATCTGGTGGAACACGTATTGACAATGGGTTCAAAAGAGTTTCCCGAAGAGAACGATTTGGATGACTACCTGACCAGTAGAGGTGGCTATCAAAATGCACACACAGAGTATGAGTACACTATGTATGAAGTGGAGGTTCAGAAGAAACACCTTTACGGTGCACTCAAACGTTTGGCCCATTGTTTCATTCATCCATTACTTAGAAGTGAGTCCATTGATCGGGAAGTAAAACCTGTAGACATTGAATATAACTCAGCGCTTCCCGATGACGATGTAAGACTGGAACAAATATTTAATAACTTAGCCAATGAAGAACACCCTTTCAATCAGTTTGCTTGGGGTAACAAATTGTCTCTCAAGACATTACCCGAACAAAATGGTATCGAAACTCAAAAATATGTCAAAGAGTTTGTCGAAAAATATTATCATTCGGATAATATTCATCTTGTGATTCAATCACAAGAAGCTCTCGAAACTATAGAACAATGGATTACAGATTTATTCGGTCAAATCAAACCATTAGTTCGTAACAATGAAATCAGTAAAGAGGTCTCTAATGAAACTAAATTTGGAAAACCTTTTGATAATAATCTCAATTACAATAAACTATTTATTGTCGAACCGGTCAACGAAGCGGATCAGATTGCCCTTTACTGGTGGTTACCTCCAGTTACTCAACATTATAAATCATCACCTCTTCATTATTTGGGAAATATTGTTGGACACGAAGGAAAGGGTAGTTTAATATCTTTTCTTAGGAAAGAAAATTTAGCCCTAGAACTGGTCGGTGGTATCGATGACTCCGGATTTTCAAATAATAAATATTCTTCAGTTTTTCAAATTGTTATTAAATTAACAGAATTAGGAAATGAAAAGATTGATAAAGTAATTGAATATATTTTTGAATATTTGAATGTTTTGCAAAAAGAAGGACCAAAGGAATGGTTTTTTAAAGAAATGAAGAGAATCGAGAAGAATGGATTCAATTGGCAGGAAGAACACACTGCCATTGATTACGTCAAGAAGTTGGCCAACAATTTGAAAACATATCCAATTGAATATGTTTTGTGTGGAAACAAATTTTTTGAATACGACGGACAATTGATTCAGAGTTATCTCAATCTTTTAACGCCAAATAACGCACAGTTTGTCCGCTTATTAACCAATGTTTTTAAAGACAAAAAAGACGTCCAAATAGAGAAGTGGTTCGGAACTAAATATACTGTCAATGATGTGCCAAAAAAATGGTTAGAATTTAAATCTAAAGATGTTTTAACAAATCGATTTCATTTTCCGATACCTAATCCATACATTGCCACTGATTTTGAGATCAAAAAAGTAAATCTTTCGGACAAAACACTTCATCCGACAAAAGTGCTGAACAAAAGCAGAGTTAAACTTTGGTATAAATCTGACGACAAGTTTAAGCTTCCAAAAGCTATTATGAAATTGCATTTAATTTCGTCTAACTTTTTGGAATCTATTGAAAGTGCAATAATGATGGATCTGTTTGTCGAGATTTTGGTGCAAATTCTTAGTGAAGAGGTATATGACGCCACTTTAGCCGGACTTTATTACAGTATTAGACAAACCACTGTTGGTTTAGTGGTAACAGTGGCCGGATTTAATGACAAACTTAGTTTATTACTCGACACTATACTCGACAAAATGATTAACTTTAAAGTAGATAATCGAGTGTTTAATGATGTGAAGACACACGTCGGCAAAGAATATCACAATAATTTTATTGATGCAAACAATTTAAATCTATCGCTAAGACTAAGTGTTTTGAGCCAAAAGTTTTATAATGCAGTCGACAGAAGAACAGTTCTCAATGCAATTGATGAACAAAGTCTGCAGTCATTTGTGTCCAAATATTTTTCTAATTTTTATATCGAGTCACTAATTGAAGGAAACTTTACGAAAGATGAATCAATTGATTTAATGACTAAAATTGAAAATAAATTGGGTTTAGATCGACATTCAGATAATTTAGAAGAACCAAAGCTGACAACAGCACAGATACCAGTAGGTCATGGCTTTTGTCGAGTTGTATCGCTTTCAACTGAAAATAAAAACTCTTCGATAACCAATTACTATCAGTTAACGCCCGGAAGCATTAGTCTTCAATGTATGCTATCAGTGCTCTCTTCAGTTATGGAAGAGCCGTGTTTTAACATTTTAAGAACTAAAGAGGGTTTGGGTTACTTTGTTTCGGCCCATGAATACGATACGTATGGCATCAGTGGTTTTGGTGTTACTGTCAACTCTTCCAGCAATGACTTTGACTGTACTTTTGTCGAACAAAGGATTGAAAATTTTTTGAGACAAATGGTTGATATTATATCTAATATGAATCCACAAAAGTTTAGAGATCACGTCATTTCATTAATTACAGCTAAAAGAGCACCCGATCTGAAACTTAGTGATGAATTCAACCGTTACTGGAATGAAATCGTTTCGTTTAACTATTGTTTCGATCGATTGACGAAAGAAATTAAATGCTTAGAAAAAGTAATACTATTTAAAGGATTTTAGATTTTTTTGTTGATATTATTTAATAATTAACACTTATTTAGATCACATTCGATGAGTTTAAAGACTGGGCCTGTAATCAAATTTTAGGTAACAGTGCCAACAAACGCAAACTTAGTATTCAGGTATTGAATGATTTCATATATTTAAATATTAATATAATTTTATTGTAATAATTATATCAATGTTTACCATCAGGTGGTCGGTTACGGCAAGAAGTCTTTGGACGAGTGTTTGACATTTGACGGCAAACCGGTAACAATGATGAACGATGACAGCGGTGATAGTGAAGAGTCGCCACAAAAAATCAAGAAATTTAGATTAACTTATTTAAAGGCCAAGAATACCGACAAAAACGACAACTTTATTGATGACATCAATAAATATAAGAGAAATTTATTTATCTTTCCCGTCCATAAAGTTATTGATTAACACTTTACTATTATTAACTTATTTTTACAAATCATTATTCAAATTTAATTAAATAATTATTGTATTAAATAATATAATCAAATAAATTTTAATTAAAAAATTGAAATAATTTTTAGTTTATTGATAACAGATAGCGTTATCCGTATTGTTTTCATTACAATTTTGGTTACAATTTAAGCAATAATTATTGAAATGTGTTTTTAATGTTAAGTCAATTATAATTTATAAACTAATTAATTGCTGAACAATAGTGGCATTAATTATATGATTACTTATCGTTTATTGTCATAAATGTGAATCAAATTGAGTGATAATTAAGTTTGATTTGATGTCAATCACGTATCACAACAGTGTTAACATTGGGTGTGTTTTTAAAGCATATAACGCGGTATTCCGTATAATAAAAGTTGCGGTCAACTAATCGGTAAGCATTGGAGACAAATAGTCATATTGTGGTCACATTTGATATAAAATATTTTAATAGATTTCATATCTTTTGAAATCAATTGTAGTTTTTGTCATCAAATTAGTGAACAAAAGAGTAAACAAATAGAGAGAAGATATGCACAGAATTTGGTGATTATAACTGTTGTAATGATAAGCAAATGTATTGTTAATATTATGAATATGTGTCCACACATAGCATGGCATCGGACTTCTTCTACCCGAATACTGGAGGAGTCGAGAGTCATATCTATCAGTTGTCGCAGTGTTTGATCCAATTGGGACATAAAGTGATTATCATAAGTCACGCATACGATGACCGTACGGGTGTCCGATATATGACAAATGGTCTTAAAGTGTATTATCTTCCCGTTTGGGTCGTCTATAATCAGTGTACACTACCGACACTTTTCACGACATTTCCGTTAGTCCGCTATATTTTAATCCGTGAGCGCATAGACATAGTTCACGGCCACTCGGCATTCAGCGCATTGGCTCACGAAGTTATGTTTCACGCGAAGACACTAAATATTAAGACTGTATTTACCGATCACTCTCTCTTTGGTTTTGCCGACTCGAGTGCTATTATCACCAATAAGTTATTACAAATATTATTATCTGTTTGCAACCGAGTTATCTGTGTCTCGCATACCGGGTATTCAATTAATCATTTGTAAGTCACATAAAAACTTATTAAATCTTTTAACAGCAAAGAAAACACTGCATTAAGAGCTGGCGTCGAACCGAATCGCATATCAGTCATTCCCAATGCTGTCGACACCGATATATTTATGCCGTCCAAAGATAGTAAACAACTCAACCGTTCTTACAGTTTGTTTCATAGATGACTACAATTTATTAAATTTTCTAATAATTATTGTTTTAATAGCAACTATAGTAGTAGTCAGTCGTCTAGTCTATCGAAAAGGTGTTGATTTGTTAGCCGGAGTTATACCAATCATATGCAATAAATTTAATGACATTCGCTTTATTATTGGTGGCGATGGACCCAAACGGATAGTGATTGAAGAAGTTGTAGAAAGACATCAACTCCAGGACAGAGTGACTTTATTGGGTGCCATCAAACACGATGATGTGCGCCATGTCTTAGTTCAGGGCGATATCTTCCTCAATGCATCGCTTACTGAAGCTTTTTGTATGGCTATTGTCGAGGCGGCCGCTTGTGGTCTACAAGTGGTGAGCACTAGGGTTGGAGGAATTCCAGAAGTACTTCCCAGTGAAATGATTTGGTTAACTGAACCCTCTGTCAGAGGTCTATTAGATGGCTTAGAAAGAGCTTTGGCTGATAGGAGTGCAGGAAATGTGATTTCACCCTTTGAAGCGCATAAGAAAATTAAAAGTTATTATCAATGGGAAGACATTGCAAAGAGAACACAAAAAGTTTATGATTCGGCAATGAAAGAACCGATTGACCATTTGGGCCATCGATTGAATAAGTTCTGGCAGTGCGGCACCATTTGTGGACCACTTTTTATTGTCATTGCAGTCATCGAACACTTCTTGTTTCTACTTTATGAATACCTCGTTCCTCGACATACTATCGACATATCACCCGAACTGACGATTAATAATTTTAAATATTCAAACTCTGATAAAAACATTGAAGATATTGATATACCGATGCTCTCATCTAAACATTAATTTAAATTTTGTTAATTTTTAAATTATTTCTATTTGTAATATTTTATTAAAAATAAAATGTCTAATTTGTCAAATTATATTAAATATTAATTACTGGTTATTACATAAGACATTCAATTTATTGATATATTATTAATGAACAATATGTTTGAAATATATTTTTTAAATGATATAAAATACAATACAAAAGTGTAAAATTTAAAACATTATATAAAATACAATTAAATGACAGTTTGTGCGCCGTCTGATTTATAGACGTCGTGGTAAGCATTGCGTAACAAAGCATAGGGAAAGCATGACTCTAACAGATCCATTGTGAGGAATGGGCTTTCCTGGACAATCATATCCAATAAAAGATAAACTGATTCCCTATTTTTGACAGTCTCTTTGTCTTCTCGATCGTGTCCTAAACGCAAAAGACTGGATGAGGCCAACGCCAGAAATTCTTTAAGTCGCTCTTCAATGTCATTGACGCCACAAATTGTGAAGAGAGAACCTGCTATACCATTAATGGCTTGAGCGAGACAATGCATATTATTGGCGTGAGCTTCAAGTGATGGCTTATAATATGACGAATCATTTCGCGCCAACTTTGGTAACGAAACCGCTATGAATACCATTAAAAGACACGCCAACTGATACTCATCTTCGCCTAATTCTGTAATCAATTCAAAAATCATTATAAAAAATTTTAATTGATCTAAAACTAAGGGATTACCGCATTTTTGAGACCGAAGTGCACTAACTAATGCGGGATCTACTTTACAGGGAAGACCCGTAGCACTGGCCATCTCACTAACTATCTGTTTAAATAAAATAATTTTAAAAAATTAATATTTATTTAAAGCAAATAAATATAAAGTAAAATTAACAAGAAATACCTGTAATTTGATGTTTTCAAGCTTTGATTTTAAAGTAAAATTATGATAGAAAATGTGGCCAACATTTTATTTATAATTAATTAAAAGATAATAATATTAATAAAAATATATTAAAATAATACATATATAACACAAATGATATATCATACCAATGAATCTCCATTTTGAATGTGATGTTTGAAATCATTTATTGAACTTAACAGGAAAGGTATGCGTTCTGAAAGAACATCATTGAGTGACTCCTGAGCCAAACCTCGGAAGCATATAATGACACCAATAATTGACATCCTTTGGAGGACACTATCAACATCTATCAAAAATTAAGTCAACCAATCAATTAATAAATGAAAACTAGTATATACTATATGTAAGACTAAAATACAATAAAAGCGAAATTTAATACTTTGCGAAATTTTTGGTCCTTTAGAAGCATTTAAAATAAAAGCATTTTATGAAAGCAATTATTTTTGAAACATTAATATATGACTTACTTTGTAATCGTTTGAATAATTCTTTCATTTGTTCCGGTTTATCGTAATTGGATCGCAAACCTACTAAAACATCTTTGTTGAGGACAACCAATTTCTGTAAATTATAAAAATAATTTCTGATAATTAAGACAATATAACAAATATATTGTAAATACCTTTAATTCAGTCACTTGGCTGGCGATGTGCCACATGAGTGACTCATTAAGGTATTTCATACCATACGGACCAATCAATTCAGCTAAGCTTTTCAACTCTTGTATATAAAAAATTTATAAAAATATTATATATAAGAAATAAATTTCAAGACAAACCATTGACATCTGAATATTCTTCAGCACTGAAAGGCATCTGTCCGTCAATCATAAGAGTGACGAATGCTTTTTGAAGCGGAGAATAGCAAATATGTCCGGCGCTTACTCTTCTCAATAAAACTTCTAAATACCAGTTCGTATAAAGAGTTGTTATAGTTTTATCCCCGTGACTGTCCTGTGGTTGAGTTTGTTGTAATAAAACATTGTTGAAGACTCTCGTAATGTCGATATGAACTAAATATTTTAAATATAATTTCAATATAATTTTTTGCTTAAATAATTAAAATTTATATAAAATTGTACCATAATTTTCCACACTTTGCAATACATTCATATAGGATCGCACAGAAACCAGTAATTCAGATGGTTTTGCAATTTCATTATTTTCTGGATTATACATAACCATTCCGACCAACGCTTTGTTGAAACGGGTCTCCAAATGTTGGGTCAGATACTCTCGAGGTGTAAAAGTATGGTCCCAAACAAGTATTGTTCCGCAATAATTGATTGCAAAACATAATTCGGTTAAAGCCATATGTAATTTATCCATTCTATAGACAAATCATTACATTAAAAAACAATTATTATAACTAAAAAAATGATTTATTTATTCATTCAATTAATGACATACGTTGTTAACTCTTCTCTACTTCTTCTATAGCTTTCAGTGCCGGGTTTATCCTCTTCAGTGACCATTTTATCTCTTTTTTTATCCCTTTTCTTTTTTGTTAAAATCAGTGCCAAATGTGGCACAACATGTTTGGGTAACAACTAAAACAATATATATAGTATAAAATAAAATGAAATTTTTGCTGAAAACAAAATTTAGTTATATATTAAATATCAATACCTTATCGGATAATAAACATTGTTCGTCACAAATGGTTGTAATTATATTTTTAGCTTCTTTTGACATTTCATCGAGAAATCCATTGACCATTGTTAAGGAACGGTCACCGATATGATGTCGCTGTTACCAAAAATATAATTAGTTATAATTTAGCAAGGTGAAATAATATGCTATTAAAAATATATTAAATATTCGATGATTGTTTTAAAAATAATTTTTTTCTAAAAATTTGCTTAAGAGTTAAATTTGATGTTATTTGCGACTCATTGAATGACATGATTTAGTAGGTATTATAAAAAAATAAACAAAAATAGTGTACCTCTTCGGGACAGAGTTCGTGCGTACAGTTCATGAAATGACTGCATATTAATGGAAATGAAACGATATATCGGGTTTGAGCCGGAAATTCCAAACACATATGAAAATTATCGTCAAATAATTTACTATAAAAACTATTAAATATAAATTAATTAGTAAAATACAAAGAAAAAGATATAAAATAAAAATAAATAAAAAACAAACCAAAATATAGATAAATCTGAAGTTTCAGTAATCAATTGGTCTAAATCATCGACCATTCGTGTGTGAAATATAACAGTATTCATCAAAATTGCCAAATCTTTGTGTTCAAACAAATGCATTGGATATCTATTGACACTACAGTAGGCTTGAAGTCTAAACCAATCAAGTCTTAGACCTCTGAAGTCGAAGAGCTCATTGTTCTCAACTTGTTTTACAGACATATTTGAGATAACCTGATGGGCCGACTCCAAGATAATAGAGTCTTCTTCCGGCATCATTGAAACATTTTGCATAATTTGATTCAAAGCAATGGCATCATAACCAGTAAGATATTGAACATAATATCTTTGAATCACTTGATTATATTTTCTCACTAATGCTCTCAACTCTTCCATATGAAAAAGCAATTCTGGAAGCTGTCTGTCAATCAAATCATCTGATTGTGATTTAGTCTTTCCTTGTCTTACGGGAGGATTATCGCAATGTCTCAAAAGCCAATGAACCTCATCCCTAGCAAATGATAACCCCATAAACACGAGTAAAGTTTTAGGACCTAACAGTCCCGGTTGATCAGTGAGAATAAGACCCAATTCTTTAAGAGCAGATCTCAAAAACTTTCTTCTCTCTCTATGAATGTGTCCACTAAAGTAAGAAATAATAATTTAATAGATTTATATTAATATTTAAACAAAAATATAAAATAAAACTAATACTAACCTATTTTGTAAAACCCAATTGTAAGCATATTTTACTTCATTAACTCTTTTATTGTATCCTTTGTGTGATTCAAAGTATTGTTGTATAAAAGCGTGTGTATGAAGTACTTCATCCCTAAACAAAGTGGTAACCCATCCGCAGTGCAAAGCTTTGGTAAATAAATCTTGAGTTGTCGTTTGGTTTAAATATTGATGTATTAGTAGAAAACCGACTATTAATTTAATAAATAAAATTAATAAATAAAATATAAAATTATAAAATAAAAAATAATATTAAATATATTAGGACAGGGCTTACAAATGATATAACGTTCCATAATATCATTGGACAGGTATTCGCACTGAACAATATCAGTTTGGGCCGGATTAAGCATTTGTGACGGATTAGCCACAAGACTTAATAACTGACATTTGCGCCATTCATCAACAGAAAGATTTCGCATTGGAAACACTTTATGAAGTGATGTCAATGCCTGACACAACAGCTTTGAGTGAGGAATAAATTCTTCAGATAACTTCTTTAGCGGCGGATCATAATCAACGATCAATTGTCCCAAACGAGGGAAACTACTGTCCGAGTGCTGGTGAATCATTTCATGAGCCGTATTGAACAAACCTAACACTGCTTTTCTATCCTCCACTCGTGACAATAGTATCATTAGTGAGACATAAGTGACAATTAGATCCAAATAGCCTTTTGTCATATCAAAGTTGTATTCCTAATAAGCAATGAACAGAATTAATGCACTAAACTATGAGTAAGAAGTGGTAAAACCTTACGATATCCAACTGGAGCTGACACGCGTCCATTGTTGTCAACAGTTCCGAGACGTGATCTTTGAAATCCAATAGATCGACAAAAGTGTAATAATATAACGACAATGACTTCATAATATCTTGTCTTATGTTAAAAACAGCTCCCAATTGGCTCTAATTGTAATAAATAAATCAATTAATTAGTGCCAAACCAATCATCAGATATGATATGTTATTTCATACACTATTGCTTCTCGTGTCTGTGTTTGGGAACCGTCGGATCACATGTTTTAATGCCGACTCTAGTGTTTTGTCTGATAAAAATGATGGCTTAGACTTGGCATCACCGCAGGCCTAAGTAATGACAACATCTATGATATTATTTGGGATCAAATGTGTGGTCAAACAAACCTTTTTAATGTTGTAAATCCTGGTCAACATTCCGACGCCTCTATCGTTAAGAATCGTCAGCTTTTCGGCCAACTTTTGCTGAGACGGAACTAATGGTCGCATTTTGACACACAATGTGATCACTGTCTTTGGAACCAATAATTGTCGATCAAATCAAAGTACCGACGATTACGACAACGTCTGCCCAACCCTTATGTCAAAAGTCTTTTAAATTATTTAATAAACAATAGATGTCTCAACACATCTACACTTCACTAATAATGTCTACAATTGAATGTCAAAAATGTCAAAACATTTCACTTATTTTCATACAATTTATATCTAAAAAGTGTTGCCTTTTGTCGACATTATTATTGTTAAGTTATATATAAATATTGTCATCAAATATGATGTAAGAAAAGCACAGTTTTGTTGATATTTAGTGAAAGACTCGTCAAGAAGTGATTAATACTTTGTTTGTTGTCCACAAACAATGGCTAATCTATTGTCCAATAGTTTGGATCACTTATATAGCAAACTAATGTCTGAAGTGTTAACAAATAAATTATATAAAAGTTTGTTGAGATGTCAATCAAAGGCATGGATTTGTCAAAATAACCGCCGATTGTTGTGTTCAGTGAAGACAAGTGACACAAGTTTTATTAAGAAGACGACAAACATTAAACATAAAAGTAATGTCAAAACAATAGTCAATCCAGTGATACATAAGTTTAATTCAATGTTAACGCCATCGCAGCAGACATCAGAAGAAGTGGTGACATTTGACAGTTTAAGAACTGAAATATTGAATGAATTAAGAGATCCCAAGTGTTGTGGCGTTCAATGGCAAAGATTTCCCGAATTGAATAAACTTTTGAAAGGCCACCGAAGCGGTGAAATGACTGTCTTTACCGGACCGACTGGTTGTGGAAAAACTACATTTATGTCGGAATATTCACTGGATTTGTGCGGACAGGGAGTCAGCACTTTGTGGGGAAGTTTTGAAGTGAAGAACGTAAGACTCGCTAAAATGATGTTAAGCCAGTTCTCCGGCAAATCTATTGGCAAACATTTGGATGAATTTGATATATGGGCCGACAGGTTGGCAGCACTTCCACTATATTTTATGACATTTCATGGACAGGAATCAGTGGATAAAGTGCTGACCGCTATGTCTTTTGCTGTTGAGACTCATGACGTGAAGCATGTGATTGTAGATAACATTCAATTTATGTTAGGATTATCACCAAATAATAAATTTGATCGCTATTGGCATCAGGACCTGGTTTTGGATCAGTTTCGCAAGTTTGCCACAAGAAATGATTGTCACGTAACACTTGTAATGCATCCGAGAAAGGAAGAAGACATGAATGAGTTGACCAATAATTCAATCTTTGGTGGCGCCAAAGCCACACAAGAAGCAGATAATGTAATGATATTACAAAACAAATGGCTTTCAATGTATAAGTGCCACAAATACATCCAAATCACGAAAAATCGTTGGGACGGAGATATCGGTAAAGTTCCGCTTTGGTTTGACAAACAATCACTCAGTTTTGCACCAATCAAAAGACGAGTCAAAAGTGATTTAAATCAACAAATAGATAGTAAGTCGACCATTGATGAGGACGATAGTTATGACACTGATAATGATATTGATGTCAATGATGTCAACGATGTCAACGATGACAACGATTTTCCACGAGTAGAGGTTCAGATTAGTGACACCGATAACTATAGACTTCAATAAACTATTATTTTAGAATTAATCAATTTTTAAGTTTTATTTATTAAATTATTTTTAAAAATTTATTTGTTAATACATTATCATAATAATAAGATAAGAGTGTAATAACAGTAATAAAATAATAATCATGGATTATGATAATGATAAAATAATATTGTATCTTTTAGACTATAAAATTATAGTACCTGTAATTATTAGGAATTTATATTTTAATTTCTAAAATTTTTATTTAACTGTAATATAAAATAATATTAAATACTATAATAATAGCTATTATTTTGATTATTATTAATTATATTATAATATAAATGACAAATAAATTGTTTTGTCAGAAATTAAAGTTAATTGTTAAAAATATAAAATTACAAATAATATAAATTGTAATTTTTGTAAGTTTTATTGAATATATTGATAAGAATAATTTTTAAATGAATAATGAAATTAATTTACAATAAAATTATATAATTATTATCATAGATCTAAAAATATGTATTTTAAATATCTGTTACAGATATTAATAGTACTCTATATTATAAAATATATATTTGTCATCATTTTGACAACATATAGTTTTACACATATTTCCATATAAAATACATTTTCATAAAAACTATGATTTATATATACATATATAGTATTTATATTAATAAATCAATTGTATGAAATTTTTTATAATCAGTAAATGAATACTTACTGTAGTAAATGATATTTAATATATACAGCGATTAATTAATTAAATATTTGCTAAAATATCTTTAAGGTCTTTAAGGTCTTAAACATTATGTCATGTTTTGTGTAATTAGTAGTGAATAGTTTCAAGACATTCATAATACTTAATGACCGACGATATGATATAACAAATATTTTGCGTCTAATTTGAAATATAGTTTAACTTTATTATTAACTTAAATAATTTCATTAAATCTATTATAAATAAGTATTGTAATTAAATCATGTAATTTTTAATATTGTTTGAATATCATTGAATTAAATAATTTTAAACCATATTTCCACATATTTGGTGATTGTTTGCAAATATTTGATTATATAATTAAAACTAGCGATTAATAGTAGATTTTCAAGTCTATAGTCATAAAGTTATTAAGTTATATATGAGTTGCCGGTCTCTGTATTATATACTACAGTACAGTATAATCCGGTATACAATAATAGTATAGAATTATAATATTTAAGAAAATCATATGTTATTGATTACAATAGTAATACAATAGTTATTAAATCAAATCAATTGAATTTCAATGCAAATAGCGGTCAGTGTAGGGGTGTGTCAGTAAGTGTACTGTTGTTATGACAACTTTGTGTGCTTTGCATGCAATAAATGCAACGAATATTTGCAACTTTAGACTCAAAGCGCTGTTGTGTTGTGTTGTGTAGTGTTATGTCTATTGATTTGTTCAGTGACTCAGAGACTCACAACTATAACACTCTCACTGAATGGCATTCACTAAATGTATGGCCAATGAGTACAACACTGACTGACAGACTGTACCGACACTACAATCACTACATTAACACTACATTACATTACAACACCTTATTATTGGTGCAATCATTTGAATCAATGCTCAAACACAACACATGCCATATACTGGACTATCAAGTGATCGGCCGGTGCTGTGTTAGGGTGTGATTGGTGTCAGAGTGACCAACTGTGGGCATAGCCTACTCATTGATGGCAAACATACTAAACATCTCACTCTATGGTTTGGCCGTATTTTTGGTGGCCAGTTGGGTGTTCGTTTGGATCATGCATTTGATGGCTATCTTCAATGGGTCTGTCTATCCATCTATTGATGACAACAAATGTTTTATTTATGTTTATATGTATAGTAAGCGCAAACTGCACAAGAAGTGTGAAGTGATGGCACAAACAGAGTCAGCACTTCCCGGCATTTCTATCATCAAACCATTGGTCGGAATCGATACCAATCTGTTCACAAATCTCGAGTCATTCTTCACTATGACTTACCCACAGGTCTGTCCATACAATTCAATGATTTAATAATTTAATAAAATTAGTTAAATATCACTAAAATATCACTCAATGATCACTCAAATGTATTTATTCACACTTTTCCTCTATTTATATGCAAACCATTCAGTGATTCATTTAATGTTAGATTTTATTTATAAGTAATTATTTGACAGATAAATGATAAGTCAGTCATTAACGCATTGAATGTCAAGTTATAAATAGTATTAATACTATTATCATATAATAATAAGTTTATCAATGCTCAGGGCTTTTATGTAACTTAAATCAAACAAACATTTATGATATACTTATTTATCAATTTATACTGTACTACTGTATAATAATAATAATAATAATTACATATTATATAGGTATAATTGCAATATAATGCTTATGTAGCAAAACATTTAGCTAATGTGTTGTAAATATTTGTAATGTATAAACAAATGTAATATTTTTATATAATTTATGACCATGCTTATTTGTCTAATGATATCATATGCAATTAGTATATATGAATTTTTACTATAAATATAAATTGCTAAATCATACTGTATATACAATTAATGAAACTTAAAAATAACACAAATTGACTATAAAATGATGAATACATTCAAACTGTTGGTCACTATTGGTGTTTAAACACAAGTAAATTGCAATCAAATATGTTTTATTGACTTTGATAGTCACGACTTGATTTGTTCAAAGAAGTGGTTTATTTGTAGACAATTTTACAAACAATTGTATCAAATAAAACATGAATTTTAATATTAATGATCAATAATTGCAAAAACTTACCATGATCTATTAATATATTATACTGTATATAAGTTTTATATAAATGTTATATAACTTGTTTGTCTTATTTGATTATCACTTTTCTTATTGTTTTTATAAGTATGATTAACTGTATAATTTGCAATACAAATGCATAAACGAATTAATAATTATATTTTTTATTATTTGATAATTATATTAAATATACATGAAATTTATTTGCTTTATTTAATTGAATAAAATATAATTTAATGTTTAACGTCCTTCACTTAACTGCATGTTATGTATTAATTTCTTTGAATACAATTGAATGTCATGTCAATTGCATTGGCAATGCTTAAGTTGAAAAATTTATAGTTTTTATTTAAATATAGTAATACTAGTAATACTATGATTAGTTTGTTATATTTGTCTATATTTGATTTATTATATTGTTTACATATTTTAAAAATATTGTCCTATAAATCATTATTTTTGAAATGACTGGAAATATTGATATTTAACAATATAAATGTAATGTACAGTATTTGTCTTAAACTAAATTTTTACTTAAAAGCTATACAATTATATAATCCATTGGATGATAGCATGCAATGCAATCGTTAAATATCTATAGTTTTTATTGCTTTATTTAATGACGTCAATCTTTGTTAGAAAATTATTTTAAAAACTTAAAAATTAAGTGAATTACAATTTAATTAGTGTTTTAAAAATGTTACGCATTTTAAACCAAAGTAATTAATACGATTATATAGCAAAGTTAATAATAATAATTTGTTTGAGATTATTATATTATATTATACTAAATGAAATGTTTGTTTGTTTGATGTTTAGTTTGAACTATTATTTTGTGTTCACGACGAGAAAGATGCTTCGGTAATGTTTATCAATCGTCTTATTGATAAATATCCCGAAGTGGAGGCCAAGTTGTTTATAGGCGGTGCCAAAGTTGGTGTCAATCCTAAGATCAATAATATGGAACCGGGATATAAAGCCGCTAAGTATGAACTAATCCTCATATCAGACAGTGGCATCAGGAGTAAGTTATACCCATATATATATATTGTAGGTGTTATATACTATATATATATATATATTATCTACTATTATGTTGACAGTGAAAGAGGATACACTACTGGATATGGTATCATCGATGACAGATGAAGTGGCATTAGTACATCAAATGCCATTTGTTTGCGACCGAAAGGGCTTTCCATCAGTCCTAGAAAAAGTAAATTAACACTAAATTATATATATTTTTTAAACTGAAAAAATTGTTTTATTATATTTTTAGGTGTACTTCGGTACAGCTCACGCACGCATTTATTTATCAGCAGATTTCTTAAAAATCAATTGTCCCACTGGTATGTCAGCACTGATGCGGAAGAAACTTTTGGATGATGTCGGAGGTATTGCAGCATTTGGACAATACTTAGCCGAAGACTTCTTTTTTGCCAAATCTTTCACTGATCGGTATGTTTAAGAAAAGTATAATATTAATGAAATAAATAAGATTTAGACATTGATTGATACAGTGGATGGAAACTTGCCATCAGTTCACAGCCCGCGTGGCAAAACTCATGTACTCCTGATATCGATTCATTCCAAAACAGAATTACAAGGTATTAAACCATTGATTTTTTACTATCGGTATTAAGTTTATGTTAATTATTAATTTAAGACTTTGTTTGAATCATACAATCAAAAGCATTAGGAAAGCAAAAATAATTTGTCACCTAATGATTACCATAACTTTATTATTGTTTTTCAATACATCAATCAAGTGTTTAGAGAATATACAAATGTATTTCAACAATAGTTTTGTTTATAATTATTTAATTATTATATTGACGTATGTTTACGTATTTATAAAATTTAGTTTATAAATTTATATATAATACAATACTAATTATTGCCAACTTATACTATATACAGTACTTTATATACCGGTATTACATATTTAATTATTTACGAATTTATATCTAATACAAAGATATAAATAAATTAATAGAAATGAAATTAATATTTGATATGATATGTGTAATACATAATACTATATATGTATGGTTTATATACTGTATATTTATAATATCATTTACGGTACCAATGATATATATTATACCGGTAATTGCTATTTTTGACACAACTATTGACATTATATAAAATGTTTGATAATAATACTAAAATAATGTGTTAACTTATCGATTAAATTATTATTATTTAGTAATATTTTATAACAAAATATATTTATTAAATTTGACAGATGGGCCAAATTAAGGATAGCAATGATCCCACACATGATATTATTGGAGCCATTATCTGAGTGTCTAATGCTGGGAGCTATAGCCGCGTGGGCCGTTAGCTTTCTAGTACAATGTGACCCATTTGCTGTCTACTTATTTCATCTTTTATTATGGTTTCTATTGGATTATGTATTACTATGTATAGTGCAAAATGGTGCATTACCATTTAGTAAGACCGACTTTGTGGTGGCCTGGATGCTACGTGAGTGCTGTGCACTTCTACTTTTTATACGAGCTCTTTGGGAGCCCGACATCAAGTGGAGAACCGGCACTTTTAAGTTAAAGTGGGGGGGAGTGGCACATGAAGTTAAAACTAAATTATAGCATTGATTATACAATTAATGTTATTGTTTTTGATGTTATAATAATTTTGTGGTCAATATTTGATCGAAAGAAACTTATTTTTAATAATTTACAACATAAGTGCCTCACAAATGTTACCATATTTTGTTTTCTATGTTATATACTGTATTTGATTACAGTATATCTATTTATATGGATTCTAATCATTGGCAGTCTATTTGACATTAATTATTTAATTTTATACAAATCTCATCACTCAACTCAACAAATTATTTCAAATCAATCAACAAGTTATTGAAAGACATTATTTTTATTTGATATTATTATTATTATTTAAAGCCATTTCATTGGTTAAATGTTAATTGTTTCATTGAAATGAGTGCCCAAATATTGAAAAATTTGTGTGAAATTAATGAACCGATTAATTGTTTATCATATTTTCAAATAGACATCGAAATTAACTTCATTTTAATATTTGTTTGATTTATAATTATTTGATCTAAAATCATGAAACAAAAAGAGTCAACAAAACATATTTAGCAGTAATTATAGGAAGAGATTGTTATTTTTTAGAGCATTTATTTATTTATATTAATCATTATTTCTACTCATTTAACAAAATTATTTTTGATTGGAATGTTATGTTATTTTATATTTATATATGTATTATAATTTATATACACCTTAAACCTCAATCATTTTTAGTATTGATTTTATACATTATTATATTTAGGATCAAATTTTACTTTATTATTATGCAAATTAAGTAATATAATTAATTTATTATAAATAGAACAAGTAATAGAAAAATACTCAAAATTATTTTAATAAATATTTTTAATATTTACATACAATTAAATCGATTAAATTGTAACAAAATTACGTTATAAACAAAGATTTGATAAGTGGTTTAAATTTGAATGTAAAGAAATTTATTTATTATAATAATAGTACTTATTTTCAAATATCAATATCATTGAGAATCTCTTAAACTTTCTTCCATTCAAATGATATAATCTTTAATAGATTAAAATTAATAACAAAACCTACTCTTATAAAGGCTATAAAAATGTTTTAATTTAGTATTGAGTTTATGTGAGCTTATTATACATTTGTTTGGATTCGTATACAATAATCCTTACAATAAACTCTTGAAGAATGAGTTTTGTAATCTCTTAAACAACAAAATACCTAAAATTTTGATATTATATCCTAATCTCAAAGCAAAGAGTTAAACGATTAGAAAATTGTTTTACTCATTAAAATATTATCTTTCCTTAAAATTGTTATTTAAACCAGGGTTAGTAAAATACAAAATTTATTCTTTAGTCCACAGTATAAATAGTTTGAATTATATTGAATTTTTTGAAATAATGAATGAATTGCTATTTAAGACATAATTATTGCAATTGAATTTCAATATAAATTAGTTATTAGAATCGTTTTTAAAACATCTAAATATTATTAACTTAGCCAACAGACAAATTAATATAAATACATTTAATACCAGAATTAATATCTATAATACAAACTTTGTATAACAGCCAACCCTGATTTAAATCCTTAAGATAACAATAATAATAATTACATCGAAAAATATTTGTCATCAAAATGAGATCAAATGACTATTAAATAAGTGAAAATAAATATAAAATACTATATTTTTATAACGATAAACAAATAATAATTAACATAATGATAACAATCGATAATATTGATCCCCAAGTGTTGTATAATAACTGCAAATCACATTCCCATTACATATCGGGGAACAAAACAAACATTAAATTCAATCGATTTATAACTAAAAATTGTAATTCAATTGTAAATTACAACTATTGAATCACTCACTAGTCATCAGTGCTTATGAATCCTATACTACTGTATAATTAGGTTTAAATTAATTGTTACCCAATGTTGCGAAATAATAATTTTGTTTTGTTAAGTATATTTTTAAGTCAATATTTTTCATAAAATAGGATTTACTTATATTTAATACAAAATTATATTTTTTATTTAAATTAAACTTAATTAAGAATTTTTTTATTTTATCTTTACAATTAAATTAAAATAAAATCTGTATATTTGAATAGTTATTTCTTATTTTTATTGAAATGTTTATAATGTAATTAGATAACAAAAATAATGTAAAAAATTAAATGTAAATAAAAGTTTTGCTTTTTATTGTATGGTAAATAAATTAGGTATACTTTTATTAACTAAAATAATACCCTATTTTTAAAAATAAATAATATAGTAATTGTATTAATTTATTTGATATAATTAAAAATTTGTATATTTTGTCAATTTTTGTAACAATTGGCGTACTCTTGTTTCATATTAAGACCAGCAATAGATCCAATGCTACTCAACCAAGTGATCAAATAATTATCAATATTTAAATGTATTTTATTTGTTTGATCCTCTTTATCACTAAATATATTGTTCATTAGTGTTGAAGTATGACAGGGATGGATACCATAGAATGGTCGCATCAATAAAGGGTGTTCCTATGGGTTCACAATAATTAAGACAGTATTGTATAATACTATACAAAATTGATAACTATTTTCATTGTAAAATTATACCACTTTCTTATAGTTAAAAAAATATATAATTTATCTACAATTTGTATGTCTAGTATATAATATATTTAACAGTTTATAAAAATAATCTAATTAATGTGCATTATTTTATTTCATGCGTTAATATTTAAATATTAATAAATTGCAATTAAAAGTATAAAATAATAAAATACCATTTGTGTAATCATTGATCCAAATCGTTGATAAAGTATTGATTCATTGGTTTCATCTATTGGTGATTCCGTTTGATGGGATATGTGGTTCTTAGGAATTAATTTCCAAATGTCTTCAATGGTAACAAATGACCCATCTTAGTTTTTTAAATATATTTATTATTATATATTATAAATTTATATAGTTATAAATTATTACGTATTAATAATATTAAAACTTAATAATAACCTGTTTTAGTAGCTGTAAAATAAAGTACAGGAACTGAATAACTAATGTTATATACGATATGATATTCAAATTTGACAATTGATTGGGAATCGACATCAACTTCTTGTAGATCCACATTCAAAGGTTGATTAGAAAATGTCAGTGAATGTGATTCATCGGTAACTGACTCTTCATTAATTAATTTATACTCTGTTTTCATTAAATACATGCATCCAATATCACACTATTTTTGAAATATAAATATAATAATATAAATAATAAATAAATAATATTTTCAAAGTTTTAGTGTAAAAATAATGAAATGACAATTAATATATTATCACAAAATGATAATACTTTGATATACAGTATATTATAACAATAGAGAATTACTGTAACAAATCAAATAACATTTTTGTTACTAATAGTTTTTAACTGTTATTATATCATACTTTTTATTTTTAAAATATTAAAATAAATTTATGCATAAAATTAGAGAATATGTTTTCGATGGACAATAAATATATAATTTAATTATTAATATTATTGAAGATAAAGATTCGGGAACCGAAAACCAAGTGCTGGACAATCGGTAATTTAGTGACGTATTCGTTGCAATACATGTTAAGTAATCCGCGATTGATTTTAGTCCAATCATCGACTCCCGAGATGTTCCACAATTGGTTCGAGTGTTCGGCAAACGGACCTCTTTTCACTTCGTGGATGAAATTAATGGCTGACATAAACATTAAGTCGTCTTTATATTTTAGGGCCACTTCTTGGTTTGGAAATGATTGCGGATCGACATGCGAGTGACCAATGAGTTGGGCCGACCCGAAGTAAAACGGCAAGAATTGGAAATCATCTAAAGAGAAGACACCGTGACTTCCGGCCGGTTCTAACCGATAGCGCAGCTGAATCTTACGGACGAGTGGAAGATATACGACGGCAAAGATAGTCAACAATTCATGACTCAAACGTCTGACCACTTCCTTCTGAAGTGAATCTTGTGGTGAATTCATTAGTTTGAGTTTATATAAACCCATAAGAAATATAACAAAACACATCTCATGTCCCGTTCCGTAGTCTATGCGCTGTTCGTTACCGAATGAGTCCAACAAATACGGCCGCAATTCTGTCGCGTCTTTGTCGCCAAACATTGCATTCAGTTTTGTGTCCACTTCTGTCTTCATTTGTGTCATCCAAGTCCTGAACGCTTTATTTCCAAATCTCTGATTTTTGTCGTCTTCAATAGGTTTCACTTCATCGACCAATTGTGACAATCGGTCGATAAGTGCCACAATTGCTACCAATACTTCATTTTTGACAAATTCTCTTCTGTTAAGACCTCTTTCGTGAACTCCTTTTGCAAATTCATTCAATTGTTTGATAAAATTTAAGTAATCCTTATATCCGTCACATTTAAGCCATAACTCGACATCTCTTTGATTGAATATCCGTCGACTCGGCTCTGAATCTGTATTAGCCATCGGTGTCGATGTCTTTACCGATAATACCGAAGACAATTGGTTTTACTTTAAATTGATTTACACAACAGTCACACAACTGATCCAATAGTCAACAGATGGCAACACAAACATATAATTTGTATTTTTTATAATTATTTATTTGTAGACAACTGTTGACTATTAAAATGATTATTATATTAAATATAATATATTTATAATAATTTTATGATTTATTTTTGTATATTTGAGATAAAGTTTGCCACTTATTGTTGAATCAGATTTGGGCACAAATTGGGACACATTTTAAGTAAATCTGATGACAATTCAGACTATTTTTATCAATAATTTCTTATTCTTTAAAAATATTATAATTAGTTGCATATCATTGATATGAATAAATTAATTATATATTAATATTAAATAAAAGTACATTAATTTGAAACATCATTTATAATAATTATTTTGTAGTAGTATTTTGTAATAGATTATAAAGTTGAGTATATATGAGATTAGTTACGGACCATAACTATCCAAATGGACAGATGATTGCCATTACAGGTATTGTAGGCAACAGTTAAGGTCTATTGATATAACTTTATATGAATAAAGATTTTTTGGACACAATTCTAGACATCAATGTGTTTGACCACTCAGTGGTATCCAATTAATGTGTTAATGTATGAGCATATGTACTGTACATTAGTTTAGATTTACCTTTATTAACAAAATGCTATAATTTAGATATTATAACACTTGGAGTGATTCAATTGACAATAAGTTTTAGTCTATTACCAGATCAAACAAATGTCTATTTAATTGTAGTTTTTTTATAAATTAAATACAAGAATAATAATATTATACATTTAATTAATATATCATAACGTTGTTTGTGATTATGAAATTAAATTGTAAAGTATTTATTTTTTTAAATAAAATTTTATAAAAAGTTTAATTAGTTGATAATAACTTTTCATTTTCAAAGTAATAGAAATATTAGACATTTAACAGAAACAGAAAGTTTTTACTTTTTTAGCCAATTATTAAGTAATTCAAATATATAATACAACAGAATTATTAAAACACTGATAATATCAATGTATTATATTTTTATTAAACTCATTATATTTATAATTACAGTATTTGCAAAACATACTATACTTTAATGGTTTCTTATTTATAAGTATTATATATTTTATTTTGAAAACTGATATTTACATAAATTGATATAACTTTAAACCATAATATATTTCAAATTAATAAATTAATTATATAAATATACTTTATATAAATTATATACAGAATCTGTTTGTTGTATTTTTGATGAATTTTATACATTTGAAAAAATATTCTGTGAGAGCATCAAAATGTTGAATAGGATTGTTTAATCTCTTAACAAAAATTGTCAAAATGGCGGACAAAGATTATTTCAAAATTTTTAAAATTAATTTTTTAATAAACTTTATTATATATACATGTAGTTCTTAGATTGGTTCTTAAATATGTAATTAATCTAATGTTTTAAATAAAATAAATACTATATTTATCATTTGAGCAATATTAATGCCGATACTAAATTATAATAATATGATCAAGCTACTTTAATTGTTTCAAATTAATGGTTATAGCAAACTATAGTTTTACTAAATCTTGTAATAAATAATGTAATATATTTTTATTAATTTGATAGAGTATATGATTTTACTAAACATAACTCACATTCATTGCCAATTGAAATATTTTCATTGCCACAAAAAAATTAAAAATATTAAAATATAAGTACTGTGTATACAATATTTATTTAATGAATAAAGTTTTTATAAATTACAAATGGTTTAAGTATTCAATGAGTAAAAAGATACACATTTCAAAGTATCTTAAAAATTATTTCTTTGTTTTTTATTTATATAATTTGTAATTTAGGATAATTTTCTTTTTAACTTAAATCTTATACAAAACATCGACTCTTTTAATTAGACTAATAAAAAATGTATTTTTCATTTTATTAGAATAAAGGAATTGTCACTATACTTATTGCATTATATTGTTTAGTTTATAATAAATAAATTAAAAAATTATATTATATAATGATCAGACAAACTTAATTTGTATATTAATTTTTAATTTTAATTTTATAGATTTCGTTTTACTATTTGTTTTATTTATAAAATAACAAAAATAATAATCATTTTTTATAATATGTACATTACAAATTAGTAGTAGTAGTATATTTAAAAATGTATTTTATAAATCAATCAAAATATTATATTAACTAATATTTTGAATTATTTTATTTGTTTTTAATCAAAATACAAATATGTTTAAATTAGTTTTAATAAATTATGATAATGAAAAAACTAACATATTTTCTAATACAATATTATTATTATTGTTATTATTTAACTTATTTTTGCCGAATATCTAAATATCAAACATTGTTTATTAAACCTCTAAATACTGACAATCTCTTTAAATGCAAACTCTTGTTATCACAGATTTTGATCAAAAGTAAACTAAAAAAGATATTTCTCTCATTAGTCTCATAACAATCTTTGAAAAGTTTCCAAAATTATGTTTTCATCAGAGTTGGAAAAATACAAGGTTTTAGATTTTTGCTTTGTATAATGTATTATATATTTTTAAAAACTAATATATATTAACTTATATTTATAAAAATTATTTAATGATAATATAATTGTTGACAATTCGTTATTTTTATATTAATTGTCGTTTTCTAATGATAAAATAAAAAAAATAAAGATAAATATAGAAATAAAAAATAAATATCACATTTATATTTATTATATATGTTAATTTTTGCTTATATCAATGTTTTTGATACTAGGTGGCGCTAACTTTTGTTTTATATGGCAAAATTGTTATGTTTTATACATTGTATTATACTGTACATCATATTAGGCTTTGTATTATTTGAAGCATTTTGTCTCTGCCAACACTGGTTTTCACTAATAATATTATTTAGTTCAAACAAAATCAATTACATTTCTCAGTAAATAATTAATACAGAAATATAGAAAATATTAAAATTTTATGCAATATTTTGTTGTATATAATTGCTAACAGAAATATTTGTTCGTAAAATATTACAATTTTCTGTTTAATAGAGATTATTCATTAAGTAGTGAAAAGTACTATTAATTTATAAATATTAAAAATAAAATAATTTAAATCATTAGTTTGATAACTCTATTTATAAGCTATTTAAAAAAGTCTAACAAAAAATCATTTATCTTTCATATTTGTAATAAGTAAACTAAATTTGTATAATTGCTTACAATATAATTGTTTTTAGAATACAGTTAATAATTAGAATAAAATATTTTTAAAAAAACTTTCATTACAAATAAAAATTATTTATTAATAATTTGTTATAAAATAGGCGAAATCCTGATCTGGATTATAAATTTAATTAGAAATTGCTATTAATATCTAATGTCTATTATCTTAAAGAAACAATGATTGAGATAAATACCAAATATTTGTAGAGAAAATTCTACATTCAATTCATTAATTATATGACATAACTATTATCTTTCTAAACCATGTTTATTAAAATAAGATATCACTTGGTTTATCAATATTTAAAATTTCAACAAATCAATGGACACAAATACATAGTCATAACAAATTCAGATATGAATCCATTTTAATAGTTAGTCAATATTATTAGTATCTATTATTTTAAATAAACAGTATATATATATATCGTAAAGCTTGAAGACATTTACAAAAATGCGTCCATAAATCAAATTAATAAATAGAATTAACAAATACAACATAAATTGTATTACAGATGATTAAAACAAACAAAAATTTCCAATTTTTTAACAACTCTTTAAAAAAATATTATATTCTATAATACTGTATAATAAATAAATTCTTAAATACTAGTATTATTTAAAATATCATTAATTAAAGTTTTCATATAAATTATATTAATATTGTAGCAAAAATAATATATATATTATTATATGTCTATAATATTAACAAAATTGTATTTAAATTGCAATTAAAATTAAAAATCTAAATAAATCAAAATAAAAAATACCGTTTACACTGATTTCAATGAAATTATGCATTTGTTAATAACTTATTTGTAATAATTCTAATTTGAAAAATATTATTACTATCAGAAAAAATAAGTTTCTAAAACTAAAACATATTTATTTAATATAAAAATCAATTTCATTTTATTAATATAAATATAAACATTGAATGTTTAAGAAAATAAAGATGAAAAATAAGTGATTTATTTGAAAAATCAATATTAAATATTTATATAATAAAAAACAAAACCTATTTTTCATATATTCATCAAAACAATATTTATAACTACAGTATTAATAATATAAAAATAAATAACAATTATGATTATTGTATTATAAAAACATAAGTAGCATTAATGTCAATATGAATAGACATAAATGCAAATCTATTAGAATCGCCAAATACTAAGATACTTATATAGTAATATAGTAATGTATTGATTAATAATTATTTAAACTATCAAATAGTTGTTATAATAGTTGCTTAAAAACGCCAAATAGTTATTTATTTTTTTAAATATGTACAAATAAATACAATGATTTTTATTAGATTGGATGATAAAATAATATTTCAAATTATTTTCTTCAAATCAGGCGTTTTTCAATTAAAATATTTTTTAATTTAGAAAACCTTTTAATAGTTGTTATTATAGTTTCCAAAAATGTCAAATAGTTATTGAAATAGTTATTTATTTTTTAAATATTTGCAAATGATATGATTCATTTGTTTTCACTATATTTACAAAAATAATGGCACAAATATGCAAATTACTTCCATTGTTAACAAAAAAATAATAAGAATTAAAAACATTTTAGTTATATATAATTTTTGTAACTAACGTTTTGTAAATTATATATATATTTGTGTAATATTTTACTTTGAAATAGTTATTTATAAGTTTTTTTATAGTTACTAATCCATCAAATAGCTATAATAAAATTTCGTGAATAGCGTCCATTTGTCATATTCGGTAAACATACTAAGTCTAAGTTATAAATGTTTAACCGACAAAATAGTTTTTTTAGTTGGAAATCAAGACATTATTAATAAGTAAAGTTTTCAATTGATTGATTAAAATGCGTTTTATTATTTATTTATAATTTGTAAAATAATAATTTACTTTTCATATTATCAATTTATTAATTAAGTCATAATCTATTTAGACAGTCACATAAACAACTAACTATTAAAGAAAAATTACTCCAAACTATAAAAATGTTAAGAATGATATTTTTAAAACTTAATTATCATTTATAATTAATAAAGCATCTACCTTTAAGTTAAGTTGTATAAACATAGTTTAGTAGATAAAAACCTAATTAACCAATTATTTTTTTAAAAGATTTTTTTCTATATTTCACCTGAGCATAATATATACTATATTTATTGTAAATACACAAATAGATTATTTTTAAATATTTTCAAAATGTTTGATTCAATAAGAATCACTAATATTATTAATATTAAAATAATCTAATATACAATTTAAATATATATATATAACTGAGTGATTCTAAAGCTATGGAACGCACTGTATGTGATATAAAAATTAAATAACTTGGATTTGATACTCTAATAATTAATATTAACATTTTATTTAATAAATTTATTGGTAAGAAAAGTTTAAAACTTTGATTTGATACTCTACTTATAAGTTAAATGGGAATAAATTAGAAAAATAGTAAACATTAGTGAAATAATTTGAGAGAAATGTTGTCTTAAATAAAATCAAAAATCTAATCTTTGAATACAATATTTAGTGATCAAATGGGACTAAAATAAGGACGATTTGCCTCCAGTGAACACTCCCTTCAGGCACTGGTTTAGTGTTAAGTTGTCGTCCATTATATGCTTGTGTGAAGAGACAACTGGTGTATACTGTAAATCAAAGTGAGGGCTACTATACTGTTGTTATACCTCTATATACAGGTATATACCTCAATATACCTTTAAATACAGGTATATATATATATAAAAGTATATAATTTAGTCTTTTGTAACTCAAGTCAGTCTTAATGTAATTCTTGTGGGATTCAAATCACACACTATTTTATTCATACAAAAGCCTTAACTGTTAATCCATTGATTAAATTCATTATTCTTATGTCACAAATACCTATTATGTCATATCATTTCAATCAATTATCAATGCATTCAAACCATTTAACGGCTAACTATTTGAACCAATCATTATTTAATACAAATATTTACACTATCCATGTGTTATCAAAACTTTTTTTAAAAATAAACTTTTAATAATAATAATCTCTGAAAAGCTAATAATTCATAACACTTATTAGTATTATAGATATAATTTATACAATATATACTTAATCTTTTTATTTCATGTAAAACATCAATCATTATTGCAAACAAATAACAATTAGTAAATTAAATAATAGGTATATTATGTAATTAAAATAATGTCTAATTAAATAATTGTCAACAAATCTATTGTTAAATAAGTATTTAGCAATTTTTATGTAAAACAATATTTTAATTCAAAATTATCTCTTAAATTGTAGTAATATAAAAATAAAAGGCAGTGAATAATAATAATTGAAAAATGTATACGAGTTGGGCATTAATGTGTGGTATAAGAGATCGTTAGGGGAATATCTGGAGGTCCAGAACAGGTAGGGTCAAGGACTGGGGGGTAGTTTCAAGTCGTTTCAAATGATTGTGTCCTTAACTGTGGGTTGGGTTTCAAGTGAAGCAAATACGTTGAAATTGTTTGCAAATAAATTATGTTTCGGTTTGTATTGAGAAGTGATGTGAGAGACAGCGCATAACACAACACTCCATATATACTTCTATAACTCCCTGTCCTCCCTATACTCCCTCACCAATGGCTGAGCTCAATGTGGGAGACCATCGCTGGCAGTCATGGAGATGGTATACAAACTAAGCACGGGGTCTATCGAGCACAGGGATGGCTTATTCTTAGATTTCAATATCCGATAAAATTAAAATATATTGACAATTATTTTATTTTTAATTAATTATTAACATTAGGCTTAAGATAAATGACAAGAATATAGTTAGTAAAAGACAATTCATTTAAGACAATGGCCAACAGCATCGGTATATATATATATATTGGTGGTGTTGGCACTTCTCCTATCAATGCATCCCTATATCCCTATCCCTAATATTTTGTGTTGTAGTGCCGGCTCTATTGACTTGTGCTCGAAGTCAACACAACAGCTCAATACAAGAGCTGAATAGATGGCAAGGGATGTATGTGTTTGTGCTTTAGGTCTTCCCTCGTCAGGCAATGGATGAGTCCATAGGCTATGCATTGGAAACGAGTCTCGAAATGCATTGAAATAAAAGTGTGAATAAAGTATACGAAAGATTCAGTATTTCTAAAGTGAGGCACAAATAGGAGGGACAGACACCAGACAGTCAGTCATATCGAGTCTATATTACATATATATATATATATACTGTATATATAACACACATATATATATATATATATATATATATAAATATATAATATATATGAGTTTAATATAATTGTTTCGGTAAAACATGATTTCAAGTAATCAAATATTTTATATAAAAGCATTGGTTTTATCGGTAAATCACAAATCGATAGAAAGGACTCATTTGAATGTCATTTAACACAAACACTGGTGTTGTCTAAGGCATCGATCGACACAACACTCAAGATATCAAACAACACATCCAAACAATACATACCGAGATCTGACGTTTCATCCAATTATCACCGATAAGACTCGACATTTGCCACAATTTGTCAGCACTTGTCTCAAATTGTGTCCAATTGAGTGTTCCATCAAATGATGACATCATAGGGACATCCAAACCATTATATTGACATCACTGCAGAGGAACATCAAGTCAGTCAATATCTATCCATATATTGGAAAATAAAATAAAATGACTTTTAATTTAATTGTTATTTAATTTCAAGACATTATATGGTATAACAGATATATTTATAAGTTTTGTGTCAACTCATCAATAAATATATATTACAAACTTTATTGTGAACACTAATAACATCTATAACAGTGACACAACAAGAAGTGACTTATTGGTGACAACTAATTAAAAATATTACAAAATGTTAATATTGTGTAAAAGATATTTTCACCATCGACTGTGAGGACAGTTATCTCATACTTTTATAGCATCTCATGTGAAACCTACTGGAGTGAAGCCATTCAACAATTACTACTTCATCACATGTGATATCAATTGTAGTAATCTGTGGTTAGTGTCTACATTGTCTTATATCTACTGGATATTAATGAAGTTATTCAAAGCATATCAAACATAATTAAACAATTTATTGATTTGATGTGAATGTGAATGAAAACAATTGACTGTCAAAAGAGGTCAGAATATTATTATTTATCTATTAATTTATAATTTATTCTTAAAAATATGTAAACACCAAATAAATTATAAAAACTTATATAATTATATACTGTATCAATAATATAATAAATAGTATTATATACATATTATAATAAGTTATATATTATATAATTTATATTAATTACTGTATATAAAACTAGCTTCAATAATTTAAAGACAAAACAATTGATACAATTATTACATAGTTTATAAAAATATTTTTTGTTAATTTATTTGGTGTTTACTTTTTTAACTAAACTATTTTAATAAATTTGAAATCAATACAAACTGCTTTTAATAAATAATAATAACTAAATTATTTTATTTAATTAATATTTTATAATAACTATATTATTAATTATGATCATGAGTTAGAAAAAGCATTCAATAAATAACAGAAAATATCATCACATATAATAAGTTAATTATATCTTTATTATTGTTTAAAACAATGTGTGTAAACCTATAGTATTAAAATACTACTAAATTACTAAATAAGTATTAATAAATACACTATATTTGTCTGTTTGCTATATTTTTTTTTAACTAATTAATACATATTGAACCCTAATTTTACCAATAAGTCATATGTTTATATAAAATAAGCAAAAATATCACATAATAAATAATAAATTATTTAAAATAAAATGTAATAATATTTAGCTAAAAATACTGTATTTATTAAAGCAATAATTATTTCCGGAGCGTTGTTTAATTTAAAAGATATAAAATATTACAAATAAATTTAAAGTTTTGTCTAGAAATGCTTGAAAATTGTGTTATTTTTATGAAAACAATTTTTCAAAATTTGAATTTTTTTGAGCAAAGGATTGCTTCGTTAGTTTGGTGTTAGAAAACCGGTTTTTAAACCGGGTTTCAAATAAATTAAGGCAAACACTACAACAAACTTAATATTTTGTTACATTTTGACTATTTTATTAGTTTCCTAATGTAGATCATATCAGTTATTGTTTTAAACTAATTCTGTAATGAGACTAAAATTAACTAAAGAATATATATATAATTTATTAAAAAACAAAAAACTTAAACTGTGTTTATAAAATGTAAATATTATTTTAATGCATTATTATATTTTATTATAAATATTGGCATTATCTTTTTGATAATTTGGTTTATGTTTATAAATTATTTTGGATATATCATAACATTCAGTATTGAAATGAAATGCGAAAATACAGACCAATTGATTTGTATAATAGTTATTAATAAATGTTTAGGTTTTAGTGTATGTGATGACTGACTTGTGAGGGATTGGACACGAGTGACGAGATATACAGTACTGTAGTGTATATAAAACTAAACATATTTTATAAATTAAGACACTTTTAATATAATAACCAAATACTGGTATTCAAAACCGGTTAATAATTTTGTTGAATAGTATGATATTTTGTGACTCGACTTATACTTTAGTTTACATTCACACTAAACATTAAAATATAATAATGCAAATATAATAAATTATAATACAGTAGAGGTATATACAATTAACAATAGATATTTGTGACTAACTATATGTTAGAATAAGTATTTTTATTAATTAAGAAAATTAAATACAAATAGAAAACTTTTCATTGATGTTATTATTATAATTTATAATCATTATATCTATTTTAACTAAATGTGATTTTATATATAAACAACACAATTAAGTAAAAATAATTATTAATAGCAGTTGTTTATGATTTTAAATATAATATCAAAGTTGAGGTTAATTGGGATTGAGCTCAATGTCATCAATAGATTGACAACAATATTATCAATTGTTTGGACTAACAATTGTTTGTCATTTAATAGCAAAAACAACAATTAATGCTTAATTTTATTTTTATATTACTATTTATAAATGCTTTTGTAAATTATATTCATTGAATGATTCGGTCCAACAAATCATATATAAATATCAACTTATTTTTGTCAATACATTAGCATTTTATGATATTTACAATGAAATATAATAATTATTATATACTTATAATTATTGTTGTAAATAAAAAATATTTTCTCATAAAATAAAGCCGTGAATACTATTTAAATAGTATTTAGTTTATGTATTTATTAAACATTATATTTAGACAATAATAGTGTGAATTGTATTAATTCATTGACTAAATCAACGATACATTCATTGAATTCAATGGTAACACAAAAACATTGCCATTCAGTCAAATCATTCATTATATTCATGACATTAGACTTCCGTAAAGATCGCATAATAAGAGGTTTATTGCAATAATTCAAAAGTGTTTACATTTTTAAGTTGTCATAGCATAACAACTAATGAGAAATATTTTACAAAAAATACTAATTTATTATATCTTATATAATCATATCAAATAAATACAATTTGAATTATATAACATTTAAAATTTAGTTAATTTCTCAAAATGTTAACACTTTTTTTGTATTTTATAACTTATAATACATAAATCACTCTTATAATGTATATTTCTAAGTCATATTCACTATTTATTATATTTGTCTTTTAGTTTAATTAATATTTTCAATTTCATACAAAAATCAGCATTTATTGGCAAAATCAAACCACATGTACTAAACAAACACACTATTTCAATGTCAAGTCAAATAATATACTAAATATTTAAAACACACTTTTCCTTAATATCACATAACTTTTCATAGTTTATAATATTTTTCAAATACTGTACTGTATATAAAATTATATTTTATCATTTCACACATTTTTAAAGTTATATACAGTACAGTATTATAACATCTAATCTAATATAATACTACAGGTATTATGTATTAATAGTTAAGACAATTAATTAGAGACTACTTATCATTTGATTTTACATTTATATAACCATTTATTGTATAAATTATAACAACATGTTTAGCTATATTTAATAAAACAAATAAAATATAAATTTGTAAAATAATGATTAAATTAGATATGACTGATGAAGTGTAATACTGTATTTGACAATTGACCATGTTAAATTAATAATTATATTGTAATATAGACTATAGTCAAACTTAGCAGCAAATTAACTCAAATTAGTATAATTATAGATTTGAATTTACAAAATTGCTATCTATTTATAATTGTGACAATTATGCGATACGACTATTCTATAACATTATTAACTGTATATCAAATAATACTCTATAATAACAAAATAATTAAATATTATTTTCTATTAGTTGGTTACCCCTTATATTCTAATAATCAAATCATTAAAATCAAGTTAGTTTTGTTCAGATATTTATTGTAACATCATTTTAACAAATATATAGCATATAATATCATATTATAATCATTTATTTAATTTATTTATTATATTAAGTATATATGGATTTTTGTGAATATTTTGTTTATAATTAAATTAAAACTAATAATTATAAATAAATGGATAAATGTTTTATACATTTCTGACAACAGTTTCAATCAGTTTTGTTCAGACATGTTGTCATCAATACTATGCTATCATTTTCATGACGTAATATATGTAATGTCTGTATATATATATATATTTATATTTATGACAATAAAGTGCTAAACAATGCAGTGATTGTAATCAATGATCAAATGTTGTGTTAAACGTAAATAAATATCAATTATGTTTACAAATGTGTTATTATTATTATTAAAGAGTTTGTATTATATATAATAAGTGATAATATAGTTAAATATGTTTAACTGTTTGTGACCTACAGGTGCGTCAACGGGACAACGCTATGTACACTAAAGGCAAAGGAGCTACCGTTCCATCAGATGCTCAGGCGAGGGAAAAGTAGGTTTCATATTATCTTTGATTGGATCTAATTGTGGTGATGTTTAATATGTATTGATAGGTTGGCACTATATGTTTACGAGTACTTACTTCACGTCGGGGCACAAAAAGCGGCGCAAACTTTCCTATCAGAGGTATATTAATACACATTCAATACATTCAATACATTCAATACATTGACTGATTCCTACAAACTATTCATAAATTACGTTACAAACTAACAAACAGATGACAACTAATTTAAAGTCAAAATTAATTGATTATTGCTTTGATATTACAATTTACAGATAAGATGGGAGAAAAACATTACATTAGGAGAGCCGCCAGGGTTTCTGCATTCGTGGTGGTGGTCAGTATCATATGATTGTATTAATTATGTTATAACCTAACAGTGTTTTTATAATTAACAGTGTATTTTGGGATCTGTATTGCGCGGCACCGGAACGTCGGGACTCATGTGAACACTCAAGTGAAGCAAAAGCTTTTCACGATTACGTAAGTATTGCCTAAGTTTTGACACTTAATTGCAATTCAATAGTTAACTATACACTTAGTCTATGCTTATATGTATTGTAATTAATTTGTCAACTTTTCAATGATATCATAGGGTTTTGTAAACTCTGGATATGCTGTCAACGGAATCGCTGGTCATGTAAGTGATAGGCCTTTGATTAGACACTTATTTATAATAATTTCAAATTGTTATCAATTGCTATATAAGCAACAGATTCCTTATATGACAAGAGTATGATTAGTCATAAGAGGTAATAGTGTATCAGTGAGTGAGCTTTGAATGATTGTAAGGGATGTTATTTGATGGTCGATTCGATGCAATACCGGTGCTTAAATGTCATGCGTGTCTTGTATTCAATTGAGTCGATATTTGAGGCCATAGACTGTATATACTGTTGTGTTAGTTATGCTTAAGAGCAGAGTCACTGAGTGCTCGATATAGAAGTATAGAGAATATAATAATAAGAATATATATACGATATGTATGAGTAGTGAACACTAGTATAGAGAGAACAGGATATGTATAGTGCGACCAACATTAACATCAAACTCCAGCTCCCAGTGCTGCCTATGCCTGCCTGTGCTGCACAAAACTCATGCAATTCAATATATGATATTTGCACTTATATTAGTAGACCTATAGACAACTCAAAACACATATTCTGTGTATACAATTCTGTTAGCTATATATACTGTACATTAAAGTTATATATAAATATATCACAACTATTATTCACGTCATTCATATAGTTATATAGTTGTATAGCTGTATAGTTGTAAGTAAATAATCGATTGAATCTAATTCTAATGGTTTGTTTGAATTTTTAATCAATATTTTTAATCATAACAAAAACATATAAATTTCATTAATTATAGTATATACAGAAATACCATTAAATTACACAAATAATTTTATCATTGATTTGACTGTAAATATGCAAAGAATTATTATATTAATAATAAATTAGGGAAAAAATAATTTCAATGATATAAGCGCTGAGTTAGACACGTAAAACAATATGAAATCAAAGTTTAAGATTCAGTCAAACACATTGTCTTAAATTTCCGCACTTTTTATGTTTTAAAAGTTGTGGACTTTTCTATCAATTGGTAAGAAAACGGGTTTTCTCTCATCCATGCGTTTCACTGGTATTGTTGGGTAACTCGTGCGGAGAGCAGAGGGAGGGGAGAGACAGTCAGTTTATGGGGAAAAAAGTCTATGAGAAGCACAGGGAGAGAGTGAGCGCATACACACATTCCTCTCAATTTTTCGCAGTGTATTCAACTTATTCTTTGATTTTTCACTGTGTAATTACACGATAAGAAAATCACCAAATATTTTAAACTTTAAATATTATACACAATATATTATTTATTTATTATGACTTTAAAAAGATAATTTAAGTTTCAAATAAATAGAAAATTTTAATTATATAGATTTCAAAATACAGTAACGTATAAGTAATCTATAGTGTAGTTTATATGACATATTCTGTGTGCATATGTATTATGAAATACTTTGATCAATATTGTGTTTACTATAGACTTATTGAATATTAGGAAATTTAGACTACAAAATAAAATTTGAATTATCATTAATGATAAAGATATGAGATTTATATCACCAAAAAATGTGAACACATTTAGCAAAATTAAAAGAAATGTATTTAAAAAAAAAAATTTATTAGTTGTTTGAGATCTGGTTTTTGTTCTCAACCTAAGATTAATTGTAATTTTTTATATTGTTATAAAAGAGATGTTTAAGAACTAAGAAAATTGAAGGCGAGATCTCGTATAGTTTGGGCACCGGTTCGGTGTAATGGTTGTGATGGCAAAAGTTAGTTGACCTCCAATGTCAATGGCATAGCTATTGCTTAGCAGAGCCTACATTGGATGTACTTGTGCTGCCCTTTTCTCCCCTTCCATCCATAAGTATAAAGCAGTCATTTTTGGTGATGTTATGTTATTCCCTCAGTTTTAGCGCTATAGTGCCTCAAGCCTTGTCTTCTCATGCATTTAGTTGCCGTGAAAAATCAATAAAGCATGCCTTCCCTCCCCTTTAACAGCCCTTACAAGAGAGAGAAAACTTTTTTATGGAAACCATGGCTCTTCTCTAATGTCGGCACAGCCTAACATACATACAGTACACACACACACACACACACACACACACACACACACACACACACACACACACACACACACACACACACACACACACACATACATACATACAGTATATATATATACACCATAATATTCAATACAGACTCAATGTAAGCAAAGTTATTACGCTCAACCATTATGTGAATACTAATGCCTACACTACAGTGCATACAACACTTGATTACAATAAAAGACTCGAACCCACACTTCGACCAGAATTTTAAACTATCGGTTGTTTTGCCGAAAATAAAGAACTTTAAATTCTGTGTCAAAATATTTACCACACTTTAGATAATTTGTATTATGTGTTAACATGTTTATGGTTACAAAGATTTATTTGTTGATTTGATTGTTGTGTGTGTGTGAGAGAGAGAGAGAGAGTAAATACATTTAAATAATAAATTGTAAAATATTTATATATTTAATTTAAATATTATTAGAAAATACAAATAATTAATATAAACTATAGACAGAATAATATATTATATGCATTGATTTGTTAAGGTTAGACCCATTTTATTTAGTCAAATGTTTGTATATAAATGTAAAATAATGACATAAAAGGTATGACAAGTAAGGGAGGGAAAGGGTCTACAACTTGATTCTGACGACTAAAACAATGATAAGAGAAGTTTAGAGACAAATGAGAATCATTAGCGAAGCACTGCATCTGAGCTCTCATTTTGCTCACCACTGATCTGTTAACCCCTCGACTATAGCAATGACTACATCCCAACCCTGCAAACCAGGTTTACACCAGTGAACATGTTGTGCCACTTTCAACATCGACACTACTAGTCGCTCATAATGTACTTTAACTGCACTATACTTTATATGCCAGCTATTCCTCGCATACAATATATGTGCAGTACATACACTACAAGTATAGTCAGTCTATATTATAGTATATTTTATATATTACTAACTCTAATGTAATATAGAAATTGCACACACGTGTAGCACTCAATATATATATATGCTTTTGGTTTACTCATATTGTATCTAAAAGCTTGTGATATATTTTAAATTTGTTTTATTGTTAGATAAAATTTGAGTAAAAATAATATATAAATTTAGAGAAAACATTTGATAACAATCTCTGTCTCTTTTTAACACTAAATCTTATATATGTTCACAAAATAATGCAAAGAAGTGGCATTTCAGGCGATATCATCTCTATCTATAAAATACATCACTTTTTTCTCTATTTTAATATAATTATTAAAAGCAAATAATTTATAAATATTAATTATTTACAAATAATTCTGTATTATTCATATTATTTTTGAGTGAATCAAAATTAGTTTAAGTAAAATTTTAAATTTTACAATTATTTAAGATAATATTATTTATTTAAGATTTTATATTTCTAGATTAATTTTGATTATAAATTTTACTGATAAAATTAACTATATATAATATTTAATTTCAATATAAATTACCTTTGACATTATTTAATAATATGTAACAATATTTAACATAATTAAAATTATTTTATTGAAATTTTGTTATCATTTGAATGGTGTGCGCTTTATGTCGAATTAAATTCAAATGATGTCGAAAGCAATTGTAATTATGTCGATATCATTTTACATAATACAAAAAACCTTTTTTAAAGAGTGTATTTTATAACATTAGATACTACTGTATATACCCTACTTTATAGTAATAGAGTATATGTAACATAATTAGCATAAAGTTAAATAATATTTTGAATTTATAACCAAAAGTGATGCTCTATTTTTAGGAAAGACACTACAAATGCCAAAATAAATATTCATATATTTTGATGCATTGCTTTAAATTTGTTGTTTTAAATATTTAGTTATAAAATACATATTAAAGCATTGTCTATTATATGCATATTTATATATTTTCACTGTCAAAACTTTTAAAAATACCATTTATTAATTTTTTGCTATATTATAAACGTGTTAAGCCTTTCTATACTATATATAACTAATAACTAAATAGTTATAATTTTGTGTAATTTGTAATTTTTCTGAATATAATATATACTAGTAAACTATCTAAAAGTGGAATAATATATTTAGAAGTTTATTATTAAAAGTATAATATAATTTTTGTATATTTCTCTATGATATTTGTGTAAATTGACTTTTTATCCAACTTTAATATGATTGCAAACCAGTTGCGTAAATGAAAATGCAGTCAAACCTAACAAACTTTATACAATGTTATCGCTCACTGTTTCCATAGTAATCTCTGTCTCTTTGACTTTATTTTCTTATTTTGTCGAACCAGTGATGAACAGCTAAAACCTATAGAAAAGAGAAAACATGAGAGCAGTGGTAATGTCTGAAATGACTACCCCTTGCCTCTGATATATCGACTCGATCTCAATGCAAACTCATCATCTGTTTCGTCATTTTCTCTGTTAACCAATGAATATCACTAACATTATGTCAATTTTGGATAAATCAAGAGTTTTGACAATTTGCTGCAAAATTTATCCAAAGTTTGCATAAATATTTTAATAATATAATTATTTCGATTTTATTAATTAAAAATCATGACAATGATATCAAATTATTAGTATAATTGTTATGTACAATACTTAATTCTAAATATTAGTTTTACATTAAACAATTTTAATTAATCATATCTATAAAAATATGTTACTCAATATATATATAATATTAGTTAAGGTCAACACTTATTTTTCATCAATTTATGTTAATTAATGAATTTTTATACATTATAAGTTCTAATATTGTCTTAACAATCACATTGTTTGCAATTTTTAATACAATATTTTTTTTGATACACTGCACACTCCATCCATTGATGCCAAGACTATCATTGCATTGATGTATTTGATTATAAATTAGTAATTTGTTAATTGTTATACAATTACATTACATTACATACTAGACACTTGATTTCCGGCAATAGCCCGGCAATAGGCAATAGACCAATATTTTACACTAAAGGTTATTATCATATCAACAATATACACTTCAACTAATTAATATAATTAATTTATTGAAAATAACAGTAATTTTTATATTTCTAAATGTTGATAAATTATCAACAGAATTACTAATTTGTTTGATATAAACTTAACACAATTTTATCTAAACTTATCTAAAAGCACTTTTTCTCACTTATATTATATGCATACATACATACATACATACATACATACATACATACATACATACATACATACATACATACATACATACATACATACATACACATACACATACACATACACATACACATACACATACACATACACATACACATACACATACACATACACATACACATACACATACACATACACATACACATACACATACACATACACATACACATACACATACATACACTCACTCTTAGTCTTATATAACTAACTAATATTTTAAATTTCTATTTAAAATGAAAATCGTTTTGTTGTATATAGTATTCACCAAACATTTTTAAAGCAATAGCTGGATTTACAAATATATATTTAAAAATTGAGAAACGAGATAAAAGTCTAGTAATAAAAAGTAATGATATATTCAGCAAAATTTACTTAAATATAATTTAATTTTATAAAATGAAATATATAATATAAAAAATATATAAATTTAATATCAAGTATTTACAATATATAAAAATTATGCATTTTTATCAAATTATAACCAAAGGTTTTTATTTTACTAAAATTTTAATACATATATATTATACATTAATGTTTTAAAGATGTTTGTTTTATAATATTGTTATTAATTTGTGAATATTATATATATATCAAAAAAGGATTATTAATTAATTTTTGAGATCTAAATCGTAACCAAAGACATAACATTTTAGGTAAATCCAAGTAGACTAGAAAGTGTTTACTTGAATCACAATTTACGGTATAAAACACTTGTTTTATGTATTATATAAATTTAATTTTTAAATTTTATTCTTAAAAGTCCTAAATTAAAATTTATATTTACGTTTTTTAATCAAATAATAATCAAAGATTGTTATAATATTACGATTTAAGTGTATATATTTGATATATTAATGTTTTATTCAAAATCGTAATGTCTTAAAAATGTTTGTTTTAAGTTTTATTTGATAACTTATTATAAATATATATATAATTTAGGTTTTAATCTTTTATTCAAATGAATAATATTATAAGATTATGATAAAATTATTTTCAAGTAGTATTTAAAAAATAAGAAACCAACATTTATTCGTTTAGTATCATTAATATTAGGTGTTATATATTTTGAATTGAAAATTGCATCAATTTATGATTACGAACTGACAAATTGTCAGTTTTTATTTTAATTAAATAATTTAAAGATATTTAACTATTTGAGTAATACAATTGATTAATGAAATAATAATTTGTTTGACAGAACCCGACAGCTCCGAGTCCTTTGGGTCAGATGCCTCCCAATGATGGTATGCCAGGGGGTCCGATGCCACCGACCGGCTTCTTCCCGGTAAGAGTAGTATATTAGTGTAAACTATATTATTAATCAATGGTTGATATGATGTTAACATTAAAACCCAAAACCATATCGAATATTAATCTATAGTTATTTACTATGAATGATATGGACATCTGTGATATGAAAGTAACCCATGTTATCAACTAATTGTTAAAACCAAACATAGTTTTAATAACATTACTATCTTTCATATAAAATAAATTTATAATATTTATAAATATATAATTTGTTGAAATTAATTATTATATATTACAATAGTTAGTATTTTTCTTTAATTAGTATATTTAAATCAATATACAGTGTATATTAGAGGTTGTAACCAAATTATTTTTAAGAACCGATCTGAAAATTTAAAACCGAAACCGTATAAACATAATGTAATTGTTTAAACAAATAGTTAATTTTAATTGAGTTTTTGTTATTTTTTATAAACCAAATTCAACATATAAAAGAGTTTTGTTTCTGGTTTTAACTTTTAATCGAAACCTATAAGGTTATTATATATTACTATTTTATTTCACTTTAGAAAGAGAGAGAGAGAGAGAGAGAGATTAACAGGGTATGTATTGGGGATTTAGATTTGATTTGGTTTTTAAAAAATTAGAAACCGAACCTAAAAACTGGAATTAATATTGTTTTTGGTTAAAATTCAGTTTTTATGGTTTGTATATTAGAGTAAATTCTTTGTAATTATGGTTCATAATGTTATTTGATTGAAATAAATATTTAAAAAATGAAATTGAGTCGTTTGGTTCTTGTCTTGGTTTAGTTATAATGACATAATTTATTTTAACAATTTAATTAAATATAATGTTTAATATTTATATTAAAATCAATTATATAGTTATAAATACTTCAAATAAAAATTGAAAACTTAAAATGTATGATTTATATGAAGTAAATTGTTATTTTCAAATCACTTTATATCTTTGAAATATTTTTATATATTAAATATTATTTATTAATATTTGTTTTAATCTATAGCTTTCAAAATTAAGTTCAATTAATAGAATATATTCTATTATTATATTTAAAAAATATTTTTTTTGAGAACATTAACTAATTAATTTTAGTTTAATTGTGATTTCTTAAACTATCTATAATTAAAATGTCACATAATTAAGAATTTTAGTCAAATTAAACTTAATAATTAATGGGCTAAATAATGGGTTATATTGAATAATTATTGCACGAGTATGTCGTAGACCAGATAGTCTAATAAATATATATCTATTTTTGCGTTTCCTGATAACCACCTGATCGACGACAGAACTCCCATATGCGGCCCTCACCGCCTCAGCAGCCAGTGTCACAGCCGTCCCCCCACACACCACAACCTCCTCCCCCACCACACAACCAGATGATGCAGAATCAGGTACGTCAACATTTGGACACTTATCACTAATATATACATCATTACATACAACTTATCCTTACAATCAATGAATTTTATATTTATTGTCATCTTTTCAAATGATTTCACGTTATTTCGATAAAGCAATTATAAGTTATAATTAACACAACTTATTAATATACATTTATTTTGCTAGTTTTCTATATAATTTAGTGAAATTATTAATAAATCTTATGAAAGATTTATAATATTGTTTTACAAGAGTGTCAATATATAATAAATTAAATAATTGAATTGATATATATATATATATTTAACATAATAATACAAATTAATGTTATTATTAATAATAAATAATGTTTTTGCAGCCATTTATGTCTCCCCGTTATCCGGGTGGACCCCGACCTGGGGTACGAATGCCACAACAGGTAGACTTTAACGTAAGCATATGAGGGTTCAACTGAATAATTAAATAATTTTTTTAATTTATTTAATTTATTGTTATTCAGCCACCGGGAGGAGTACCAGGTCAGCCAATGATGCCTAACAGTATGGACCCAACGAGACAAGGTATGAGTAGTTATAATTTAAAGCATAACAAACCATCACTACCTCCATCCGCTTCTCCCGCCCTTTACTTCAATTTTTATGATTAATATTAACTAAAACTTCATTTATGACTTAGCAATTAAAAGCTTTACTAATAATTGAATTGATTGTCGCATTTGTTTTAATTTTATTTTTTTAAATGAGACTTATTTTCTTGAAATGTCTTTTTTCGGGTTTTCAACTCTATTAGGAGGTGTGGGCGGTGGTGATGGGGATTTTGTAGGTTGGCAGCCAGGTATGGCACCTGACTTTTGACATTTTACTAATTATTTAAATAAATAACATTAAAATATTTTAATATATGATTTTAAAAATGATTATTATATTATAAAATTAAAAATATTTTGTAAACACTGACAAATAGGTCCGCCTGGTATGAGTCCAATGAATCCTAGAATGAATCCTCCACGAGGCCAACCATTAGGCCCAATGAATCCAAATTATGGTGGAATGAGACCACCACCCAATTCAATGGGTCCGGGAGGTCCAGGAATGCCACCCGGAATGGGAATGTAAGGATAATCTCCCTATTGGTAAATAACTTGATACTAATGCATATGATTTTTAATGACAGGCCACCCGGTCCTGGAGGAAGACCATGGAATCCAAATGCATCGAATGTAAGTAACAATTGCTATAAATTAATTACTGTAATTGATTTACTATTTTAATTGAATTATCAGATGAATTATTCTTCCGCATCTCCCGGAAGCCATTATGGAGTATGTTTTGTTTGCTATATATTATTTAAATTACAATTATATTTACTAAATTTAACTTTTATTATTATCAGGGTCCACCCGGATCTGGTTCAGGTCCTGGACCAGGAACGCCTATTATGCCCAGTCCTCAAGGCTCAACCGGCCCTTATTCACCTGCAAGTCATAGAATGGGAACACCTAATCCCGGTGGAAGAGGTGTGATATTTAGTTAATATAAAAATGGTAGTGATTTGATAAAAACTTTTATAGACTCTTCTGGTTCTGGAGGTGATGGAATGTACCCAATGATGAAACCAGTACCGGGAGGAACTATGCCTGGTGTATGATTTTTTTTATTATTAAATTTATGTTTGGTATTAACATTGATATTTTTAATTAGTTTTCTATGGGAGGACCAGGTGGTCCTGATGGACCAATGGGACCGATGGGTCCAGACTTAGGTCCACCTGTGATGAATGGCATGTCTTCTAGTGGTGACGGCTTAGATGGAATGAAGAATAGTCCTGCTAATGGTCCGGGAACGCCACGAGAAGATGGACCTCCCATGGGTTATGATATGCCGGCGTATGGCGGGGAAAATGTATGTATATTTAATGATATTTAAAAGGTATTTAATGGGAATTATGGTATATATAAATAGTCTGAAGATATGTGTGAATCAAGAAATGAGAGCTTTGAGACCAATGTCGAAGCTTTGAGTGGGATGTGTGGCCTGAGTGCCATCCAAGCACTCGAAAGGTTTCCCTCCACTTCAAAGTTTGAGACCAAGTAAAGCAACACTAATGAGCTGACCATTAGTTGTCATTATTTGCTGTTATTTTTTCTCAAAAGACAATCAAAGTCTCCATTGATTTAAAGTAATATTTACTAAATATTTGACTTATAAATGTTTTTAATTTAATGACAATTAGGATCAAAATGAATCGGCAGCCATTTTGAAGATCAAAGAGAGTATGCAAGAAGAGGCCAAGAGATTTGAAAAGGACACGCCTGGAGATCACACCGAATACTTCATGCAATAACACTATCATCAACACTATAATACAGACATTGACTTATAACTTAAGAGACCATTTATGTGACACTAAACACATCTGTGTGTCACCTCTAAGAGGTGATGTGACAACTGTTTTAAACTCAAGATTTATTTTCATTTTAAGTGCATTTTGTGTTACATTTGTCAACCAATGTACCAATTGATCCAATGATTGAACTAATTGGTTTGTCAACTCTGCGAGTGTTTCTTAAGATAATATCAAATCATTTTTGACACATTTATCAAGATTTGGTCATAATTTTGATATTTTGTTGAATATATCTATATATAAATAATTCTCTGCATTTGTGCGACAAATATATTGTAAATATTATCGTAAATAATATAAATTAAGTTAAAAAGTGATTTGCTGTCGATATTATTGCGGATCAATTGAAAAGAACTAAAAATTATATTATCTTTTGATCGATTCATCACATCTTATCATTTGAAAAATACATTGAATTAAATAAATTGTAAATATATTGAACACAATTAGTTGAGCCCTTCAAATCATATTCAAAGAAGTGTGTATTAAATCAAAGTTATATGAGAAGACAGTTGAGTTAATTGTATTTTAAGACTCGGATTCAATCAGGGTTTACAATATTTCAACATTTTTACAACAAATGCAGCGATTGTGTGCAGCAAATGACATCTTAATTGGCATCTCATCGTTAATCACACAAATAAAACATCTCTTTATATAATTGACTTAATTAACTGAATTAATTTATATAACTAAATTAATTTTCATTCATTTATTTATATGTTTTTGTGATCAATTGATGATATGAACACTTGTTTCAAAAATTGTCAAACAAATGAATTGAAAGTTTTTGAAAATGTTAAAAAACATTATATGAAGACATAGATGAAATTGATTGACTATATTTAACATAAAATATTCATTTTTATGATGTAAATAATTAGATAATTTCATTATATACAGATTATATTTAATATATATAAATATATATTTGACTGATTGGAGGGTATAATCTGAATTTTAATAATAATATAACACATCATATGGAAAAGTGTTTTTTTTGTATAAATATTATTTAACTTATTAAAAGTTGTGGACATTTGGTGACTATTGTTTTACTTCATCAATAAAAATAGGAGAAGTATTTTATATACATTTTGAAGCATTACAACAAATAATTATATCCTAAATCTTAAGATTTGTCCTTTTTATCAAAAATTGATAACTTCTTGTTTAATATCATCTAAAATGTTGTCTTAACGGCTCTCGTGAAGACTTTAACAAATGAGACCAAAAGAAATGGATTAGATATATACAGTATATATATAATGAAAGTCTGGGGCCGGCATTCATGCCATTCAACTACAAGCTTGACTAAGTTTGACAATAAATGGACATTGAATTGGTCCACACAAGACATCACAAAAACATCACTAAATTTATTGAAGACTAGAATTGTGAACAGATTTAAGATTTTTGAAAGAATTATTAGGATATTTCTTCAACAAAATCAAACTCATTACTGAATTTAAGTCATTCCGTATTATTATTATTATTATAATAATAATAAATATTATAAATAAAGGTTACAAAAATATATATTTAATAATATTTATAAAAACAAAATTTAAATGAAAAACATGCGATGCGATTGTACTCTTAAAAAGTCATTATCTCAATTAAAAACACTTTCTTAACATATAAACTATTTAAATCTTGTCTCAACTTTTATTATTCATATTATTGTCATTATTATTATTATTACTTATTATTATATTATTATAAATTCTATACAACTTTATCTTATAATTACCATTACATATATTTTCATTATTTATAAATTCAATTCAATTAATGTATTTCCAGATTCATAATTATTTATTTGTGTAAAATTATGATCACAAACACAAAACAAAGTTATAATAATAATTATTATTATTATTATAATAAAACAAATTTAATAAAACATTTTCGTTATATATGTTTTGGTCTAAAAATGTTCACAAATTCTTAATATTATTATTATTACTATATTTGTATAAAACAAATATTGTACCGGTAATTTGTTTATAGCAACAAATACATAACTATTATTATATATTTTACTATTTTTATCATTCATATAATTATATACATATGCTGTATGTATCTTTAATCATTGATATTATTATAATTATAATAAGAAATCATTTTATGTAATCATTTGTTGTTAAATTTATATCAATTTAATATACAATTAATTATACATTAATTTTATTTTATTTTCGAAAAGTTTATTTGAAATACAATTTTTAAGTTTAATTTTGTCGACTAATCGGTGAGTAAAATCTCAGTATTATTATTATACACAATAAAGTTGTTTTCAAATTTCAATTAACTGCTGTTAAAATCATTTATTTAAATATATTTAACTATTAAAGTTATTAACAATTACCGGTAATATTTTTGCATTAGTAGTATTCATAGATTATTTTAAGCAAAAATGTAAATAAAATATTTTATAATTATAGTTTAGGTCAAAAATTTTTTTTTCTAACTATTATTATAAAAGAAAAAATTACATTAATTTTGTTGACAATATTTTAAATTAAAATTATGTATTAGACTATCAATTGACAGATTTACTATAGAAAAGATTTAAAGATTAAATAATATATTAAAAATATTTTTCATTAAATAAATTTTTAAATAATTTGTTTATAATTATTAATTTATATAAATATCATATATTAAATTAATTAATGAACAATAAGTTAATACGTGTATAAAAGATAACATAGTTTTTTGAAAAACTTTAAAGTAATGAAACAAACAATAGATGTCATCAATGATTGTATTTATAATAACAAAACTCAAGTCATCAATGATGTGATCAATTGATGGTTAGTTGTGGTCACACATTGTGTTGATATACATATGTATTGTGATTGACATCAATACTAATGATTGTCTATAATTACAAACATTATTATAATAACTAATCAATTGATGGTTTGATTACTAATATCAATACAATTGACATAACATTTGGACGTAAATGATGTTAAAAGTAATGAATGCGTTGAACAACAAGTGATGTCTTCATATAATTAACGAAGAAATGCATCAAATTTTGATGATTTTATTGATTGTCTTCACTGTTGAATAGTTTAAATGTCTGCCAATATGTTTGGTCTAATAGTTTCGGGAAGACTGGTATCAGACCATTGATGTCATGACTATTTGCATTTGTCTCATGTCTTGCATTTGATTGATAGGTTCAGACAGACTTTGTGGCCGTCGATGTCAACAAATTTTTGATTACCATTCAAAATGCTGATGATATTAATCATGTCGTTGTATTCATGACGGGTTTGCAACCATTTCCCGAAGGAATGGCCGGTTCGGGTAAGTTTGCGGCCAATTATTGATGTGTATTTGTTGTCACAAATGTTAATCCATTAATATATTGAAACTATAGTATACTTCAGTTTTCCCGATCCGTCGTCACCGCCGACGTGGATATACTTAGGATTCATATCAAACGAGAAGCCGTCGGCGATCTTTAAGATAACAAAACTGAAACAAACGAGTCTTGCAAACGGTTTGTCATTTGATGGCATTTTGACATTTGGTTTCTGAATTGATTGACTGTTTGTTTAATAGTCGGGTCTACTGTTGGTCATGGCTTTGGTTTTCAGCAGCCAATTGAAGCGCATTTCGCACAAATCGGGATTTCAATGGAACCAATTGTGACGATTTCGCAGATGATGGCGGATCCCAACGCTAATGTTTCGCAACAAAATAATTTCGATGAGTTTGCCATAAAAACAGCTGAAAATCTCTTTAATTATTGCACTTCTTTTTCCAATACATTAACAAATTTCATAAATTCTCCGTTTACTGGACAACAGTTTGTCCCAATACATACAATACAGCAATGGTATGAAAATTTTACGCGAAGACTCAAAATAGATCCCAAATTTTGGAAAAATTGAATAAATTTATTTGTTATTTAATATATCAATAATGTTTTATTTTTAAATAAATAATTTTTAAATTTTATGCTATTATGGATTACAATATAAATACATTTAAAGTTGATTTACGATATTTCAGAGCACTTTGAATATGTTTTTTAAGTATAACATTCACTTAAAAGTAATTTAAGTAAAAATTCAATTACTTTAACATTAACTGAGTTTCCCAACAGTCGATACTTCTGTTTCATTGTTAAATTGATTGGAAAATCTATAAAATCATTTACAAATCATTACAAAAAATATACATAAAATTTAATTCATAAGATTACTATATTTGAAATTTTGATTAACTATCGATAATTAACTGCTATTAATTAATTGCAATTAACTAATTATCGGTAATTAACTAACTATTGAAATTGTAATATTACACAATTACCGGTAAGTTTATTTAAAAAGTTAAACGTATTTTTATATTTAGCAGTAAAAGTTATTTATATTTAAGTTATAGACAATTAAAAAAAAATATTTTATAGATTATATAATTTTAATAAAAAATTAATTGAAAACTAACCGAATTCTGATGGAAATGACATTAAATTTGCCACTTCTTTGGGCGTAAAAAATCGAAGATTAAGTGATCTTAATATCAATAACTTTTGGCTATCAGTTTGACATTCATTGATCTGTTGACAAATGTGTTGCAAATCATAATCAGTAGTCTTTAGTACAGAACCGGTGCCTTCAATGTAATGGGAATAACCTTTAGTGAAACAATTTGTGTTAAATGAATCACTTTTTACAATATCTAAAATCATAAAATACTTGATTAGTATTTTATCGGATAAATAATAATTTTCTATTTCTTTGTCATCCAATTGTTGCAAATAATTGTCAATCGGTTTCATTGATATTTCATACGGAAAGCACAAGTTTTTACTACAAAATGTACACAATTTGTTTGAATCAATTGACGGGAATGTTGTCATCAATTGATTGTTAATTGTTTTGAAATTAAAGTCTTTGTTATGTTTGGCAATTAAATAGTATCTTAATCTTGAATTCGGAATATTTAACTGATTCGGTGATAACAAGTACTCTTGATATCGATAGTCACAAGAAGTCAGAGTTTGTATCAAAAGTTGTCTGGCATTTGATGTCTCAAATCCTTTGACATTCTCAACCAAAACATATTTTGGATAATTTCTTAATCTTAATGATCAACAAATTAAGACAATTATAACAATTCAATTGACCTTAAGTTAAATGACATACTTATGAAAAATATTCATCAGATGTACAAATGAATCGCTTCTGTTGTCGTCGACATCACGTCTCAAACCTAATCTGTTTAGAAATTAGTCATCAAATGATAATAAATATATTGCTATTGAATGGTAAAGACCTGCTGAATGGTTGACACGGAGGACTCATTGTCAACAAATCAATGTCCCATTCATTCATTTGCCGGTCATTTATCGATAATATGTTTCTCGACAATTGTTGACAGTTATCATCTTTGCAATGATTGTGGTTATAGACAGAGTTGGCAGTTGTGTTGATGTCGATGGCTATCACTTCGTAACAATCAAGTGGTAGATCTGTTGAACAGAAAAACAATTAATTAATTAAATGATTGCATGATTTAACTAATTGAGTGATACTTTTGATGGCGTAATGTATTCCTCCGATTCCTGAGTATAGTTCAAGAACTTTGAGTTTGGTTTTGAAGATAATTTCACAGTTGATATCATGACTGTCTTGAGTCATATTGTCCTCAAATTGTCTTAAATTGTTTTCAATTGTCTTCACACATGTCAATCATCCAAACAACCAATTAATTGATATGCAATCACCACAAGAGGTCACTACTGGATGTATTGAGTGACCAAATAGTAAGCATTTGGTTTGTCATTTGAAACGAAGTGCAGTCCATGTCTTTGAATGTCTTTGAGACCAAACATTGAAACAGTGGTAGACTTGTGTTCATATAATTAATGACAAAATCTTTTTCATACAACACTTCAATATATCATTCATTCATAATATCAATCAATTGATTAAATGAGAAAAAGTTAGAAAAGTTTAATCAAATCAAACCATAAATCTTAATATAGAATATTCTGTTCTGTTTTGCATCAATTCATTCAATACTAAAACCAATACTAAATCTAACACCGATTAATACAACGACTTATTAAATCATATCTTATTTGATTCAGACATCGCTTTTATATTTTACTATTTTTGCTTTTATTTTAGTTATATATTTTCAAATGTGTACTTATATTATTCATTTATATACATTATATACTTGATATATCTATTTAGCTAACTCATTATTATTTTTAAATATAAATTGTATACAGATAAATATACCGGCATTTTCTATAAAATATTTTTTATTTTATGATTTTAGTAGACATTTTAGATAAACAATAATTTTTAATAATTGCATAGCTAAATATATTTATTTATAATTTTTTAATATTTAGGTATAATTTTAAAATATTTTAGCATTTAATAGTCAATATTAGCAAAAACTTAGTAATATATAAAATTTATATAGAATTATCTGAAAAATATCTATTAAAATTTAAAACTTAAATACAATTTTTAACTAAAATATTATAATTAATAATCAATTCAATATACAATTATATACTTAATACAATATATAACTATTAATTACTTGAAAATATTTTAATAATGCTAGATTTTAATTAATTAATTAATACAATATTACATATGTACAACATTATAAACTTGAAATTATTGTACAAATTATTCTTTAAGATATTGAATAAATATAATAATACATAATATTGTAACCATTGGATACAAAATTAAAGATATGATACATTGCTCTCTAAGGGTGTTATTATTTGTATAAATATTATACATTAGTCTTATAATAACAAACGCTATTTCTCTGAAGTAATCTCTAATTCAGATGAGTTTTTTATCAGAAAATTTGACATTATTTTCAAACACTTTTACTTTAAGTGGTAATGATTTTAGCATTTAGTTCATATTTTTTTAGTTCATTTAATGAATATATTTTAATTGTAATTATTTGTATAGGTATTTATACTAATTTATTTTCAATGAATATCATAGCTTCACCTGTTTTCAAGTGTTTTATTATTTTGATTATATATTTAGATAGAAAATGATGACTAAGAAAGTGCCCAAAACTTGTGCAAAGAGTACACATGTGATGGAGAGATGTGTCCATCTCTATGGAGACCACATCTCTTTGTCCAACGTCTCTATAATGTGTGTAATGCCTAACAATATAATGCATTGTAACTGTAGTGCATATTACATGTGTCGTATAAATGCTATATTTCATTTATTTCTATAAATATATCATACAATAATAATATTTCAATAATCCAATATATCATATAATATTTGCACTTATATTTGAAATAAAATATTATTTAAATAAAATTTTTATAAACAAATCAGTCAATAGTCTTTTAGTTTACATATTAATATTAAAGTATTATATTATATAATACAGAATATTATGCATTATATAATATACAGTACATGAAATAGATTTATATAATATATATGGTATTAATAATATGTATCTGATTTATTTAATTTAAAACACTTTATTTATTTATTAAAAAACATACGCTACAATAATTCTACTATAATGACATAATATATTATAATATATTTATTATATAAATATTATTAATATTTTTTATTTATTATTTATTATAAATAATTAAAGTTAATTATTATTAAAATCATACTTTAATAACTAACAGTCTCTTATTTTAAATGTGTTTTCAGAAAAAAATCATTATAGCATTTAATAAATGAAAATAACTAAATTATTTATTAAATAAATTATTTTTAATATTAATAGTATATGAATGTTATCAATAATAATTAGTATTTTTATGAATTGATTATTGATTTCAATCAATTGATAAATTAAATTTAACGATTATATTTTACTAATATTAAAATATGAATAAATCATTATTTATAATCTTTTAAAGAAAATATATTTTTTCTTTATATTATTTATTACTTTTTTAATAATTATTAAGTCTTAAATACAGTATATTTACTTTTAATAGAATTTATTTGTTATAATTTTTACTTATTTTAAACTAAGATTAGTTGGTCATCAGTTTATTTGTTTTTTATCTAACAAAAAATACACATTTTTATTAAAATGATCAAAAATATACGAATGACTATAACTTAGTATAATTAAGTTAAATATTATATTTTGTTTTTAATATATAATATAACAAATGTTAATAAATTATATTTATATAGGAATTTTTGTGTAAAGACAAAAATGAATTTATGCATTTAAATTCAAAAAATATTCAAATATTGTATTATTATAAGTATAGTTAATCAATGAGTAAACAATTATTTTTAGTAAAGATTAATAGGTTACACAACTATTTACAGTAGATTTAGTGTTTAGATAGTTTTGAGGCAATGTAGAGATGGTGTGATCAGTGATGGACTGATGCCAGTACTCGTGCAATAAGTGTTGGCCAAAGTGGTGCTGACTGTCGACGGTATGACACTGTCTAAAATGATTATACTTATTGTTTGATGTAATCATCAAATGTATTATCAGTTTATCTTTTTTATGATGAATAGGTAGACAAATTAAGTACAAAAATATATTATTATACATTTATTTAATTATTAATAAATTAAAAAAAGTATCAATAAAATGAGTAAAAATAGTACTAAACTTTAAGTAATATCACATTTGTATAATTTATTTTTAAAAATCTTTTAAATATTAATTTATAAATTCTGCAGATTACTACTTAAAAATATAATTTACAATTTATTATTTGTATATTTTTATGTCATAATTTGTCAAAATATAAAATAATTAGTAACGATTATTTTTTCTCATTTTAGGACAAGTCCTTTAAATTCTATATTTTTAGATATTATAAGCAATTTATAATAAATATAAAAGTATTAATGACATTTAGTATTTTATTTAAAATAATTCTTTATATTAATCAAATATCAATTATAATAAATGTTCACAATTATCAAATATAATATTTTATTTAGTCATTAAAATCCGAAGTTTAAAACATTTTATGTACTAAACTCTTAGTAGAGTAGATATACCTTTTTAACCTCTGGTTAATACAATATATTTATAATTTTTAAATTTATTATATATATATATAATTTTATTTACGGTATATAAATATATTTTTAGGATTATTAATTATTAAGAATTAAATTATATTAAAGTATAGTATACATATAGTTTAATACATATCTAAAATTTTATACATATTTATTATAATATCATATTAAAAATCTGATTTATGTTTTGAAAATTAATATTTGATTGAACTGACTATCATTGAAATATTTATCGGACTACGGATATGAGTGCCAGAGCTGAGGTAGGGATCACGCGATGACGATATGGCACGTATGGCACAACTTGTTCTCTCTCTCTCTCTCTCTCTCTCTCTCTCTCTCTCTCTCTCTCTCTTCTAAGATTTGTTTGGTAGTGTTGGATGTATGCCTTTCGTGTCAATTTATAACCATAACATTCAGAGTTAAGGCGGTTTAGAGGCGGACCACTCCTGCCTTTGCAAACGTTAAGCTCAAACAGCTATGACTTACAATCTGATGATAAGTTAGTGTATATACTGTGTTATTGTGAAGCTATCGCTTCAAAAAGTTAGACACAATAAAAACAAGCCGTCCATTGCATCACTACCTCCCGACCCCATTATTTATGTCTTGATTTCCCCATTTTTCTCACTTTTTCATCAATAGTTCACAAAAGTGCAGACCATTCGGTATATGTATGTATACTATCGTGAGTTGTGTTTGAGTCGATTGAAACACACACACACACACACACACACACACACACACACACACACACATACATACATACACATACACAAACACATACACACAAACACATACATATATACATACATACACACAAAGTGACCAAATGATTGATTGTTGAGATTAGGTACCAGTTTTATGATACTTTATTATCCTTTCTTTTGTAATTTCTGAGAATTTCGGATTTCATAACAAAAATCTTAATATAATCTTAATTTACTTTTTATTAATGGCTTTCCTACTCACTCATTGCTCAAACCATGTGTTAATCTTTACTACCGTTTCATATGTAATGTTGTATCTAAAGACTAAACATGTGAAGTGAAAATGCAATTTTCGACATAAATATAAGCTTTCATTTCATTAATGAACAGCCATTTCATAAATTTTGTACTAAATCTAAATAAGAAAATAAAATCACTATAATGTGCAGTACTATTACAAGTTTATTACACATAATTTTTAAATTGTATTTAGTATTTAATAAATTGATTATCAATTTATATAAATAATATAACTTTAAATATCATATTACAATACTATAATACTGTTATAAACAACAATAATTATATTAAAGTAATTCTATAATTCATTAAAAAAATATTTGAATGTAAAGTTAGTTGAAAATAATCTTTCAAACAATGTCTAAATAAAAAACATGTTTGAATGTTTAAACAATATTTTAGTTATTTAATATAATTAAAAATATCTATATTAAAAACAATAAATTAATTTTTTATATTGAATATTGAAATTTGATACAATTATAATATATTATTTTTATTTAGTTATAACTATGATTTGACAAATTCCATCGTATTCTCCAAAATTTCTTTATTTTCCATACTTCCTGGGAATTCCCAGGGAATCTATTTCATTGTATTACCACCAGGGGTTTAAGGAAATAAATGCCTGCCCTGGCAATGCCCAAATAAATGCCATAAATGCCATAAATGCCTG